AAGCTACTAAAGCCCGAGCACCACCGCGCCCTTCCCCTTCCCCAACACTACCACCAACACCACCACGTACCCGCCGCCCACTCCCCCGACCCACATCTCCCCGCCTACTCCCACTCCGACCCCGACCACCACCACCTGCCCGCCTCCCCCTATTACTACCACTACGACGCCGAGCACCCCCTTCTACCCGCGGCCTCCTCCTCCTCCTCGTCCTCGTCCGCCGCCTATCACGACCACGAGCACTCCGACCACCACCATCTGCCCGCCGCCTCCGCCGTAGCCGCGCCCGCCCTCCCAGCCGCCGCCTCCCCCTCCCCGAGCCGGAAATCATAGAGGTCATCGCCGTCAGCGAGGACGAAAAGGAAAAGTCAAAGTCAAAGTCCAAGTCAAAGTCCAAGTCCAGGTCCAAATCCAAATCCAAAAAGAAGGAGTCCAAAAAGTCGTCCGAGCGCCACCACCACCACCACCGCTCCGAGAGCCCCTCCTCCGCATCCTCCATCTCAAGCCACTCCCGCAGCCGCAGCCGCAGCCACCACCGCCACCGCGAGATCGACGATGACGATGAAGATGACCTCGACCGCTACCGCCACGACTACGACTACGACCGTGACCGTGAGCGCGACCGCGACCGCGACGTCGAGGAGTCGCGCGACCGGGAGGTCTACGTCGAGAGGGAGCGCTACATCCCTTATCCTGTGCCCGTGCCGGCCGAGCCCCAGTACAAGACGTACCGCTACGTGGACGCCCCGCGCAGCCCCAGGCGCAGGCGTGAGTCGCCGTCGCCGCCGCGGTACATTGACGATAGGGAGCGGGAGGAGCGGGAGTTTATTCGTATCAAGGATCGCGAATATCGGTTCTAGTGGTGCTCTTTTTCGACTCTGCGATTACACGGCCTTTCTTCCTTGCTTTTTGCGGCAGATTTCACGAGAGTGTATTTGGGCGAATGCGTGGGATATGTCTATGCGATGACTGGTTCGGGTTCTTGGTTTAATGAGTCTCGGTGTAAGGCCGAGACATTTATGCTGTAACGACACATGTTTGCTTGCCCCGATTGGGTCACGTACTGGACAACTATTTACGATCACGATATGAGCAACTTATTTTATGTACACCCTTATTCTCTGCACCTCGTCTTCTTATTAGTGTCGTTTCAGTGAACGTAGACTGTCAAGAGCACATCCAGTCAGTGGCTGGCCAGCGTGCCGACTTGGCCAGTATCCAAGACAACTCAGTATTTGTAGTAAGAGCTCCTGCGCCTTCGCGGCCGCGGCACAGCAGGCAGGACAACCTCAACATTGCCGCTATAACTCCGCATAGTCGGCCGCAGATATCGCGCTCGATGATGCGCAACGGGCATCTCCTCGCTGTCAAGGCTCGCCGACTCATAGTCCGTCACTGGCACACTTGGCCTAGCCACGCCGGCTCCGGAAGGCAGCGAGGGCCCCCCGTACTCCGGCGAACGACCGCGCCTGCCAAGGAGCCAGTCCGTTGCGTTGCCGAGCTCGTCCATCCACCACAGGCCCGCAATGATGATGATGATGGTGACAGGCAGGGCCACCGCCCAGTAGAGCCATTGGTCAAAGTCCATGTTGCGGATGTCGTTGGTGTTCATGCCAAAGATGCTCGATATGGCGCTCAGCGGCAGGAAGATGATCGTCACCAGAGTGAACGCGTAGATGGCGTTCTCCTGCTTGTCCTTGGTCCACTCCATCTTGTACGATATCTCTCGCTCGAGATCCTCGGCATACTCTGTGTTTCGCCGGAACTCGTACTCTCTTTGTTCTATGAGCTTCGCGCAGTCGGCCAGAAAGAGGCCTCGAAACCCTCCCGCGTCTGTCGACGACAGCTTGGAAGCTGCCTCCAAGTCGTCGAGGAACTGGACACCGACTCCGCGCCGCTCGTAGTCGCCGAGTCCAAGCGTCCTGACTTCAGCAGCTCGATGTCTGTACCCGGGGGCAGTTCTCACGTCGTCCTCGTAGTCGGTTCTCATGCGCGGTGGCATCTCCTCTCCGTATCTGACGACGAAATTTCCTTGGGCGTAGCTGGTCTTATTCCTCAGCATCGCGATTATGCTTCGCTGTTTCGCTAGGGTCCTTTTGATGGCGGTCATTTCTTGCTTGACGAGATCAATTCGATGCTGATACGTCCGATTGGATGGCTTCGTGGTGATGTCTGTGTCCTGCTCATGGTCAGCTTGCCCCCATGCTCAAAAGACAACCCTGGCCAGGTAAATGAAGACACATACTAGGAGATTGAGGTAGAGCGAGTACGTGTCGCCAATGTCATCATACTTCCCCACGTCGTCATGCAAGAGATTGAGTGTGATGAGCGACATGATTTCAGTTGGCAGCATGACAGCCTTGTCCAGCAGATTATCGTTGGAAATGCCCTGAATCAGCTTCTGCATTCCGTCTCTCATCAGCTGTCTGGCCTTTATCATGTGGCTTTGCCAGTCCGGCGCATAGGTACTGTAAATCAGGCCGAAAACGATGTGTAGCCACGCAGTCACAAGCTCATTGGGCAATGTCATGGCAGCCCGATCTTCTTTTCCTGCAAATGCCATGATATCTTGGAACGACGGTATGTCCTGAGTCAAGTCAAAGAGAGCGTTTTTGATGTCCAAAATGGAAGAGGGGGTTGCATCTACAGCATTGTCGCCATCGAGCTCGGGTATCTGTTCAAGTTAGACTGGTCACTTTTACGCAATGAGAGCCATCATAAAAAGTCTCACCTTCAGCAGCTTGCTCAGCGCGCCCCAGTATTTGCCTGTGGTGGGAAGTCCGTGGAATGTGAGAGGGAAGAATGTTTGGAACAGCATGTCCGCCATGTTGAAGACGGCGAGGCTGTCATCATACGAGCGGCGGGCTGTATCACTTTTCTTCTCGTCGACGCGAGCTGCGAGTTTTTCCAGATACTCGTGTAGACCATCTCTCGTCATGAGTCCGCATCGTTTATATCCTCTCTGTGCTGAGTACGACGTCTTCTCCGTCAGGAACTTTTCGGCTGCCGATAGTTGGCCCTGTAGGTCCTGGAGTACAGCGTCACCAGTCGATTCTGAGCTTTTCGACACAAGCGTGAAGACGTGCAGATATTCCAATGGAGCTGCTGCCGAGTGTTCAGGACGCTTTCCAGATGCCTTGGAACCCACGATGAACAACCCTCGAGGCATATCCGGTTGCCTGATGATCTCGTTAGCCGTTTGTAGGCAATCAGCCGTTCCTCGGGGGACATCATACGCCAGCTTCAACTTCAACTTCACATCGCCCTTTAGCCCTTCAGCCAGTTTTAGGACCTTGTCCCAATTTTCTGCAGTGATTAGACGATCATTATGCCAGAACTCAATCCTTCGCGGCCAAAAGGCATGGAAATGGGAAATAAAAGCCTGGCCAGTTAGCCATGTCAGCTGCTGCCAAATGCCTGAGATGACTTACAAACCACGTCCGGCATTCATTGGTTGCCAGAGACCACATCAACGCTCCACCATATGACACGAGAATTCTATTCAGCCCGCCCGTTTGACACGGCACTGGATTCACTTTGACCGTTGTTCCTTGTAAGTCGGATTGCGACATCGTACCACAAGTGACAAGGACGCCAGCGTTGTGTTAGCAGAAGGGCGAGGTGAAGTGCCATTGCAGGATACCTACTATTGCCAACAATCAGGCACCACAGTTGTGAGATATGGAAACAGTAACCTCGCGGAACTTGTCCAAGCTGGCACACCGCCTGATCCATATCTCTCTGCTGGCTACTGCGAGAATATTGGGATTGGAGCAAAGTCTGTGCCGGGAATAGCGCCGTATTCGAAGCCGAAGGAGACTCGGAATACTGTTGGAGGCGGAAGTATGGGATGCAGATCCAATTAGCCACATGAGAGTCGTCCGATGCTTTCTTATCCGACCAATGAATCGGAGTCTGCATGCATCGAGGCTCCATGTAGCCTACTTTTGCGCCCTGGGGAGAGTATCGAGTCTTGGCACATTGCCGCTTGACCTCGGCTTGGAGGTTGGCAACAGCACTTCTTTCAGCATCTCGAAACCGGATATGGCGAGATACTTGGACCTGCAACGAACGTCAGCCTGGAGTTGGATGAAAGATTGCAGGCTCTTGTACCCAGAACGCGTCAAAGTTCATTATTTCTTGACGAATATGGCTAGATCAAGATCAGCAACCAACATCTAGAGTAATGGCCTGGGTCTTGAACCAGACTTACAGCCATCGGAATAGAGGCTGAGTCTGGCCTCGAGAATCATGAAGGACTGTCAAATTCACTTCATGTTGAGCCCCGAGCTCTGCGGTCCCAGAGTAGCTGGCATTGAATATCCCCGGCGCAGTGACAACATTGGACAGCGGACTTTCAACTTTTTGCGTAGATTCGCTTTCAGTTGTCGGAGCCTCCAAGTCCGAGTCGGCCTCCTTTGAAGGGTCCTCTGCCGGGAACGTGAACTGGAATTCGTCGAACGTGTCGATATCCTCAATGATAGGGCTGACGGGTCGACGTCTGATATATTCATGCGCTTCGACATCAGTCCTCTCATAGTGAGTTCCATTGTTGGCAGCACCGGGAACCTGATCATCCGTTTCACCACGCAATCTGACATCAAATACTCCACGTCTTTCCACACGCTCATCGTCTTCGCTATCTGAAGAGTTCGCATGACGAAGACCAGTAGGAGACTCTGAGATGACAACTCTCTCGATTCTCTCCCGGTTGAGCTCGACCCCCGAATGCTCTCTGCCCAAGCTTCGTTGTCCTCGGTGCTGGGTCGTAGGAAATGACCTTCCATCTGCTTGTCTAATCACAATTGGTCTTGTGGCTCTCTCTGCTTCTTCACTGTAGTCACGACGAATGCGGTATTCGCGCGGCTCTACCTCCCAAGAATCCTCGAAATTGAGGCCATCGCGGCGTTCACGAGGTGTCTCAGTGTCCGCAGCCCATCGTCGTTGGGGCGGCTACAGGCATTTGTCTCGTAAGCTGTTGCCATGCCATCTCACTCAAGCCATAGAACAGGGCGCACAAACCAGGTAAGCTTCAGAGCCCCCAGTGGAGCGGCGCGGGCGTTCGCGGCGCCCTCTGGCGTCGTGCGCCATGCTTCCGAATATTCTGTCTGCAAGTAATCGGCCAGGAAAGCCGAGGCTCTGGCCTGACTCAGACAGTCGAGTCTGCTAAACTCAGGAACATGGAGACGAGAGTTTGGCTAGGCTGCGCGCTTGATGTCACGTACAGGCACCAAGTAGTACAGGCAGGTACACGGAACCTTGATAGGTCAAGTCAGCTTGGCTTTCATGATCGTACACAGGACGCTGTTTACCTTGTTTTGCCGGGTCTCTTTTCTGACTCTTTTCTGCCTCTTCTTTGCCTCTTCCCTCAGCTTTGATCAAGGGAAGTGGGAAGATTGATTCAGCCTCGGGCTCAAACGAGGCTGACACCGCTCGTGCAATTGATGGGCAACACATGACCAGGATGCAGCTGCCTTGCAAGGATTCTTCTAGCGGCACGAGGCGCAAAGTACCTTTTCTCAGATGCATCTCCACTCTATAAAAAAAAAAGAGAAGGAAGGATGGGGCCAAGATCCCTCGAATTGAAGGTACCTTACTTAACAGCACTTCAGTTGTACAGGCGCATGTGCAAAAGGTAGGTGGTACAAGTTGCTGCTGCTGGCAAAACCTGCCAAATGTGTGCAACCAATGTGTTAGTACAAGCTGCCTGGAGGCAAGGAACAAGATGTTAGTTAACGTAAGTTGAGGTAATGCTTGCACTGAGCGAGAAAGAGTGAAAGGACTATGATGCTCGAAAGCTGGACTCGTGATACACTTCAGGTGTGAATTGGAATGGCAGAATCCCTATCTTCTCTGTGGGATTGATGCTCCCTTTTGGGAGCAGCTATCTAGCATCTCAAGGGCTGTCGACGGAGAGTGATAGGTCAGTCCTGATATATACTTCATACTGCTTAGGTACCTAGGTAGAGACAGAGGCATATGGCAGGATCACAAACTATAACGAGCATCAACAGCACTGTGAAATTCTGGGTTTCTGAGATGCTGAAAAACCATTGGCCCCATAGAGGCACTACTTTAATCCCCATAATATGGTACGCCAAGCTGTCTGCCGCAAGTCTCGTAGTAATACGGAGTATTTCGATCTGGTGGGCTACCCTGGGTTAATAAAGATGTAATATCAAAACAGCGCCGAGGGCAAACTTCCTCCAGGCCTGCCGGAGATCTCGTTCTCCCAGGCACCAGAGTTCATTTATCATTGCCTTAGGTAAGACATGCCATCGCCAGTTACGAGCATCCCAAGGCATTACAAATGGAGTCGACCTTGATCCTTCGGTGCCAAGGTGCCTTAGTCGATGGTACATCTGCAACCACACCATCTGCGTGACACGCATCACAAGATTCAAGAGTAAAAAAAGAGCCTGGCCCAGCTCTGCTCGAAGAGGTCTAAGGCGAGAGGGCTAATTGGCGCCTAGATTGGGTCCCCACCGTTCCCCTACTTTTAATTTACGAAAGGCGACGTGCAGCAGCCAGAGCTGCAGGGGGGCCAAAGCGGTGCCTTGCTGGGATGGACCTTGAAGAGAATTGCCGCTGAGGAGCGCGTCAGCCGCCATTCCGTGCAGAAGAGGCCATCGACAGAGCAGAGGACTGCACGAGCGCGCGCCGGGGGGGCAAACCCGGAGATTGCTAGCCCATCCGGCGGGGGCCCTGGCATCATGCAAGGAGGACCACGACTCCCAAGGCTCCGTCCTGGCGCTTGGCTGGCCTTGGTCATTTGTCTCGCTGTCAATAGAGCATGGAGCTAGCAGCCCTCTGGCGCGTGGCCGAATCTCCTGCGCTTTAAATGAGGACATGCACAGAGACGGAGTTGTTTCTCCGTCTTATGAGCAATCCGAGCCTCTCGGGAGCAGTGCCAATTGCAGGTTCGCGGTGGTGTCGAGCTCAGGAACGCAACCCACGTGGGCCAGGCTTGTCTTCGAGTCAATGGGAGCGGAAAGGTACTGGCAGTTGGCGTTATGATAAGAACTGGAAGACGAAAAAGAAGCCGAAGAGGAGTGGAGAATCACGCCAGCAGGGCAATGGTTCCGAAGGGCCCGAGCAAGCGGCACGGCCTCGATTTGATCTGAGCGGACGCCGGTTTTCTTCTCCATCTCTAGGCGAGTCGAGAGCTGCGGTCAGCTGTGGATGTCATACATACAAGAACATTCCAGAGGCAAAGTTGTGGGGATCGAAGAGCAGCTGTGCCGGGAGACTCGAGGATTGCTGACGGAGGTGATAGCAATGATAATGAGAGACGAGATATGACAGGCGAACAAGACCGGCGTCCAAGTAGCGACGTGGCGATGCAAAAACTTTTTGGGTTCCATCTCAGAGGGACCTCTGCATAATGTACCCCCCGGCCTCCAGGAGCGCCTTGCACTCAACGTAGCGATACCTAGTAGGCAGGTACCATTGCATCCCGGCAGCAGGCGCTGCAGTGTTGTTCTGTCGTTCAACTTACTGCCAACTTGACATCACCGCCCTGGTGGTACGAGAGAATCTGCCGCGCATCCATTAAATCTCATCTCCTCTGCTGCGTGCAAATTTCGGCCAGTCGTGCATCTTTTCTTGCTGTGACCCGTGCCCACTGGCTTCGGCTGACCTCTGCCCCGGCCCAGCAATTCCCCTTCTTATCTCTCTCTGTTTCCTGCAACTCCGTTCGTATTGGGTTCGAGGGCCGATCACCCAAGGGTCCGGCTGTCCATCAACAGTCGATCCACGTCGACCACGATCATCATCGTCTGTCCGGGCTAGCCACTCCTCGCCTTATTAGCCGAAGCAGGGGAAAGAAAGGCGAAGACGAAGCCTCGAAAGCGAAGAAGCGAGCCGGCAAACGAAAGAACAAAGAAAGAATCACAAGAAAGAGAATCAACAAAAAGAGGAAGAGTCGAGACAAAGGCCAATCTTGCTGGCGGTTCTGGTCTCTCAAGGAGCGCCGCTGCCTTTTATTAGTACTGCGACCCGAGTCCGTCTCCATTTGTCTCTCCCTCGTCCCCCCCTGGTGCCTGGAGGTGCCTGGACCTGGTCACAGCGCTCCCTCTTCTCTCCCTCTCGCCTCCACACTTGGCTTCATGAGAACTGGCCCCGTCACGGTACTTAGACGTGCATGCAGCGCGGATCAAGGGTGAAGCGAAGCAGGCATTGCCAACAAGGAACCGGCAGGCGAGCTCAGACAGCCGTCCTCCACCTGAAATTGGCCTCCCCACGCACGCCATAGACTAATACTATCTGCACTCAGGCGTGGGCACGAGCTCCGGCGCCAGACGCCCGACACCTTGTCGCAGACCTAAGACGGGCTCGATAGCGACTAGGTAGCAGTAGCAGCGTCGCCGCTATTCGCACGACTACTAGTACAGGCAGAGTCTCAGCAGCAGGCGGTTTTGCCGTCGGGCACTGGCTCCTGACACCTGCGTCGATTCTTCACGCCGGTTTTTCGACCTGGCATCACAGCATCGCCACCGGCTCCGGCACTGGTACCGGCACTGGCATTTGCGCCGACGAATCGACAGGCTTGCCTTCTTCAACGGCCATCCGTGCCCGTCCCGAACCTGATACTCAAACAAGCGAATTCCGTCGCCTCAGCTGCTGCAAACCTCGCGCCCATGTCGACGGCGCCAGTCAGCTCGTTCTCGGGCAGGGCGCCAGCCAAAACCAGGTGAGCAGCGAAATCCAAGGACCAGAGAAGCGACCGCACCCCCTGGCTCGCTACTAGTCCCAGAGCCCAGAAGCCGTCGTCTGTGCTTCTTTCGCTAGCCCGCCTTTCCTACCCTTTCATCCAAAGCCAAAACCATTGCAGACATTCGTCGTGCTCCTTGTGCATACCATACCTGCCTCGCACCTGAACACACAACCCACTCTGTCTGTCTCTCTCACGCACACTCCCTCTGCATCCACCGCCCAGACCCCTGACAAGTGCCCCCCGTTCGCCTCATTGTTGCTTGGCCGTTGGTACAGGTCTATGGAAGAGCACTGCGCGCCGTCTGTCGCTCGAAACTTTGCACTACATACCACTACTACACACAGTGCTTTCATCTCACCTTGCCCCTGACCCCTACCACCACGGTGAATCGCGGCTCGAACGTTGCGCAAGGGTTGCCCCGTCTATATTTGGGCCCCCCGGTTTCATCTTGCCGCTTACCATACCTGTCTTATTGCGATTTCCCGGTGTCACGGAGTACGAGTTTACCCTCCAGTCCAGAGTTGCTTGCCACCAATCGTTTTCTGTTTTTGCTTTGCTTGGCCTGCCTCGGCTCTTCTTTGTACTGCTTTGTCGTCTTTGCTTGCTTTTTCTTTCTTCTTGGCCTCGTGCTGATGCTGATGCCCTTCTCTGGCGCAAACACAGATCCTCACGTCCTTCGATACCGAGCCCATTGTCGTCGCCGAGCTACACAGCTTCCTCGCTGACCACACCCAGCCCCCCTTGGCCAAGTGCTGCCATAGGCCAGAGACGTCCGCCGCCCATTGACACGCGACCTCGTGGGAATACAACACCTTCCTCTGCTGGACACACCACCTTCTACTCAGACTCGTCCAGCCCCTCCAGCCCAGACGAGGAGAGCCCTAGGTATGTCGCCCTCATATGGAAACCACACATCTATCTGGATGTAGAAAGAAAGAGTAAAGGAACGAGTGGTTCGATGACAATGACGGAGGAGGGAATGGCATGGCTTGTGGTCGATCAAGATTGAACACGTCCTAATACGCGCTGCAAACTAGACCGTCTCCCAACGCCCTTCCGAATGATACCCAAAACGCCCAGCGACCTCTGAATTCGAAGCCTACTGAAGGCTCGTCGAGCAAGGCTCCGAGCTCAGCAATGGCTAGTGCAGCGACATCTACCGCGGCCGGCGGTGCTGCTGGAAGCCTGCCTCGCAACTCCTCCATCGACAGTGCCATTTCTGCCGCCTCCTCGAGCGCGCAGGCGAACAACGCCGCCCAAGCCCAAGCGAACTCGGAAGAAATTGCAAAGTTGATTAAAACTGCCGGAAGCCCCGAGGCCGTGATCCAGTACTTGCTCAAAGAAAAACAGTCGCAGGCGCAGCAGAACAGCCAGCTATGGCGCCTGGTGGATAAACAGAGGGCCATGATCCTGGGGCTGAATAAGGACTTGGAGGCTGCCCTCAAAGACAAGGAAAAGTACCGGAAAAAGCTGAAGGAACTGATGGCAAACCCCTTGTTAGTGAAGCCACCCGGTTGGCAGGGTGAGAGGAAAGATTCGGATGCGCAAAGCGATACACTCCTGCTGCGCCAGGAAGTCGAGTCGCCCAAGGAGCCCCCAGCGCCATTGCCCAACACGCCCAAGCTGGACACGGAGAGCCTAGGGTCGCCGGTTGACATGGCTCTGGCTCCCTATCCAATAACCCCTCCCGCAGACCGATCACATGCACCTCCCTCAGCTGTGTCCGAGCTCTTGAACCCGTCGGAAACAATGCCCGAGCCCCAGGAATATGCTCTGGACCATTACAATCATGAAGCAGAAGAGCAGGCCGAAGACAAGGCGCGGAGAGAAAAGAATAATGAGCAGCTTAATGATATACCCTTCGACACATCGCTGCCTCCGTCGCGCAGCCTGCCGAGCCACCCGCCCCAGAAGCCGCCGCCGAAGCCTCCCGCCGCCGACGCTCCTCCAACAGTGACCGTCATGGGGCCCACGCCACAGCCGGATGAGGGCATTAGCAAGTTCCCTTCCCCTCCGCGGAAAGCACCTCCCGCGCCTCTTCAGCTCAGGCAGGAGATCCAACGCCATACGGACTCTTCTGTCGCTGTTGACGACGCCGATTCCGATTACGACGACGTCTCTGAGGTTGACGAAATTATTCCAGAGAAGCGCGGCCGGCGACGAACGCGTGAGGAAGACGATCGCGAGCGCGAGGTTATAGCCATCCAGGAGGCGGAGGCAAGGAGCGTATCCAAACAGCCCGAAACCGCCAACTCTAGACCTCCTTTGAGCCCTTCATCCGTGCCCGCCAGTTTGCAGCCTGGGATGCCAACCGCGTCGCTGGATGCTGTTCTGAGCGGAGACAAGCCCAGGGAGCTGACCGCTCCCGTCCTCAGTCCTGGCTTGCCTGCTAGCCCTAGGCCCTTTGGAAACCCGAAAATGACCCTCGGGAACCCGCCATTGTCTCCGAGAGGAGGTCCGTTGTCACCACGACCACCACGACAAGCCATCCCCATGCCGCCGGGTACGCCTCTGGTAGTGCCGCCCACTGCATCACTCAGCGATGGAAACCCATTGAAGAGGGCGATGGAGACTGGGGATTATTCAAAGGGCGCTTCGAGCCCAGTGGAACGGACGGTCATTTATAGAGGCTTGGTGACTGACGAATACCCCGATCTGTTACTGCCGCCAAATGCGTTGCCATCCATCGCCATCAGGGTTGCGTCCTCCCGTATGAAGCCTTCCAGAGCAAGCCTCTTGTCGTTGACTCAGCTTGAAGAGGATCCGGTGTTCACGCTTGCCATCATTTCGCGGGCTGACGGGGGTGAGCTATGGCGCGTAGAGAAGGACTCTGCGTCTTTGGCAAAGCTGGACCAGCGGCTGAAGCAGTGCCCTGCGTTCACGGCCAGAACTCCGGACAGGTCATTGTTTACCGGCCATGCTCCTGCCAAGATCGATGCCCGCAGAGCCTTCCTGGACCAATACATGGACGAGCTCCTGAATACTCCCCTCGACACCCCAACAGCCCTGGAGCTTTGCAAATACCTCTCGAACCATACACTGCCTCCCAACGCCGACGAAACTGGGCAAACCTTCAAGTCAAAGGACGACAACTCTTCGATTCGATCGGACGGTCGACCCACCCGGAATGGTTATCTCACCAAGAAGGGGAAAAACTTTGGCGGATGGAAATCACGGTTTTTTGTTCTCAACGGACCTCTTCTGAAGTACTATGAGACTCCAGGCGGCGCGCATCTGGGCACCATCAAGCTTCAGAACGCCCAGATCGGCAAGCAATCTCACAACAACGAAGCCAACACCCCGACATCCAACGGCAACGACGAGGAGCTGGACAGTCAGTATCGCCACGCTTTCCTGATTCTTGAACCTAAGAAGAAGGACTCCAGCAATCACGTCAAACATGTCTTGTGCGCTGAGAACGACCGAGAAAGAGATATCTGGGTAGATAACCTGTTGCAGTGGATCGACTACCGAGAACCCGACGAGGACCAGCATGCGTCAAGGCCAACTGTTCACGACCGACAGACATCCGGAGACCAGCTCAACAAGTCCAAAAAGGGAAGCAAAGCAGGCCAGCAGCAGCATCAAACGGCGGGTTCAGACACGCTGATTGGAGTGAGATACGACTCTACTCACGCTGGCGATGCGCCGCACCAGGGCAACCATGGCAACCGGCCAAAGACAGCCGGCAGCCAGAACGAGCAGCACCACCACGCCAGCACAGATTCGCACTCGAAGCTCATCTCCGCGCCAAAGGATCCCCAGGTGATTTCGGATGCCTCCTCGTGGGGAAGCAGGATGAACCTGGCGGCGCCGCCGCCCGCACCGGCCCCCTCTCACGATGAGAAGAAGCAGCGAAAGCGGAGTTTCTTTGGCTTCGGTCCGAAGTCGCGCACCTCGTCGGACGGACAAGAATCCATGTTTGGAGGCAGCGAAAGCGGCTCTGGGGCGACTCCGCCGCAGAACGGCTACCACGGCCCGGTGCGCCAAGTGTTCGGTGCGCCCCTGGCAGAGGCCGTGCGGTACAACCCACCGTTGGACGTGGACGTGCCCCTCCCTTCGGTTGTCTACCGCTGCATCCAGTATCTGGAGGCTCAGAACGCAATTCTTGAAGAGGGCATTTTCCGGCTTAGTGGTTCGAATGTCGTCATCAAACAGCTTCGAGAGCGGTTCAACACCGAAGGCGACATCAACCTGGTGACGGACGAGCATTACTACGACATCCACGCAGTGGCGTCTCTTCTGAAGCTGTATCTGCGCGAGCTCCCCACCAGCATCCTGACGAGAGACTTGCATCTGGAGTTCATGTCGACGACGACGGAGATTACAGACAAGAGCGAAAAGATGGTGGCTCTGGGCGAGCTCTGTCAACGGCTGCCCCAGGCGAACGCAACGCTGCTCAAGTACCTGATTGCCTTTTTGATCAGGATCATCAACAATTCGGACGTCAACAAGATGACGGTGCGCAACGTGGGCATTGTCTTTTCGCCGACTCTCAACATCCCCGCGCCCGTCTTTGCCACGTTTCTCCAAAACTACGAGGCCATCTTCGGCGTCGACCCGGAAGAGTACGAGCTCCCTTCTCCCGTCTCGGAGACGGGAAGCCACGGCCGATCGGAGTCTACGCCGCGCTTTGATCCACCGCCGGGCCGTCCGTCAACGTCGTCCGGAAGCGCCTCTCCTCGGCATCAACCATGGTCAGATATGCGGGACCCGACCAGATCGACACCGACACCTCCTCTATTGATGAACCTGGGCCCGGGTCGTGGGTCACCAACTCCGCCCGCAGCGTCTCGCCACAGTTACGAGCCCTCATACCTCACGCATCAGAGCCCCAGGGCAGTCTCCAACCCGCTGCAAGGTACCAGTGGTGGCGCGGATGGCCACTTCTCACAGCCGCCGCACCGAGCCAGCCCAGCGTACGAACGATCCCTTCTCCCCGTGACTGCGGAAGACCAGACGGGGAACACAAACCTTGCTGCGTACGACCAAGGAAGCAGGAACAGGCGTCGGGAGAGTACAATCATGATGGGTGGCTCGGGATCCAAGAGCCGCTTGCGCGAAGAGACGCATTTTTAATCGTAATACTTTGCTGAAAAAGAAGGTGTCCGGAATCTTTATTGCCCCTCTCTCTCTGTTTTAATTGTTATTGCTATTATTGCCATTACTTCGCATGCAGGACATACCCCCTCTGTTCAATCATAGCGATGATACCACGTTGATCTATCATACCTTATTTCAAGATCTTTGTTCTACTCTCTCCTCCCCAAAGTCGGGAGCGGCATCATATACCGGAATCTATCTTCGTCTTCATTCGTTTCTCTCCACCTCTGTCTTCGCTTCGTTCTTTTCTCTGCGAGTATTATGTCGCTTTTTCTTTTTCTGACCCCTCAATCATACCATGATCGGATCAGGCATGAAGGAGCATTGCCTTGTTCTATTTTTTCTTCTATTATTTTTTTCCCCGGATGATCATTGGCCTTGTGTGTATATACGTTGCAGTCCCAGATCGCCTGGGCAGTTAGCTGTTAGGGTCTTACGCGTTATTTGAGGCTGATTTTTCTGTTTTGACTGGGGAAGAACCAGTCGTGGAGTTGTGCTGAGCTTTTCTGCAGGAGGTTGGCGATGTTTTCTTCGTTTAGTTGCGTCGTTTTGCTCTTCTCCCGAAGAGATCTGAGGCCGAGCCGAGGCTCAGGTTATTCATTACCAGTTGATACAGCATGGAGCCATACGTTGGCCGCGCGCGTCTAGGGTGCCTACTATAATACACGAATGGCTGGCTGCTAGCCCTACTAGGTTCTTACCATAAGCTTAACTGAGTGCTGCTTGTTCTTGCTCGCTTGTCGTCTTTGGTGCTGTATATGGTCATCATTCGGACGCCGCCTCTGTGGTAACCTCGGACAGTACATAAGAGCTCGTGACGTCGATCATGGGGGAGATGAAGCATGTCTACAGAATGCATGAGGCATATACTCATATACTACGACAGAGTAGGCAACTTGCCAGAACTTGTTTCGGACGAGCAGGGGCAATGAATGGCTCCCACTTGGTTAGTTGCTTGGTTAGGCACGGCTCTTGATATTACCCCGGACTTTTTGTTCCTTCTATTCTTCCTTGCATATGCATGTGCCTTGGCTTTGTTAGCCCCTAGTTATAGTAGGATGTTACCCATCCGGGGCACCTTATATTCTGTGTGTTCTCTTCAAAGCTGGTTGTCGGCAGTGCCGGATCTTGTTCCCGCTGGGCTGGAAGCCAGAGGAGGAACATGTTTCGATTGGGCTCCTTATTACAGGTTTGGCTGTAAGCGATGGGGGGCCTTTCCGCGGATGGCATGACATGCATGACCTCCTTTTTTTTCTTGATCCCTTTTCTCAGTTAATTGCTCAATGGACTTTGTGTAGCTTTTGGTGCCCATTTTCCGCGGGGTTTTCCGTGGAGTTGCTAGTACTATTATCTTTGTGATATGCTATAGCCTCGTTCGATTGTTGCCTTGTAGCTGAGCCGCTTTCAGCCTTTCGATGCGTGTTTTTATTTTCACTCACTGTTCTCGCCCCCTTTTCCCCCCATGGAATTACCGGTTTGCCCAGTTACTGCAACCAATAGGAAACTAGCAATGTAAGACGAGAAGAAGACAACTGAAGACCTTCTTTGTGCTTCTGTCTCTATTACAACCTCCTTATTTGAACAAAAGACGGACGAAGTGGCAGCCAAAACGCCTCGCTTACATAAGGCACCAAAAGTCGGCAAGTCGGTGGTTAAACGCGTCGGACGACGGAGGTCCAAAATCGCCGCTCGAACCCAATTCTCTCTTACCTTTACGTCGCCCAAGCAGAAAAGGGAAAAAAAAGAGGGAGAGAACAAGTCAGGTTGGTTGATTGAGTGAGTAGCCTATACCAGGAACCGAGCAACGGCTATCTGGGCTTCCGGATTGCGGCAAAGGAGAGAGAGAGAAGAGAGAGAGAGAGAGAGAGCGAGGGCGTGTGTGTGGCGCATTATTCATTCTTTTCTTCTTGTTTGTCTCTTCCCGTTTCTTCTACTTGCTTGTCTCTTCTCTCTCCTTGTGTGTGCGTGTGAGTGAGTGTTGTTTGCCTTCCCTTTGCATGGACCTCGATCCGAGGCTGCGGCCTGGCGATGGGGAGGCGGCAACCGGGATGAGCCATTCCACTCCGAGCCCGGCTGGGCTGGCATCGAGTGCCTCGTTGCGCGGCGGTCGCGACAACGCCGACACGCCGTCGACGGTGGGCAGCACGCCGCAGTATCACCACCAGCAGCAGCTGGAGCATGCGGGCGCCTCAGCTGCAGCCGGAGCCGGGGCCGGAGTCGGAGGTGACGCTGCTGTTGGCGTTGCACCACCACCAGGGGCGGCGTCATCGTCGTCATCAGCAGCAGCAGGAGGAGGACCTTCATCTTCAGGAGCTGCTGCTGCGGGTGGCGAGTCCACGACGGACGCCGCCGGCGATGCGAAAAAGTCGAGGGCGTGCGAGGCCTGCCGCGGGCTCAAGGTGCGGTGCGAGCCCGACGCCGTCGACGGCGAGCCGTGCAAGCGCTGCCGCAAGGCCGGCCGCAGCTGCGTCGTCACGGCGCCCACGCGCAAGCGGCAGAAGAAGACGGACAGCCGCGTGTCGGAGCTGGAGAAGAAGATTGACGCCCTGACGGCCAGCCTGCACGCGCGCGCCGGGGCTGGCGGCGTCGTCGTGCCGGGTTTGATGAGCAACAGCCCGCTGGTTGGGCAGCCTCATCACTCTCAGCCTCAGCCTCAGCCTCAGCCTCAGCAGCATCATCATCACACCCAGCCTCAGGAGCGGCATCAGTCCGATATATCTTCGTCTGGTGGCGGATATCCGATGTTTGCGGCATCGACGGGGGGTGGTGGAGGAGCAACAGGTTTAGGGGGAGCCTCAGGAAGACCAACAACGGGATCCGCGAGGCCATGGACAGGAGGCGGCATGACAGCGTCGCCGATGATGCAGTCGGCACCAACGCCGCCCACGCGGACACCGCAGGACGACGTATCGGCGTTTCAGCCGCCCATCGTCATGGCTGGTCAGAAGAGAAAGGCGGTCGATCGCGACGGGCCGAGTGGCGGCGACGAACACAAGGCCATGACGCCGTCGACCAGCTGGTCAGGCTTCTCCAGGCCCACCGAGGGCGACATTGTTGACCGCGGGCTCATCACCATGGAGCACGCCACGGGGCTGTTCAACAAGTACAAGGAGCACATGGTGCGGCATCTGCCGGCCGTCGTGTTCCCTCCCAGCACGACGGTCATGGAGCTGCGCAAGACGAAGCCGACGCTGTTCCTGGCTATCATGGCCGCGGCCACGGGCGAGAACCACTCGCTGCAGCGCGTGCTGCAGCGCGAGCTAATGCAGCTGTTTGCCGAAAAGGTCATTGTCACGGGCGAGAAGAACCTGGAGCTGGTGCAGGCCATGCACGTCGCCGTCATCTGGTACTGGCCGCCCGAGCACTTTGAGGAGCTCAAGTTCTACCAGCTCGTCCACATCGCCGCCGTCATGGCCATCGACATCGGCCTGGGCCGCAAGGGCGGCTCGAGGCGTGGCCCGCCGCCGTTCCGTCGCAATCCGCCGCCCGACCCCTGCAGCATCGAGTGCCGCCGCACCTGGCTGACGTGCTTCTTCCTGGCCCTCAACACGTCCATGTCGCTGCACCGCCCGAACCTGATCCGCTGGACGCCCTTTATGACGGAGAGTCTCGAGATCCTCGAGTCGTCGCCCGACGCGGCGCCCACGGACAAGTACTTTTGCCATCTGGTCTGGACCCATCGCCTGGCCGAGGAGGTGGGCTCGCAGTTCTCGCTCGACGACCCGTCGACAGTGGTCAACATTACGGATGCCCGGACGCAGTATGCGCTGAGGGCCCTCGAGAGGGATCTCGACAAGTACATTGCGTCGATTCCCAAGAATCTGATGCAGCGTGAGTTTCCCCTTTCCCCGGTCAAATTGATTTGATGTACTGACAGGAATGACCCGAAAAGACACCCTTCGTCTCAACTTCAACGTCGTCAACCTCTACATGCACGAGATGGCCCTTCACTCCGACACAACGGGGGATCAGTGGCGGCCACCTTTCAATACCGAAGCCCTCAAAGACGGCATCGTCAACACCGAACCCCTGTCTGCCGCCCACATCAACGCACTCTCGGCCTGCCTCACGGCCATTGACGGCATCTTCAATACCTTCCTGTCCATGGACGTCACAAGCATCCGCTGCCTGCCCGTCTTCAACTTCATGAGGGTCGCGTACGGAGTCGTCATCCTCATCAAGATGTACTTTTCCGCCTCGAGTCCTGGGTCGGAGATGGGCAAGGTGATCCACAAGGACAACATGCGCGTCGAGTACTACCTCGAGGCCCTGCTCGACAAGTTCCGGGCCACGGCCGCGGACAACAAGTGTCGCCCTGCCGCCAAGTTTCTGGTCGTGCTGGCCATGCTGCGCAGCTGGTTCTTCAAGCAGGGCAAGGGGGAAGGGGGCGGATCAGCGACTCCTGAAGATGGCGGCGCTTCGTCATCACATCAACAGCAGCAGAGATCATACGGACCCCAGGGAACAACGACGCAGCACCAGCAGCAATTACAGCAACAACTACAGCAGCACCAGCAGCAACAGCACCAAGTGCAGCAAACTCATCAAGCGCAGCACATGCAGCAGCAGCAACAGCAGCAGCAGCAACAACAACAACGCCAACCCAACGTCAACACCCCTCTCCAGCTCCTCTCCGAAGTCGCGACAACAGGCCGAGACGGCGGCACCGCATCCCGCATCTTCGCCGGCCTCAACGGCGCCCACCACCACCACCCCCAGCCCTTCTTCCACGACTCCGTCTCCCCCTCCGACCGCCCTCCCGCCTCCTCCGCGTCCAACAACAACAACAACAACAACAACAACAACAACAACAACAACAACAACAACTCCAACATGCCTCCTCAGCAGCAGATCCACAACCCCTCCCCCTCGTCCACGGACCTCGACTCCGCCATGGCCCCCGCCTTCCCGCCCTGGATGTCCGCCGCCCAGCCCATGGTGCCCGCGGACCTCGACGTCGGCGGCGGCGGCGGCGGCAGCTCCTCCCTGCCGACCAACTTTGACATTGAGGGCCTGAACCTCGCGGCCGCCGACCTCCAGGATATGTACGAGAGCGGGGCCAAGATTGTCATGAACGAGCCCTGGTTCACGGACGCCTTTCAGGGGCTTCCGGATCCGAATCTGTTCCCCTTTTGAAATTTTTTGCAAATATGTGAAACAATCAAAGGGATCGACGGAAATGTGGCAACATAAAAGCATCCGAAACGGGAAAAGAAGGTGACGATGATATGTCAAGGGGAGTTTTTTCTTGCATGATACCTTGTACATCTTGACAATCGTACATGCCTTGACTTCATGGACTGGAGTTTAGGTACTCGAGGATTACCTACGTTTTTGTTTTGCTCTCATCTATTTCCTCCGTCTCGCTTGGGTTGCCATTGGGGGGGTTGTCTGTCTGTTGCTGTTATATTTCAGCTGTAACTGCACTGGATTTCTTATGCTCACACAGCTAAACCCCTTAAGTTGGGGCAGTGTTCATATCTGATTCGGGGGAACTTGTTGCATCCATTTTCTCCTTTCAATGTTCAAAAATACCCATCGTTACGTCTTTCTCTTACGCCCACAAGCAATATGTACCCTCATGCATAATGTATCATATGTATGGGTCTACGGAAGAGTGCCAATGTTTAATGAATACAAATTCCATGTTTCAATGGACAACTTGACAAGTAGAAAGCGACCGCCCTCAAATGCTGCGAGACAGACTGCGAGAGTAACACTTGATTTTATGAAAGCGTCGGCTGCCTTGATACAAACTCAAACACAACGTAAAAGCAATCTTTGCAAATATCTCAAACAAAGGCATCTCTCCCAGTTGCAACATTTAGTCGTTTTGCAACGCTACCCAGCAACGCCGACGCCAAAATTGTCTCTCCCCTGTCCTTCTGTCCCCCAGTCGTGCGCGATTCATTCTTCAGGCTCTGTCCGCCTACACCAACCGCCACAAGATGCTGCTAGTTATACACGAGTTGAGAACTAGACCCCGAAATGTTCTTGCGTATCTCTTCCTGCCAGGATAGTTGGTGATTGCAATGTTGAAACGACTACGCACCCGCTGCGCTCTCGTGAAAATCCTCACACATACCGACAAGATTGTGAATTTCCCCTCTGATCCCTTGGCTTACATCGCATGATTTGTCCGTTTCAGGATAAAACAGATTTTCTACCTGCTTGGTAGTTTCGTCCCCGGCCCCGGCAATGTCCATTGCAGTGCATAGAGTATGCGACTGCTTCGTGTGATACGATCAGTGTGAGTTGCCTCGAATCGTACAAAGAAAAGTTGAGGTCGTACGCCAGCAAATAATCGAACCCTCGTAAAACCGTTGGTACGCTAATCAAAAGCTGAATGACGCAAGATGCCATCGCAAGGAAGAAATAGATCGCAATGCACTCATGACTGTCGCCAGCTCAGCCTTGAAGCTGAGGCCACCCAAATCTCTCGAGTGGAAGCCTTAAGAGGCTAGTGGCAAGAATAAAGGAAATTCGTAATAAAGAGAAATGAACACATCGAACTTTGGCCATGTCAAGCAGCCGTTGCCGTCATGACGTGATCTGGTACTAACAAACGAGCATGCAGCGATTGGTATGCTTAATCCATGTAGAAGTCGCCCTTGAGAATCCTCTCCTGGAAGGCGTCGGGCTTTGGGCGTTCAGGCTGCTTTGGCTTGACAGAGGATGCCTGTGCGGGAGGCTGTGGCATGTCGGAGATGGACTTTGAACGGTCATGGCTGGGCATTGCTCTTGGGGGAGAGTGGGAGCCGGTACCCTGGAAGGAAAAGGAAGGGCGGGCACCGGTAACGGAGCTTTCGGCGCGAGTTCTAAGCTGCTCGGACCAATTGAAGCCAAACTGGTCTGTTCGAGAAGGAGGAATGTCAGAAGAGGCTCTCGGATGCTGAACGTTGCTTGCCTGAGAAGATAAAGGGGCCGCATGAAGGCTGGACCGGCGTCCAACAGCGGGCCAGGCGGCAGATATGGATACCTGACGCTGGTGCGGCTGGGATTGGGAGAGTAACGGGAGCCACTGGTCCCCTTGACCTCCTTGGTTGCGTCCGAGTGATGACGGGGGAGGGGACTTTGGGGATTTACCATTTCCGGGGCTGCTTCCTGTGCGCAAGGTTCTCATGGCAGAGTTGCCTCCAAAACTCATTTGCCGGACGAAAGGCGTGGTCGGGGCCGTTCTAGGGCCAATAAAAGCGGGATCCTCGTCTTCAATGGCATTCTCTTCAAGAGAGTCCGAGTTGGAGTTGGTGGACATGCTGCCGCGCCGCATGAACGAAGAGGTGTTTGTGGGCGAAGTGCCGGAGAGGCCAATGGTGGTGATTGATAGGCGGCGCCTCTGCGAGTCTGCACCGCCGTTGCCGCCGTTGAAGGAAGATCCATTTGGTCCACTCGACGGGCCTCGCTGGAAGAGGTTCGACAGGGCAGCCTGAGTGATTGAGCTTCGGCGGTGGGGGCCGGGGCCGGGACCGGAACCGTTTGGCGACGTATCAGACATGGTTCTGGGCGGAGGGGCGGAAAGCAGAAATAGAGTCTGCTTGGAGAGGAAGATGAACAGAGACGGTATGAAAGAGGCGCGACGAAATGTAAAAGTACCGGGAAACGAAGCAGACGAGACACCAAAAGGCCCTGGCGATGGCGGCTTGCCGGATACAGGGAGCCTCGGGTGGTGAAGCTGCGAGTCGTTTGCGCGCGGCGTGCCTTGATTGTCCGTGGCGGGCGACTGAAGGGCGAGATTCGAGTGGAACAGAGTCCTTGTCGGGGGCTCCGTGTGCAACAGACCGAGAAGAGGGGAAAACCACTGTTGGAGAACAACAGGGCAGTCGAATGGGTTTGTAAGAGGAGAGGAAGAAGAAGAAGTAGAGAAGAGACACAGAGGGAGGTGGGGAAAGAGGAAGAGCAGAAGTAGAGAAGTAAGAAAGAGGCTCGATGAGTAATGCAGAGGGTGAGACTAATCGTTCTCTGGCCTCGTCTGCTTTGATTCTGCTCTGCTCTGCTCTGCTTTGGCTTGCCCTACTGACTGCCTTTTCTTTGCAGGCAGAGCGGCGCGAGAAACGGTATCGTCGGCAAGCAGCTGTGAAGGTAATAGCGTCGCGGTCAGGTCGGAAGGGGGGGAAGGCCGGGCTTTTTGTTATCTTGTGATGTGAGAGGAGTGCGAACAGGTTCGAGTGACTAGGATAAGGTAAGAGAGTAAGGACAAGTGCTGGAAGGGCTGGAAGGGCTGGAAGTGATGAGCAGGAAAGGAAAAAGAGACGGAGCGAGACGTAGCGCGATCAGCATCTGGATATTAATGGCCAGCAGGAGCGAATGGCTGCAACGAGGTGCAGAAGGTGCAGCCGGCGAGTGGTGTGAGCAGCCCAGAGAGGTGGCGTGCCCTTGCGTAATGCGGGGCGTGTGTGGAGTGACCGCCGACCGCCGACCGTGTGAAGTACTTGGGTTCGTACCATCAATGGCGCCATGCCATGGCAGAGACACGGGGAAGTCGCAATGGACGATTCACGGCACTGCACGAGGGGCGCCAAGCAGGGTTCAGGCGTGGGTCCAAGTACTCGCAGGTCTCTGGGAGCCCGAGCTGGATAAGCTGCAGTAACGGGTACGCAGCGCTAGCATCTACCATTGTCTCTTTGCCTATTGCCTGTGCTTAGCAAGCCAATAGTAGCGGGCGGCAAAGCACTAGCAGAAGCTACCTGGATGCAGGTGTGGTCAGAGGTACCTCGGTGAGGGGATGCCTTGGCAGTGGGCCGACTCGAGGTCTGCGATACCGGGCGAGACTGCGATGCCCGAGAACGGAGATCAGCTCAGCAGCGCCCCGGAAGCAGCGCCGTTGCAGCGCCTCCCTCCCTGGATGGACGATCTTGAAGACATGAGGTAGGTAGAAACGGAGATGTGAAGAGGATGGAAAAGAGAGATGATCGAGGCCGAGAAATCTCCAATTGTCTGTGCACAGTTCACCTATGCAACGTACAGAGTCTGATGCGTGGGTGCTTATGCGCGAGCATTCGGTGATGGCTGAGAACAAAGTACTTGTAAGGTATAAGCGCAATTGCATCGTGATTCTCGATACTAGTAGTAAAAACTCCTGCTGCCTCCTTCATACGCGCTCTTGTGCAGTAGTGCCAGTGTGTGCCAAGGCATACGGCATTGGACACGGCGTAATACCTACCGCGCGTTTTGATACAAGGTGTAGGCGAGGCGGGGTGACGACTTGGTGCATGTCGCTGCAGCATTACGGAGCACGGAGCGCTCCGCCCTTTTGCTGCTGCTGCTGATACTATCTCCGTCCGAGTAGATACATGTCTGCAGTAGGGTGCAGAGAACGTGTCTGGAACTGCTGACAATATGCACAAGCAAGGGGCGCCCATCAGCGACGGATGCCGCTCCGGAAGGGAGAATTAGCCATGAGACAAGTGCTATTATCCACGAAGCAGTCGTAGGACCGGGATGATAGAAACCAGCAACTATGCCTCTGGGGCACACTGTCCACTCGCTGTCTCTGCTCGACATGAAGCACACATGTTGTCACCAGAAGATAGTATGGGAAACGCCGAACCGCCCTAGACGAGCAAGGCCCCAAGGCCATCTCAATCTCGGGTGCGTATCGCCAGGTGGCCCGTCTGGGCCGGTTGGCCAACTGACGCTGGGACCAACCACAAGACGTGGCCAAGAGATGCAGTGGGCGTGCCCAGGAGATTTTGAACCTAGCTGCCGTCGTCAATGGAAGCGCTATCCGGTTGCCCGCTAAGAAAGGCACCGTCGACATGGAAGGGAGGCCGGCCATGAGCCAACCGGCGAGAAGCCTCCAGGCTCGTCTCGTCCAACCATCATCTGGCGATTAGCCTGGTTGGTGACGTGCCAATCCAGCAACCAGACGGTCATTGACCCAAATCAATTGTTTTACTACTACTATCCTCCTGCTCGCGATCGGTGGGGTTTGCGGGGGCCGGGGACCTCGATCTGACAGCGTGGGTCGTTCGACTTGAGCTTGGGGACGTGGCCTTTAGGACCCTTGAGATGCCGCAACCAGATTTGCGCTCCTTGGCCCTTTGTCCTACAGTGCTGTATTTTGCTAAGCATCTGATCCCCTTATGAACGGATAGGTTTTGTTGGCGAGGGGCTGCCTTGTTTCTAGCAGGCATGTTAGCTCATGGCAGACCTGGTCTTGTTGTTCTGGATCGGGCTCTTACCTCACTCCTATCCCTCTGGGTGGCAAGATGTGGAAATAGCTTGGCGACGATCCCCAAGCTTCTTTTCACACCAAGTGCGGAGAGCTGGTCTGTCCATCCATTTCACACGCAGCGTTCGTTCCTGGTGCCATCATCGTACCATTGACGTTTCTGTCTTGCAATCCCTTGCTGGATTCATCGTGTCTCTCTGCTCTTTGACCCCCGCTTCTTTGAGACGCTGAAACCGCTGCGGCCGCGCGTAGTTGTATACATTAGAAGCGAGGGGTTGCAGCACACGAGTCCGTATGTACAGTTGCGATACTCGGAACTACTGCTTCTGCTAATGACGGTTTCGGGGTAGCTGGCAGTCAAGGTAAAATAGCAGTAGGTAAGTTGGTAAGGTAGTACCGTGTGTGCGGAGTGTTGCCCGCGCAAGCACCGCAAGTGCTTTCTAGCGCAGCGCAAGTGGGTGTGGACTGGCAGCTGGCTTGCGGTTCTTGCTGTTGGTCGTCAAAACCGATGGGCAAAGCGGTTGTCTGGGCATGTCCGTACTTTGCGATAGTAATACTCCCCGCCCAGCCCCCATCTGGCTCTTGGGCAGATACCTCGCAGTAGTACGCAGCTCGCAGGAGTCGCGCCGAAAGTCTGGACCGTCGTCTTCAGCGCTTGTCCGAAAGTTGGCCAGGCGGCAGACGCCGCACGTGCGTACCTATGGAAATGGAAATGCTGGGGAAACGACGCCTCGAGACAAAACGGTCGGTACGGAGGGGAGAGCCGCTCGCTCTTTAGCGCCAGAAACTCAGTAGTAATGGTATCGTATTTCCCGGACACACACTCTCTTCTCACTCCCACACCTTGGGGACTTGGCTGTGCTTTCAAGACGCATGGTGTATCCGACGCAAGCGACAATGAAGGTGTGAAGACACTCTGCGCTTTTCGCACTTGTCGAAGCATGAAGCATGAAGCATGTGTGCCCGACGCAAGCGCCCAGCGAAGCCATCGTCATGCAACCCTTGGGAAGCGGCCCTTCACCGACTGATTGCATCTTTTGATGTCCAGACCTTGCGTGAGCCAGAGGACTGTGCAGTTGTACTATGCACGAAGATGTCAAGTTGCAGGTGAAATGATAAGCTAAGATCCTCAGGTTGGGATAATCAGAGATCTCGCAAGCTTGGCATCAGATTACCTGAACGCACCTTCCCAGTCCCAGCCTCGACAGACCTCCTCCCGCTTATCATCCCGCTGGTCCATTACCGAATCAATTCCAGTAAGAGAGGAAACACCTGTAATGCGCATCGTCACCCTTGCCCCTTCCCTTTCCCTTGTCTCTCGCTTCTTTCTCCCCCACCATTTCTTAGCAACAACTGCATCAAACCAAAACTGCAACAGAAAGCCAGAAAGCCAATCAACAGGTGCCTCCTCCATCCAGCCAGGGCGAAAAGCTGCTCCCTCTCTTGAGCTAAAATCTGCCGGCCACGGCCCGCTGCCAATCAGCAGCTGGACGAGAGAGAGCCACCACCACCAGACACAGCCCACTGAAGGTGCCACCCAGCATTTTGCGGGGTAACTGTCGCGCTAACGCCTTGACGCAGGCGACATGGGCAAGGTGTTGATGTGCACTCCCCCCTCCTTGCACTAACCGCATTTGTTCGCTGCACACCCCTTCTCTCTCTCCTTTCCATGCGGTAGTCTATTCTGCTTGAAGAAAGAGCAAATTGCTCGAGTGCTGCTGCTTTCGCTTTGGCAGTGCAACTACGCGGGTGCTCGAATAGCTCGATTGATCATGATGAACACCAGACCCGATGTCGCAGTAGTGCGTGGTGAGTGCTGATAGGCACTGTACGGCGGTAGCATAGAGGAGAGGCAGGCAGTGGACGGGGCAGCATCAACAACGTGTCACAGTGTGAATGCACCCATTCTCGTGATAAAACTGCCCGGATGCAACGCAGCGCAGCAAATCAGCTGTTCTCCGAAATACTTGGGCCATTGCGGCTTGCGTTGTGTTTGCTACAGTTCCGGTACATGAACAGAGCCCATTGATAGAGAAGAATCTGGAACTGCCCAGGGCATTGCCGCTCCGGTATCACCAGATGGGGTCCCTCGGGCGCTTCTTTCTGCAAGGTGAAGCACGGCCAGACGTGCTCCTTCATCTCACCAAACCTCGGTCAGCAACGGGCAACATGTACTACAAGTACAAATCTTCCAGTTTCCTGTAGACGAACACTCAAGTTTCGAACCTGCCGGATGAGGCAGCAATCGTCATCTTGCTTGCATCTCATTCCCACTCACGCTGCGCACATCACGTCTCGATTCCTGCGTCGATCTCGACATTCGGCAACCTGTTGATTTGCCATCAAACGGCAACCTGTTGGTTTGCCCTCAAACTGTGCCACAGGATATTGGAGACTGCATCGCTACGGTGTATGTATGTACGAGTTACAATAACACTCGACGCCCAGGATTAAATCCCGTCATGCAGCGCAACTGCGCTCGCGGGAGTGAGTTCCAACCCATTCTCAGCGCATGTGATATCCGACGATTTGTATGTACGTGAGGTAGCACAGAGAGGCAACATGGCATGACCCGTTCGTGCGAAAGAGTCGAGTACTTTGTGCGACGGCAAATCTCTCCTGACTACGCACGAGTGTTGCGTACCTTAGGACCCCGTCCCGCAAGGCCATTGTATTACCATCGAGTAATGCAAATCGAGCCATGGACAGCTCCGGCAGACACGATGAGTTCTCGTCTCTCACTCTCATCGTGTACTCGTAGTTCCCTTGATACCCGAAACAGGCTATCCATGTTTAAAACATATGACTGCAGTTTCACTTTCGCTGCAAACTCCCGTCTCTCGCCACAGCCACTGAGCGACATGACAGCTCGTGCCGCCTGCAACGCGCCGCGGTCGTTGGCTTCATCACAGGGAAATAAGCTGATGGTGGCGCCATCCTCCGCTGCCGACGGCATCAAGAGCAAAGCTCGAAGGAATGGCCTCGACCTCCGAGTCGTCGCCTCGCACAGTCTGGCGTTCCAATCCAAATGCTATCATCCCTGCGGGAAAAGCATTGGGCAAGGGTCCGGCTAAAACGCTGGGCCGCCCGGGCGTCTCTCATCATGCAAAGATTATCTTCCACCTCTGGCCCTTCTGACCCAAAGGATGCACTAGCACTGCTAGCAGGGCGTTAGCCAGCGGACTTGTCAAAGAAGCCATTCTGCGGGGAAGTGGAATCCAATGGATCATGACCCGTTTAACCTTTGGCGTTAGCAGCCGTGTTACCACGATGCTGAGCTTTGAACCAACGCAAAGCACGTGGTCCTGTGTGACGAGACGGGATGGGTGAGCTTGGAGGGTTCCTCTGATGCTGTGACGTTGTTGGTTTGCTCAGCACGATCCTTACGGCTGAAAGTACATTTGCTTGATGGGGGAGATTGGCTGTTAACTCCGCAGATCGTTTCCAAGGTGAAACGGTTCATCGTTTGAAGCAAGAAACGATCGTGCTTGAAGGCAGCGATCATCTGGACGACGATGATGACAATGATGATCGTGTGCCGGGTATGACGAGCCTCTTTCCAACCTCCAATCAATTCGAATTCGCGTGTTTGTCTGTGACGGAGACGTAGCTGTGCTGTCGGGTCGAAGCCCTTACATGTGTGCATGATTCCGATGCACAATGACGATTTGCTGTGGCGAGGTGACTGCCGTGTGCTTTCTTGCATTTCAATGGGTTGATCAAGTCGAGAGGACAACAAGTCGCCACCAGCCCCTGACCGACGGCAAGGATCCGTTTGCTCGAGAGGTATGTACAATAGCAAAATAGGTACATGTCTCACAACGGCCGAGATCTTCGCAGCCCATCGACCAACAGGTGTTCGTCAAGGCAGCACGCACGACTCACAGGGTGAGCAGGGTGTTCACCCTCATGAGCCGCGTTTCTGCCCGCACAAGCCGCAGACTCCGCAGTCCTGGGAATTCACATATGCCGTGCCTTTGCAGGACGCACTGTCGCATCGCCAGCCTGGCGTAGCTGGATGGAGGACGTTTGCGCACGCGCCGCAGGTCACGGCTGCTTTGGGGTTTTCGAAGGAGCACATGGAGCAGGTTGGCAAGGAGCTTGTTTCTGCTGCTGCGGTGGCAGTGGCGGTGGCAGGGGCGGTTGTTAAGGGTGTCGGGGTCGTTGAAACTGTCTTGCGGTGCGAATAGGGCTTCTTTTCGTCTTTGGGACCTGCCAAGTTGGTGGGTGTGTCGTTTTCGACTTTGATATGGGGGATAGATGAGAGTGAAATTGGCGACGAAATACCGTCATCTGCAACCTCTGCCTTGATTGATGATCCCGCCCCCTCCCGTTTCACTGCTTGTTCCCGACCCGTGGGACTGGTCGCGGATGAGCGTAGGTTGGCATCTTTGCCACCGGGTTCTCGTTTGATCTCTTGCCTCTTGAATAGGCCGTGAAGCTGATCCAGTTCGTTCCTCGCGTCGGCGTCGTTCGCATCTTCGTCCTCGCACACCTTGACCATGCCGTCGCCATTTCTGTCCAGCATCCTGGTGCCATCCACATCGACAGCCGGCTTGGAATCCACGCTTCCATCTTCGTAGTCGCTGGATTCTTCGTCCCAGTCCTTGATAGACTCCTCCTCCTCCTCTTCCTTCTTGCCGCCGTCTTTGCTCTGCTCGAACCGGGCCAGGGCTGCGGCTGCACGGAGTTCGCGGCCTCGCAAGCTGCCTGCCACCCTGGGCTTCGCCTGCACTCGCTTGCCCTTCTCTAGCTTCACCTTCTCCTCCTCGTCTGCCCCGAGTACGACGCCGTTTTTGCCAAACTTCTTGAGAATCCTCCTTTCTTTTCGCTCCTGGTACGTCAAGACAGGCTTGACCTTTCGTTTTCTCCCCCGTGACCGATATGTCCCGCCACAAAGATGCTCGGGGAGCACTTCATCAGCGTGGACACTGTTCTTCTCCCACTCTCCGGTCCCCAGCGTCGCCCCTCTCCCCCATAACCCATCGCCTTTGTAGCCTTCTGCCCACAAGGCTTGCATCTGCTCAGCATACTGGTTTCGCACCGCCCAAAAGGCCCTCGAATGATTCATCTGCGCGCAGTGAGCCAGCTCATGCATCATGACCATCTGGACGTAGTTGAACGGAAGCCACCGTCCGCTGCCGGGCGCCTTGAGGACCAGCTGGATCACCTCCCCAGCATTGAAGTTGCGGCCCACAAACTCTCTGTTAGGGGGGAACTCCTCTAGCGACATGACGTGGATATGGTGCTTGCGCATCACGGGAACTGTTGACGGTTAGTGATGCGGTTAGTGATCAGGGTGCAAAGGCTTGCTAAATGGCCAAAACGTACGGCATTGCGCTGCGATCCTCTCCAGGAAATCCTGAGCAATTTTCTCATCTCGCCCCTTGAGTGGTTTGATGAAGACGATGTGAGGATTTGGCTGAGATGTTTTCGCGTTGAGACGCTGGATGCCGATGGGCATGGTGAGTCCAGAGGCAAGTCTATGGTGTAAGGCAGGTGGTGAGACCGAGAAGAAAAGAATGAAAATACACGCCGGTCGTGGGTCACCTCAAGATATCGCGACAAAGTAAGCAACTGGGATGGACAAGGACAAGTTCAAGTGATTCACACGGAAATCTGAATCATGTTCTAGGTGAAGTAAAAGATGGCAAAAAGTCCTTGGCGAGCCGTGTTCAAATCCACGCGCCATTCTCACACGAAATCAGGTGACCTGTGGCAACTTTCAACTCCAGGCCGTGATAAGCCTCGCCAATCAGCGAATACCTAAGGTATCTTTCAAGAAGTGAGAAGAATGTTCAAAAAGTGCCCTGTCCTCAGGGAATTATCCGGAGACGCGTGCTTCAATGGTTCGGTATATCTGCTTTGATGAGATGCGTCGCTGATGTCAGGATGTCCAACAGTTTCAACCAGTTTCAACTCGAAGAACTGAGCATGTTATCCCGTTCAGTCCACACCAGCGAGCGTGACACACATAATCTAATTCAAGTTGTGAGACTTCACAAGAGCGCATTGTGGTCTGCATCATACATGTAATATACAAAGTAAAATGTATTCGCCATCAACTCCAAAGCTTGCAATCCCTAGGTAGCTCGGTAAGCGGTTGCGATGCTACCCTGAAACAAGGACGACGGTCCAAGTCTTCTAATGCTTCAACAGCATACATGCCCATCAATAGCAATTAAAGCCCTGTTAGTACGCCGTACCCCGTGCTTCGCTGAATGACAACCTCGTCTTGTCTTTACTGCCTTGTCACAAGCTGCTCTTCGCCTCCAGCCTGGCTTCTACGTTAGCTATGGCGCTTTGTACGGCACTTGTCAAGTCTACATGGAATAGGGGATGGGCTAAACCGCTGATAATAGCCCCCTTCCGCCCATGTGCATGCTGAGGAGACTTTCCCAGCCCTTTTGCCTGACTGCCAGGCGTCGGTCCTTCATCATCATCCTCCCAGCTCTCGACGACGGCAACGGCCTCTACCGTTTCTTCGTCTAGTGGTCTTTGAGCCATAGCCGAAGGGTCTTGCTTGAGAGTGTTCGCTTCGGCCACCGCCGCAGCAGAGTCTTTCCCGCCAATTTCTGCAACGCTAAAGATGGACTTCCACCTGTGCGGAACGCCGTCTCGGGGCATCGTAGGGGTGCCAAATCCGCCAGCGGCGAGTGCTCTCCTGGTCCATCGGTTGTTGATGCATGCGAAATGCCAGTCCACAACGCCAGGGGCTGCATAGACATCCAGCACATTCCGCACATCGATAAGGCGCTGAACAGAAGTGATGTCCGCGTTGTTGACTGAGCTGAAATCCAAAATGATGGCTTTTAAAGTCGGCTTTTGTTCGTGACTCGGCTCCTCCCTTAACTTGCCGGGTCTTTGTTGACCTGGACTGCTCCAAGGCCTGTCGCCCCTGCGTTCAAAAGTCTCTGGGCTTGTTCGACGTGTGTTCGAGTACACGTAGTTCGTCAAGTACTCCAGGGCAAAATTGGCACTTGGATAGTTCAAGCCCTCTGAGAAACGGTAGATGAAGATGCCAGGGTACGGATGACCCAACTCTACCTCCGAGTTCGAGCCATCGTCATGATCGAGTGGTAGGTATATATTCCTGGCAGCGATTTCGGACCTTTCTTCAAACGTGCCATAATGTCCCACTAGTTGCCTGTGATTGTCACCGATGACATGATCCCCAAGGACAGAGTGGACCTTGACCTGGCCCAGGAATCGTCCACGCGCCTTCAAGATGCGATATAATAGGACGACGGCCGATATACACACAGTAGCGTACAGACCGTCTTCAATCTGCGAAAAGATGCTGAGGAATACGCCTATGAAGAAGATGAAGACTTCGAGGGGGGAGACTCTCCAAAACTGGTACAGAGTGCTTGGCGGTGTGATCAAGTCACCAACGGCATGAATAATGACTGCTGCGAGAACTGCGTTGGGGATGTAATAGAAGGCGTCCGTTAGGAGGTAGGTAGCCAGAAGCACAACTGATGCGCTGACGAGCCCCGAGGCAGGAGTCCTGACGCCGGCTTTGGATTGGATGGCTGTCCGGCTGAAAGATCCGGTGGAGGAGTAGGCGCCGAACAATGTGCCCAGCAGGTTGGCCATGCCTATAGCAACCATTTCCTGGGAGGGGTCAACGGTGTAGTTGTTCACCCGGCCAAAAGACTTGGAGATGGCGATATGCTCAACAATCATGACAATGACAGCTGCCGGGAGGTGAGAACAGAGCCTCGAAACAATCGTCGAGGGCAGTGGGGGAACGCCGATGCTCTCAAAGCCTAAGAAACAAGACACCGCCAATGTTAGAAACTGGCCTGACTGGACTGGTTGTATGTTCTGGGGTGCTCTGCGGACCTACCTTTTGGAACAACGCCTAGAACACGGATTACCGGCTCCTCTCGACCTTTGTTGATTACCCAGCTAACCATGGTATATAACAGAATAACGAATACTGTCCGCATAGTGTTGAGGAAGAAGATGACGCGCTTATTGTTTGGCCACCTCTCAGCGGCTTTGGTTAGAGTGTATCGTATGAGATAGAGAAATAAGAGAGCTGTGAGACCAAGGGTGGCATCAAGTTTGGCTTCGTTCAAATGCTTTAACGTGTTGACAATGACTCTGTATGCTGCGTCCCTGTTGGAAAAGCTCGTGATGCCGAACAGGGACGGTAGCTGGCTGGCGCCAATAGTGATGGCGGATCCTGTCATGAAAGCAGACAACGAGGTGATGGATATCAGATCGACTAACCAGCCCAGCCGAAAGGTTCCAAAAACGAGAACGAGGCTACCAGCCATGATTGAAAACCCGGTAGCAACCACGTTGGGCGGAATGTCGCCATTGGTCACGCCCAAATCAGCCACTACAGTTCCCACGACAGTAGACAAGACGGCTACGGGGCCGAGAGATATGTCTTTGGAAGTGCCAAATATCCAGTATGTGAGGGGTCCTACAAAGGATGAGTACAAGCCGTATTGAGGCGGAAGGTTTGCTAGCGAGGCATAAGCCATCCCTTGGGGTACTAGGACGGCTCCGGCGGTGATACCAGCCACAACATCGCCGGCTAGCCACTGGAGGTTGTAATGAGGGAGCCACGATATGCAGGGGAATAGAGACTTGAGATAGCCGACGGCATCGGCCTGCGAAGGCAGCTGATCATGGAGCCATTCCGAAGCAGTAGGGGGCCTATCGAGAGAATTGCGGCTAGTGAGGTTGGAGAACATGGATTCGCCTCCAGCAAATGGGTCTTCGTGCTGGTGAGCATCTTCGTCATGCTCCTGAAATTTGATGCCCAAAACTCTGGCCAGTGTATACCCAGAGGTGGTCGACGTTCCCCTGGATGTGCCACTCATTGCCGAACACAAGGTGACTCCTGAGGGTGCCGCCACTGTAAGGAGCGAGGCCCGATTAGTTCAGAGACGAAGAGGGAAACGGGGGGAAAGAGAGCAAGATTGGTATATCTAGCTTTCAGTATCCCATGCTTGACGGCTCCAGCTTATGATGTGCTGGTAATCTCGATCAACCCCCCCAAAGTCCGACTCAACAGCGACGGCCCGGTTCGGCGTGATATGGCGGCGGTACTGGTGCAAGTTGCAGTGCTGGAGCATCGGTCGAGACAGTCAGGATATCAAGCTTCTAAACTGCACGAGAAGTCGTATGAGCACTCGAATCAACCAAATGTCAAGGCACTCGACGCTCGTTGCAAGGAAGATGGCGTTTGGTGTTGCGTGAGCTCGGTCTCGAGAGCTGGTGGGTGCGGTAGATCGTGCGGTAAGACGGCCCGCCTCGTTGACGATCAGGAGGAACTGAGGAGCGCAAACGAATGGTACAGCACACAAAGAGAAATAAAAGATGCCTGTCCCTTGTAATGGGAGAAACGATAATGATAATTTGAGGTGATTGTTAAAGAACAAGAGACAGACAGTTTGACGGCAGCCTAACAAATAGCTCTTATAGAAACCGGCCTATCGTTATCCTGTTCTTGCCTTTGGTGTCAGAAAGGTAGTTGATGGCAGTTGCCGAAGGCCCGTTACGGGCAGTCGGGAGGCTTGCCGCTTATCAGATCCATCCGACTGATATGAGGGAATAGAAGCCCACAAAGAGAGGGAAAGATGCCGAATGATCGCAAGGCGTTTCTTGTCGAGCGTCACGTTCTCCATCGCAGTTCTGGTGTAAGTGGTGTAAGCGCCAAATCCGGCTGCTGAGACGCACAGGCACTGAACGGAGCGGATACATCATTGGGTCGTGGGAGAGACCACGGGGACGAGCATGGCTTCAGGGACAATCTCCCCACAAAGCACTCGAATGTCGCAATCGCGTCTAGGCCGATTTCGTCATAGGGCAATGGCCCATCTGGATATTGATATGATCCTCCTGCAGAGTGTTGTCATGATAGCAAAGGCCGAGTCAGGGCATCCACGATATCGAAACGAGTGATCAGCCAGCTTCCTTGTGTGTGCCTACCGGCGGCGTCAGATACTGCCAGACTGATGTTATGATTCGCCAATACCGCGCTGCACAGCTTCTTGATACTATCCGAGCCCCTCGGGCTTAGGTTTTCGAACGGAAGCACCCGAATGGAGACTCGAGAATGACCCAAGCAGGTCTCAGCCGTGTCATGTGTCGCGATGAGGGGACGCCTGGATCGTCGGCAGGAGAACGAGGTCAGCTTCTGCTGCCCCTATCCGAAGCTGAAAGTGGCGCCAAAGCTGCTGCGTGAACTGTAGACTGCATGTGAATGGGCTGCAAGAACGGAGCTGAGCTCGAGACGATGTTGTATCAAAGTCGGAGAGAGATTCGATAACCCAAGAGAAAAGATGGGGACTTGGCGCGGGCGATGTTCCGGAGCCGCCTGTAATTCCAGGGCCCGATCAGTGGCTTCAGCGGCCTGGCCCCGCTGGACACCGCTGGCCTCAGGGGCCCAGGTGCTGAACAGGTCGCTGCGGCGCCTATTCCGTGAGATTCATGGATGCATATGCGCTGGATGAGGCTCCCGTCCCAATAGAACAAGCGCACTCGACGTCATCTCTCTCCAGTCGATGCTGCATATCAGCATCAAGTCGGAACTGCTTTCAGATCTGGCCATGACCACGATGGTTGCCCAAGTCTGCGTATCTCGAGCTCTCTCTTCAGCAATCCGAGCATCGCACGTATCGCCATGAGTTCTACAGACGGTTTCCACAGGAAGAAGACGGAATGAAGAATATGAGACGCCTTACCGCTGCTCAAGGTGGCACGGCAGCGCTGATGTTTTGGCACATGCAGCCGTCTGGTCAGATCTCGAGCTCTTGACTCTCCTAAACCACCCCCACGCCAACAACAACAAACACGAGCGTCACCTCTTCCACTATCGACTTCACGGCGCCTCCCAAGCAGCAAGCATGTCTGGTCCTCCCGCCCAAGAGGCCCCTGCTGCGCTCTCGTTCCAGCCACTCCAGCCGCCGCCGTCTCCCTCGGCTCATCGTGCCTTGCGACGGCTTCAGTCTGCCCACGCCTTGGGAGCCAGGGCTGCCCAGCAGGCGACGCTCCTCTCCCAGCACCGCCGGGAGCGCCCTCTGTCTCCGACCCGACACGCTGTCGATGCCGCAAACCCTCTTGCGAATGCTGCCGCCAGTTCCAATTCCAGTCACGTCGCCAACGCGAATCTAGACGCCGCCACACACGCGACGGTACGGGCTCGAGGTCGTGCCAACAGCGATGCCACACCCCCGCCGCCGTATCAGGCCGCCGTTCCTGCGAACCCTCGACGAACCGGCGTCAAGAAGCCCGTCTTTTCACATGGTCACCTCTCGCTGCAGCAGATAATCCGCGAGGGCCCCAACAATGGCGACTTTCTCGGCGCTTTGGAGAGCGCGAGGTGGAAGGTCATTGACGAGGGCGTCAAGGCAGCCGAGGATGGAATGGTGCGCGCGGTGGTCCAGAAACTCCGACATTGTATTGATCGAAGCTTGACTGACTTGTGTCTGTCATTGATCTAGTCTCCATTGAGAATCTACGTCTGGCTAGTTCTGCTCGACGCCCCGATCATGTCCACAGACGAATATCTCGCCCTCATCCACCGCGGTGCGTCTCCGGCCTATGCAAAGATTCGCAACGACACGTTCCGCACCTTGACCACCGATCCTCTCTTCCGACGCCGTGTGAGCGAAGCCAGCCTGATCAGGCTGTTGAATGCCATTGCTTGGCGGCTTCACGATTCAAAGGAAGACGAGCGCCAGAGTCGCCCAAGCAGCAGCCACTCGTCTCTGCCTGCGCGAGAGGCCATCGGAGGCAGTCATTCTGGCCAGTCCCAAGCCAGTAGGTGTTGACCTGGACAGAATCAACTTAACCTGACTGGTTGCTGCTTGCATGGATACACTGGCATACTTGTACTAACGCCTTGTTCCGCGTATAGGGTCCGGCGCAGTGCTTGAGCCGGGCGTCTACGTGCAGGGCATGAATGTCCTGGCGGCGCCTTTCCTCTACGCCGCGCGAAGCGAAGCCGAAGCGTTCGTGGCCTTTCACTCTCTGCTAACGCGCGAGTGCCCCGGCTACATACGAGGCGCCATGGACGGTGTCCACCGCGGACTCGCCCTGGTGGACAAGGTGCTGGCCATTGTCGATCCGAAGCTCAGCATGTATCTGACGGCAAAGGGGCTGTCGGCCGAGATCTATGCCTTCCCCTCCGTGCTGACGCTGTGCGCATGTACGCCGCCCTTGCCCGAGGTGCTGCGACTCTGGGACTTTCTCTTTGCCTACGGGCCGCACCTCAATATCGTCTGCATCGTAGCGCAACTTACCATTATGCGGTCGCAGATTCTCCAATCTCAAAGGTATTTATTTGTCCATCTACCTTGACCCCTTGGTCCTCTCGGACGTCGCGAAGGCGAGAGTCGTGGATGCATCTTCTGACCTTTACCCTCTCCTCTTGTTAGCCCAAACAAGCTCCTACGTTCCTTTCCGCAGATCAACGCGGATCTCGTCAAGAGCATTACCATCAGCATTATCAAGAAGATACCGGACGACCTTTACGAAGAAATCGCCACGCACGCCATGTAACGAGAGAAATATCGAGATGACACGCAGGCAGTGCCAGAAACTTCTAGTACTAAGAGCTCCTGGGCATTGAGCAACCTTGTTTGAAAGAGGACCCCCCTTTGATTGTGCCCCCTTTATCTGTTTCTTTTCACCCTTTTGTTTTTGTCTTTTGGGCTGTGATCGGATGTTATGAGTTCACGTATATGAAATACTATGTCATAGGGAGGGCGTGTATCTGGTTTTGCTTTTTTTTTTCTCTTCTTTGATTCGACAGCTCGTCTAGAATATTTGCAGAAATAGAGACGATATAAGTTGTCATTCTGCGGTGTCCTTCGAGGACTGAATAAGAAGAATGCTCTTCGAATCGTTGCTTTCGAATCGTTGCCATCACTGCTCTTCGCACCCCCTTACGATGAGCCAGGTGCAGCTGAGAAAAGCTGCTGAAAATACTGGGCGCCAAAGGAGGAACGTCACGGTTGAAACGATGGGAATCGACGAGAGAAAATCAGGTCCACGGAAGATTTGCTCCTTTTCTCTCAGCTCAGGAGGCATAGGAAAATATCGAGTCCCCCAGCTTTCCAAGTACCGAATGTCTGCACGGATCATCTCCGAGTATGTGCGATGAGAGTAATTACTAACATGTTATATACACGTATATATATTATTCTACACAGTAACAGTTCTTGTACAGAATCCAAATGTTACGTGAAAGATCTTCCAAGGCTCAAGAGTAGAAAGCTTTGTCCATGGCCATGTATCATGGAGCAGCCCAAAAACGCCCTTTAGGTACTTGAGAAACATAAACATGCTTTTTGGCATCGGAAAAGACGGAGAAGAAGGAAGCAGAAAACAAACGCCAGCTGTATCCATGCAAAAACATAAGAAGACAAATCGTATACACAAGAATCGAATCAAAGCCTGATAATACACCCAAATGGGCATGGGCACTGAACCGCTGGGTACATGTATGTAGTGCTTTTCAAATCCAACTCGCAAATGACTCGACGTGGATGGGAAGAACCAAATGAGAAAAGAAGAACAAGGATCAAGAGCAGAACAAGTCTACTTCCTCTCTCTTCCTCTCCTGTTGTCTCGTGGGCTGTCTCCGTCTAATAAGCGGGACAGCCCCCCTCGGCCCGGCTGAAAGCGTTGGCAAAGAACTCTTGCATGGCAGTGTAGTGGAAGAGAATGCCGCCCAAGACGGCCGCGTGCCAGAGATTGTGGCTGCCTCCGATGTAGTCGAAGCAGCCGGGGAACCATCGCTCAGGGACCTTGCTGGCGTACACGATGGCGCCGCTCAAGTACACGAGGAGGGACTTGCTGATGGGGGAGTAAAAATTGTAGACAAACTCGGGGCCGTGGGAAAGGGTGAGCTGCAGGATGGGCATGAACCCCGTCAAGGCCAAGCCGACGAAGAAGCCGACTCGGGCCCAGGCCATGTCGGGGCCGTTGAAGGTGGGATGCCACGGCAGAATGACGCCTCCGATGCCGAGCATGGCAGTGAGGCCCATGTACGTCCACCGGCTGACGGGATCGCAGTAAAAGGCCGTGTACTCGGTCGTCATGATGGACGCGGCAATAAGCAGCGAGATGCCCGTGTAGTCAACGCACGCAAACATGGAGACGGCGTTGACGTCTGCAACGGCGTTCATGGTGTGCCAGATGGTGGAGCAAACCAGCGTCAGGCAGGCCATCATGAAGAAGATGGCGGCTACGACAACGTCTGTCTTGGTGCTGAGGTAAAAGTTGGCGCTGCTAGGGTAGAAGTAGAAAGCCACGGCCAGCACCAGGATCAGGCCCAGGGCATGGGACCAGATGTTGATGAACTCGTTGGACATGTTGAAGACGGATGCGATGCATTCAATCTTTGTCTCTCGGAAGCGGTAGCCCTTTTTGATGTGGGGGTTGTTCCGCCAGGGTGTGGGCAGTTCGTCGTACAGAAGCAGTCCTCGATCCCGCGCCAGCACAACGGCCTGTTGGATATGCTCCTCCAGAGACAGAGCAGCCCGGACGGCGCGCTCGATTCCCTCGTCGACAACCGACTTTGCTCGCTCGATGCTCTCGTTTGCCACCCTGCGGCCCTCGTCCATAAATGCCTCGGCGGCAGTGGCAGCGTTGGCGAAGCCCTGCTCGCGCAGCTTGTAGGCGCGGTTTTCAAACTCGGACAGCATTCCCTCGAGCAGTTCGATGCCCAGCCCCGCCTTCTCGTGCAGAGATTCGGTCGCCTCCAACGTCTCCTGGTACCGGGTCTCGAGGGTTTCGATCATGATGTGAAGCCTGCGTCGGCCGGCGCCGATGACCTCCTCGGACGCCTGCGAGCATCTCGTCCGGACGGCCTGAAGAGTGGAGAATGCGCGCGAAATGCTCGAGTCTTTGCTGAGGTCAACGTAGTTTTCGACAAATTCCAGGCGGCGCTCCAGCTCGGTCAGGAACAGGTCGACCTTGAGCAGCAGGTTCTCTTCGCCCTCCATGATGTGGCCGACGATGGACTTGCGCCGGGGAATGAAGAAGGAGTGTCGCCGTCGTCTTGCTTGCTGAGCCTCACGGCGCAAGTCGGAGCCACTGGCAGCGGCTGAGGGGTCGGCGTCGCTGTCGTGACTGAAGCCGCACGCCGACGTGAGGGCAGTTGTGACGCCCGCCATTTTTGTGGTCGAGAGAGGCGGGATTAGAAGAGGTCGGACGCTATCATACCAGTTGGAGCCTCGAGAGGGTTGGATTGTCTTGGATCTGAGCCAGACGGGCAGCTGAGAGAGGCACGAGCCTTGACAAGTGCGGATGATTGGCCCAAGCCCCAAGGAGGCGAAATGTGAGTGTCCGGGAGACAATCAGAAGACACGTGAAAAGAGAGCAAGAAACGAGATCTTTGCCGCAGCGTGGCTGTTGGGCACAGGGCGACAGTTCGCTGATCGGAAGAAGCGGGACGAAGCGGTTTGATGGGAGTTTGCGGCAGTGATTGGCCCCAAAGCTTTTAACGTGCCCCAAAGGCTGTTTGTTGAAGGTCCGGTTCGTCTTGATGCGGGTCGGGGAGCCTATTCGGGGGGATTTGCGGCGCCAGGAGGAGGCGCGATTGGCTGGTGGTGGCCAGGGGAGGATGCAGAAGAAGAGGCGAGGGAAAGGATCGCTATCGCTCACTGCAAGGCGAAGAACGTTGGTTCTTGTTCTTTGTTTCTTTGTGGTGTTGAGAGAGAGAGAACGGAAGAATGAAGTTTGAGGTCAGCGGCAACAAAGACTCGGAGCTGAGAGTAGGTACTTTGCACATGTACTGCCTCTCAAAGGAATGCAGGTAGTACCTCCAAGCAGTGTTTAGGGGTGCCGGTACCTCTGGCTTGGCACGGAGCCCGCGTGCACGGCCTCTTTGCGGGAGACGAATCGGATCGAAGGGCGGGAGAAGTCCATCGGCTCCAGAGACGGGCAATCCGAATCCTTTCTCCATGGAAATACGACGACAAGTTTTTTGCATCTACTACATACCTTAATATTACTGTTGAATCCTTGCGCGGGTAAGCAGCCATGCTCTGCCGTCGTAGAAGTAATACTACTGGTAACTGCCTGTCCCTGGTTGCTAAAACAAATAGCCTCGATTTGTTCCGCAGATCGGAGGCTTTCGCCTCTGTCCGGGCGCATTTCCCAAGTGCGAGCCCCATGTCAGTTGTATGTACTGTACCTTATTCATATTGCGTAGATGACGATCCGTAGATGACAAGACAAGAGCACTATCAGCTCAACATCATTTATGCCATCTTCGTACAGGCACAACAGAATGCTGTCATGACATACTATGAGTGCTTCGTGCCGCTACTTACTCCCTTGTCATGACGCTCTCACCTCCGCCAGAACGGCCCTGACAGCTGCAGGTACAAGGGACCAGCCCCGAGAATCGCCAGTTGATTCGACACCGGCATCGCCTCTTCCTCCACACTCTCCTTTTGAACAGAGAGAAGCAGATGGTATTAATCTCCCGCCTTTCCGGCATCCGAGACGCGGGCTTGGCGTGCCTTGAGATGCCAGGATGAGCATCCCTTCGATTTGTCACTTCACTGTGAAGGTACCTAATTGTGTGTGCACATTCAGTACTTACCTAGGTTCCCCAACGGCCCACGGAATGTCGTAGGGCCGTGCAGTTGCGCTTTTATCCCCGACTTACTTACAGCCTTGCACTAACGCGACAAAACACCAGCTGCCGAGACCCATCACCTCTCAGCCTTGCTTCCTGACACTTGATCATTGTCGATCCATCTCCATCAAACCCATCTCAGATCTTATCCTCGAAGCCAGCGTCACGTGAAGCTCTTTACTCTGCCCATCAATTGACCGATCAATCAATCAACGGATCGATCGATTCCCATCGACCTCTTTCTTCCCGCCAATCCTCCACCACAACCACCTCTCCCCCCCAAAAGAAACATAGCAGCCATGGCCGTCGACAAAATCGTCACAGAGCCTTCCCTCGCCGCCGTCCTCCAAATCTCCGACCAGGCCCGCGACCAGGCCCACGCCCTCCTCCAGCTCGCCGACCGCGCCAGCGACGGCCGCGCCTCCGCCGAGGCCCAGGCCGAGATCGCCAAGCAGCAGAAGCAGCTCTTCACAAACATCTCCCACCTGCGCGGCCTCCACCGCAGCGCCTGCCTGGCCGCGCGCGACACCAAGGCCCAGACCGCCGAGGCGCGCCAGGAGGTCGACCGCCTGCATCTGCAGCTGCAGAACCTGTATTACGAGCAACGCCATCTCCAGGGCGAGATTACGGGCTGCGAATCGTACGAGTATGTCTTTTTTGGTTTTTTTTTTGTTTTTCCCCTTCTTCCTCTTTTGTCCCTTTCCCTTTCTCTTCTCTTTTCTTCTCTTCCCTTACGACGACCGTCATAATGGGTTGAGGCTGGACTGGACTGACTCTTTGTCTTAGCCACAAATACCAGCAGCTGCCTCTCATCCCCCTCGAAGAGTTCCTCGCCCTAAAACCCGAGTACAAAGACTCCACCGACGACGAGCGCATGTTTGCCCGCATCGAGCACGAGCGGGAAGAGCGCGAGATCCTCGAGCAGCGCCGCCAGGAGCTCCTCAAGCGCAAGCAGAAGCTCATCGCCGAGAACAAGCGGAGAAAAGACGACCTGGCCAATCTGGACCAAGACCTGGAAAAGTTTATCGATGTATGTTGTTCCTTTTTTTGCGTGTTGCGACAATCATGTTACGCGTAATCCCTGCGGACTGCGTGATATGTGCGTAATAAGTATGCTAATCTGGTCCTCTGCTTAGGCTGCAAAACCGATCCTCGAATTGTTTGAAAAAGCACCTTGAAGGCCAGCGTCGCTTTCCTGTCTCTGTTTAATGTTTTGCTTGATGACGGCCACCGACGGCCACTTATGATACCATGACTTCACGCGGTTCTAGTCGCGTTCTACGCGGAAGCTTCGCACTTGTCAAGATGTAGGTTGGAAAGAACATGGGCAAGGGCTACATCTGTTGTGAAAGGGCTATATCTGTTGTGAAGAGTTGATACCCAGACTACGTCAAGACCCAAATCCGGCGGGTCTGCGAACGCTACTATTCTGACACAGCCACTTCGACCAGCTTCAACAACAGAGTATGCCCATACTGCTTGAATCCTTCTGGGGAGGACTGCCCTCGGCCAATTCAGGGGGCGAAAATCATATAACTAGTACAAATCATTCTGAAGGAATATTCTTTGCTATCGTGTAAACTACCCGGAGCGTAATGTACAAAGTTGCTCGGGTAATTTGCCGCGAGCACGAAGATTGATATAGAGCAAATAAGAAATTCCGGTAAGACTTCTCGAAATATGAAAAGAGGAAAGAAGAGAGAAGGAAAGCAGAAGAAGAAGATGAAGGGAGACTCTGATCTAGACGCTGCCGGGATGCAACTTTGTAGCCCTTGCCCTGCATCTTTCTCCCCCATCGTGATAGACGGTGAGGTAGCTGGTGCTAGTAGTTGAGCTCGCCCCCTCCGCCTCCATTTCCAGACACCTGATCAAGGTCTTCGTAGCTCTTCAAGCTGCGGCCCTGCACAGCTTCTCGGGGGCCGGCAGCAGCAGCGCCGGCTCCGTCTCCCCATCGGGATCCGCCGTTGCGGTTACGGCCGCCGCCTCCGTCCCAGCGTCCGCCTCCACGGCGTTCGTAGGGGCCGGAACGGTACCCGCCTCGCCCGCCAGACATCCCACCACGGCGGATCGGCCCTCCTGCGCGGTCATCGCCCATGGAGTTCCAGCCATTGGCTTGCATGCCGGCGAACAGCGAGGGGAAGCTGCCGGGGTTCATGGGGAATCCCGGCATGCCCATGACGCCATTCATGGAGAAGTTCTGCAGGTTGAAGCCGCGAGGGGTACCGGATGCCGACTGGCCGTTGGTAGGCGGGAAGTGGCCGTTGGAGTTTGCATCAGTGCGCGAGGGGGCAATGTGTGCTGGGTCTGACACGTAGGCGTTGATGAGCTCGAACTGGGATCAGGTTAGACAAAGATCGAGGCGCAACAGCAAGAGAGCGATGGGGTTCGTCAAACACGGAGCTTCCACATACCTCTTGCTTCAAGCCCTCCAGCCACTCCGTATGCCTCTTCTCCACGTGCTTCTTCCAAAAGTGGTCTTCCTTGAAGAGCTTGGTGCATTCTGGAACCTTGCATCTCCATTTATGCTCGTCCTCCTGCTTGACATACTTGGTCAATTCCTCGTCAATGGCTTCATCAACAGGCTTACCGCCAAGCTTGCGGATGTCGATCGACTCGGGCTCCAGGATCTGCATCAGCTTGTCCTCAAACGTCTTCACCCAATTGTAGGCGCGCAGAAGCTGTTGCTCAGACTTGGAAGATGTGTTGCGGAACTTCTTTTCTCCTTCGGCAACCTCACCGTCCACGTCATTCTCGGCTTCGTTTCGCTTCTTGTCTGGGAAAGGCTCTCCATTTGCGCTGGCCCTGGCAACGGCCCTGGCAGAAGACGAGAGAGTGCTCTGGGGACGGCGCAGATGTCCTCCTGCGCACTTGCGGGTGAGCTCGTGCACAGAGTCGCTCTCGAACACGCAGAAGAAACAGAAGTGGAAGACCCTGCGCAGATACTCGATCAGCAAGTCAAGCTGCTTCTTCTTCACCAGCAGATCCTCATCGTCGACTTCCTCGTCTTCCACAGCGCCCTCTTCCTCCTCCTCTTCTTCTCCATCCTCGTCCATCGCCTCGTCCATACCAGGTTCCCGAGTCTTGTTGACCTTCTTCGTTGGTGTGGGGGGGATGGCGGGCTGTAGCCGGCCGGCGTTCTTCAGGTCCTCAACCTTTTCTTCAATTTTCGGGATGGCCTGGAAGTCAGAGCCATACTCTTCTTCAAGTTTGTTGACCAGGCGCTGGACAAGACGGAGATCCTTTTCAATCCGCTCCGGAGCGGAGAACAAGTCCCAGAGGGCCTTCTTCCGCGGATGATGCGGTGGGTTGTGGACTCCAACGTGGCAGACAAAGTCACCCCTGACCTCGTCTTTGACCGTCTTGCCGTTGATAGCCTCGAGGGCCTTCTCCGCAGCAGAGACAGGAGGCGGCGGCGTCTTTATCGCCTCATCACCATCCTCGTCCTTGGGATTTGCCCGATCCATCGGCGGCGCGCTTTCCGAAGAGGGATGAAGCATAACCCATCCAATGCGGTGATATCTTTTGCTCGGATTCGGGTCGGACAGGGACAGCCACTTGAACCCACCCTCTTCCTCACCCAGATTCTCCTTGCAGAAAGCTTCTAGGTTTTGGCGGCTGACATGAGGGGCAATGGTCTTGATGAGCAGAGTGGGCTGGAACTGGTTCTCGTCGCGAATGTCAGCGCCGTTTACGGGGACCAGATCGCCGACTCCCAAGATTTCGTTAGCGGCCGTCGCCTCGCCCTCTTCTTTTTCAATCACACCACCAGCGCCGTTGCTCTCGCTCTTTGGAATTCCCTCGAGAGAAAACTCGTCAAAGGTGCCGGACTCCAAATCCTGCTCCCACTGACTGTAAGCCGCTCGTCGGAAATCTTGGAGCTTTGCCTTGAACTCGTCTCTGATCTCAGGGACATAGCGTTCCCTGAACCACTGCTCCTTCTTATGCTCCGCAACAAAGGCTCTGGCCATCTTGGCTTGAAGCTCTTCCTTGTATGCATCGTATGCCACTTGGATCTTGGCTTTCTCCTTCTCTCGCTCCTCTTGAGTCTCTCGAGCGCCTCTAGGTCTTTCAGGCTCTCGTCTCCGCCCAGTCCGCGCGCGCTCCTTCTCCTCCTTGATCTTTTCGTTCATTCTCCACCATTCGCCGAAATAGGAGAAACCAACTTGGTAAGGAAGCTTGGCTGGATCTTGCAGAGGATTGACGGCAATGCCGGATGATCCACTGTCCTGTCCAGGCACGTAGCGGTCGATATTTGCCGGCGGTGAGGTGATACGACGCCGATCATCTCTGTCTCGATCTCTGTCTCTGTCGTCTCGGCCGTCTCGGCCATCTCGACGAGGTCGCGGCTCGTACCGATCAACGGGAGGAGGGGACCGCGAACGTCTTCGGTCTCGGCGCTCATTGCCTGGAAACAGCAACAGTCAGCAAGCGGTCTCAACACTCAATAGCATTGATCTGATAAGACGAACCAGGAGACCTCGCGCGATAGAAGCCATCATTTCTATCTTCCCTAGTCCGAGATTCATCACGACCCCACGTTCTTTCGTTCGGCGAGCGGCCCGAGCCATCGCGGTAGGATGAGTAGGAGTCCATTGTTGCTGCTCACTTGGCTTGAGGACAAGTTGACCACGGAGACAGAGGATTGGTCCCAAAGTCAATTATCAGTCAATTGTCGTTGAGCATCAGAAGCATTGACATTGACGGCCCCTAAGGAGGAATCAACTGCAGGAGCGCCCTACTGGATGGCGGAAAACCGGCAGTTAGAAAAGACATTCTGACCCAATATTGGACAAGTGGACACGAAGAAAAAGAAAAAGAGAAAGAGAGAAGAGAGAAGTAGAACGAGAAGAAGAGAAGATGAGAAAGATATGGATAGCAGAGGAACAGATGCCAACTGATATAACAAAAGGAGGGCTCGACACGTAGGCTTCTTGGGAGGGCGAGAGGAGAGGCAGAGATAGATAAAAGAGAGAACAGAGGCAGACAATTGCCGGTTGCCGAGAGCTCGGCCACGGGACGGCAGGAGGGAGGACGATGCAGGAGAGAGGAAAAGAAGGGGAGCAGGGACGAGACGAGAATTGAGGCGTGACAAGAAAGGGATGACGAACTGAATTGATAAGCGCGGCTGAGGCTGGCGATTGCGCGACGGCGGTGATGCGCCTGGAGGATCGCGGAGTTGAGATGAAGAGGTTCAGGTTGCAGGTCGGAAGAGGCTGGAGGCCATGCTCAAACGAGGTGGAGCCGAAGACGGCCGCGACACGCGCACTCGGTGGAGAGGAGTGCGGCTGCGAGGGTCGCACTGTACAAGCGACACCTAACGGCTGCAATCGGGTTGGCCAAAAAGCCCTATGGGGCGGCGTCATCTGCCGGTGCACCGCTGGCCAGTAGGCGGCCGTTAGGCGGCGACACAGTGTAAGCGCTTCTCACTCGATACGGTATCACTCCGCTGGCGATACGAGTGGCCCGCCCACGCCTTATCTAATCAGGCCGGAGCTCCCTTGCTCCCCCAGAAGCTGGAGAGTGGCGATCTCCGATTCCGATTGCTGGCCGTCGCCGTACTAACAGACTGAATGTATGGGGTATGTGCATGTGCCCAACATCTCCCGGCCTCAGAGGCGTCATCTTGCTTACGACCAGGAGCCTGCATGTCTTCAATCGGCCGGCTATCGTACATACATGTACATGTATAGTATATATATATCTCTCTGACTCGCCATCTTGTCTCTCTCTCTTCCCTGCCGTTCCGCCTCCTCGACAGCCGCTCGCGTGCCCATAGGATGCAGCAATTGGAGCCATCATATCCAGATCCGGCCGTGGGAATTAGATGCCAGACGGGCTGACGCGAGACCAACTTCCAGGATGGAGCGGTTCAAGTACAACAGCGCGGTTGAGGCCTTCCGCGATGAGGAATATCCAATGCTGCAGGGTAAGCAAGCACCTCGACTCTCATGCCATGACACGACCTGATTCTGGAGACGTTTTCTGACATGTGGTGTGGTCATCTACGCATAGACTCCGTATATCTGGATCATGCCGGGTCTACGCTATGTTCAAAGTCTCTTATGGATGCGTTTGCCAAAGAGATGACCTCGGTGCTTTACGGGAACCCCCATTCCGGATCATCACCATCGCAGCGCTCTTCGTCACGGATTGACCAAGTGCGCGTCCGCCTTTTGGACTTTTTCAAGGCCGACCCTGATCAATATGATTTGGTCTTTGTGGCGAATGCAACCGCTGGCGTAAAGCTGGTGGTTGAGGGCATGAGGTCCTTGCCTGAGGGCTACGTGCTTGCCTATCATCAAGCCTGTCACACCAGTGTGGTAGGGGCAAGAGAAGAAGCACACGAAAGCGTCTGCCTCGACGACAGCGGAGTGCAGTCCTGGCTTGGCGGAAAGAGTCCATTCAAGCCGAAGACTGGTGGCTCTCCCGCAACGTTATTCGCCTATTCTGCCCAGTCTCATATGGACGGGAGGCGATATCCGCTGTCATGGGCGAAGCAGTTGAAGCACAGCGAGGCTCAATCTTCATCGCGGACGTTGGTCCTCTTGGATGTGGCATCCTTGAGTGCCACCTCCCAGCTAGACCTTTCCGACCCTCGGTTTGCTGCCGACTTTGTTGTCACAAGCTTGTACAAGATATTTGGATTCCCTGACTTGGGCGTTCTGCTGGTTCGTCGCTCTGCTGAGTCTGTATTCGACCGCCGAAGATATTTCGGGGGCGGCACGGTAGACGTCGTGCTCTGTGGAGACGAGCAGTGGCATGCTCCAAAGTCATACTCTCTTCACGAACGCCTGGAGGATGGGACTCTCCCTTTCCATAGCATCATCGCCACCGACATGGCGATATCGGCTCACCAACGGATGTTCGGCTCGATGGACCGGATCAGCGCTCACACGGCATATCTCAGCCGCGAGCTATGTCGAGGCCTGCATAGCTTACGGCACGCAAATGGGAGCCCTGTTTGCCACATTTATTCTGAGATACCAGACGATGCAACACCTGTGGAAGCTGGTCCGGTTGTCTCTTTCAACCTCAGGGATAGCCGTGGCTTGTGGATAGGACTTGCTGAGTTTGAGAAGCTGGCTGTTCTCAGGAAGATGCATATCAGAACAGGAGGCTTGTGCAGCCCTGCGGCGCTTGCGTCTGCCCTTGAACTGCAGCCTTGGGAGTTGAAGCGAAACCTTTCTGCTGGCATTCGCTGTGGTGAGGATGGTGACCGATGTACCAACAAGCCCACCGGCATCATACGTGCTAGTTTTGGGGCGATGAATACTCGATCGGACGTCTCTCGCTTCCTCGCCTTTGTGCAGGAATTCTTCGTTGAACAGAGCTTGAGAATACCCGGCGAGGTAAGCCCTACTTTGAGGTCGAAGCCGCCTAGTACGCCGTCAAACTTGCAGGTCAAGGCTATCACGGTGTATCCGATCAAGAGCTGTAGTGGCTACACGATTCCACCTGGAGTGTGCTGGGAGGTGAGGCCAGAAGGGCTTGCCTGGGATCGTGAATGGTGTCTGGTCCACCGAGGATCAGGCCAAGCTCTCAGCCAGAAACGGTACCCCCGAATGGCCCTCCTTCAACCTTTGCTGCTTTTCGACGAGAATGTGCTACGTGTGAAATACCGCGGCACAACCGCCAAAGGGCAACCTACCCAAGTGGACATCTCGCTATCCAACAATCCTTCTGACTATGACGTCGATTTTCGACAAACAAGCTCGAGGGTTTGTGGCGAGAACATCTCTGCGCACTCATATCTCTCCGAAGAGATCAACAGTTTCTTCAGCAACTCCTTGGGGGTTCCGTGTATGTTGGCAAGGTTTCCGGCGGGAGGACGTGGAGCCAGCAGCAGGCTCTCAAAGGCTCGATTGCAGAAGCACCAGAGGACCGAAAAGGCCCCAAGCGGACAGCCGTCTCCTTTCCCCGGCGTCCCATCTCCGCCCGACTCGGATTCGGAACAGCAAGTTCAGCCAGGGAAGATTTTACTTTCCAACGAGAGTCCGATGCTCATGATAAGCAGCTCGAGTGTGGAGATGCTGAACCAAGCCATCACCGAATCTGGAGCATCTGCCGTGGATGAATCCGTGTTTCGAGCAAATGTCGTAATTGAGGCCGTTCCAGGGCAGCGCAGTCCACCGCCTTACTCGGAGGATTCGTGGAGGAGGATCCGCATTGGAGACCATGGCTTCAAAATGTTGGGGGCCTGCCAGCGATGCCAGATGGTCTGTGTTGATCAAACGACTGGGGAGAGAAGGCAAGAGCCGTTTGTCACCCTGGCGAAAACAAGACGACTGAACGGCAAGGTCTACTTCGGTACACACATGCGGCACGAGCAGCTGGATGAGAGCGCAGAATCGGATGCCGTGAGGCCGACGATACAGGTTGGAGATGCAGTAGTTGTGGATGAGCAGGAGGAGGGGGAGGGAGCGGAAGAACGAGAGAACGCGGAGGGGGGAGCATCAAACGGAGCTTGAGAAGGGCGATGACCCGGATGCGAACTTTTCAGAGACACTTCGCAGAACACGGACACTTTCAAAGTGCAACATCGATATGCCTACGCTACCGGATGGTTCGTCTTGCAATAAAGTTAACGATGCGGAGTAAATTCCACGCCATGGCGCCGCCCAAATGGATGCTTAATTAGACGACGCCTTCGGAGAGCAGATGTTCACCGACTTGTGGCTTCTCCTTGCCGATATCCTCCCTTCATACCTAATTTAGAATCACAGCTTCTCTCGGTTCCCCGCAGCAGTATGGACCATTCCATTCCTCGTCTCTGTCCCCTGGCTGATGTAAGATGTCTCACCTGAGCTTCAGCCTCGTCTGGACCCGAAAGCAGTGGTGTCTTGGCCTTGCGGATTGCAGCTGGTGGCTGGAAGCCAACGACGGAACTGCATCCGTGGAGGCTCGCCAAATGTCTACTACGACCTGCAACAGACATCATCACCGCCATCGATGCGTCGGTTAACAACTAGTTACCTTTCGCGCACAGCCTCCTCCCTCCTCCGGGAACAATTGAAACCTTGCCATGATCCACCGAGCCGAGAGTCTTGACTGTTCCGGTCGCGCGGCGTCGTCCTCTTTGCAGAATCCGTGTGTGGTGTAAAGCTACTCGACTTTAGAGCCACACTCCGGCATGATTCCAACCTCTTTTGTGTTCGCTTGATGGCGCCCCCGTTGAAAGTTTCCGTGGTGGCTCCGAGTCTGCAGCCATTCGCGGAAAGGTCAATTGTGTCCGTCGTCTACAGAGTTTGATATCAATACGACTGGATTATGTCTCAGTTTGGCTAGGCATGGCACAGAGGACTGGCCTTGGTGGTCCTCCTTGGTGGCCCTCCTCAGGTATAAAGGGGGCGGTTCTCCCCCGTCGAAATGGATTCTGGCTCTACATTCCTCCTCACACACACTTGCCAACTCAACATTGTCGTATTCAAAGAAAGCGCAATGTTCAAACTCCTTTGCATTTGTTTGCCCCTGTTGGCGAGAGTGGCGGTGGCTGTCCCAGCTACACTCAGTGAAAGATGTGATGATCCGAATCCATCACCTTTCGCCGAGCCTGCGGCAGCCACCTCGAGCGGTCCTCTGCCGTTCGACACAGAGACGGGCGATGTAGAGCACATCCACCTAGAGCCGTTCGATGCAGTGCCAGTCGGACCCGAGCCTGTCGACTCATGGGTCAGCATCGAGGACGGACACGGCTCGGAGGTGGTGGGACCGTCGCGGAAGAAAAACGTCGTCTACTTTGCCGACTGGTGAGTTCTCCGCACTTTGATGAATCGAAAGTCGTGCTCAGGTGAGGATACTGACAAGGTCATAGGAGTATCTACGACGCAGCTTTTCTGCCTCAGCAGCTCCCGGCAGAGGACATCACGCACTTGCTGTACGCATTTGCGGGGATCGCAGACGATGGATCTGTGTAAGTGCCGTCAACTTTCTGCCCCGGTTCGGAAGTGCCATTGTTTGCTGACAAGACATGCAACAGCATCTCGATGGATCCTTGGGCAGACGAGGAGAAGATGCTCTCCGTTCCTGGAAGAAACGATTCCCAGGGCCCCGGCGATGTTCACGGGGCAGTGGAGCAGGTCTTCTTGCTCAAGAAGAGGCATCGTCATATGAAGACGTTGCTGTCCATCGGCGGCTGGAACATGTCGCAGTCGGGCAAGTTCGGGCCCGTCCTCAACACAAGCGAGGGCCGAACACGCTTCGCCAAGACGGCGGTCAACCTGCTCGCCAACTGGGGACTCGACGGCATTGACATTGACTACGAGTACCCCATCAACGAGCACGATGCCCGGACGTTCGTCGACCTGCTGAGGGAGTGTCGAAAGGCCTTGGATGAGTACGCGAGCCTCCACAGCCAGCGGTATCACTACCTCCTTACCGCGGCGGTGTCTGCTGCACAGCAGCACTACAAGTGGCTGGACATGCCCGCGATCGATCGATATCTCGACGCGTGGCATCTGATGGCCTACGACTACGCCGGCAGCTGGGACGACGAGACGGGGGACCAGTCCAACGTCTTCCATGACGAGGCGAACCCGAGCAGGACCAAGTCCAACTCCGACCAGGCAGTGAACGACTACGTTGCCGCGGGCGTCAACCCCGAGAAGATCATCCTCGGCATCCCCCTCTACGGCCGCTCGTTCCTGAACACGGACGGGCCCGGCAAGCCGTACAAGGGCGTCGGGCGGGGATCGATCGAGAAGGGGGTCTGGCTGTACCGCGACCTGCCGCGGCCCGGCGCCGTCGTCGACGTCAACCGAAAGACCATTGCCGCCTACAGCTACGACAACGCGACCAGGGAGCTCGTCACGTACGACAACATGGAGACGACGACGCTCAAGGCGGAGTACCTCGTCGACAAGGGCCTCGGCGGCGCCGTCTTCTGGGAGGCGTCGGGCGACCGCCAGGGAGACGAGAGCCTGGTCAGGGCTGTGGCGAGGAAGATGCGCCACCTCGACAATTCCATGAACATGCTGAGCTATCCCCAGAGTCACTACAGCAATATTCGGAATGCGACGAGGTGGTGATGTTCTTCTTCTTCTTCTCGGTTGGCGTGAGTGCTGGTCTGTTCGTTTGGCTGTTCGTTTGGCTGGTCCGGCTTTTCCATCGTCTTGTGTGGCGTTTTCTGGCTTGGTTGCTCGTAGAGGTTTGGCTTCGGTTGCTCATAGCTTGGGAATTGGCGATGCATTGTTTAGAGCAGTTGGACTGGGAGGTTCAAAGTAGCGACGATACGATACCCGATCCCTTTGGATCAAGTTTTGGATACATACACCTACATAGGCATAGCTACACTTCGTTTAATACTTAGTATCCTGACATCTACTCAACATGTCCTGTTCCCCCGACCCAGCAAGCCACAAATTGCCCAACTCCTACCTTTTAAGTAGGCGAAGTTCCCGAGGTGGCTTTTTTTTTTGAGCCCAATGTCTGCTCAGGGGCTTCGATCGGCAACGCCGTCAATCGACGTTGAAAGATTTAAACTCTTTGCCGAATCTCATAACCTCCTTTCTCCTCCTTTCGGCCGTTTCCTTTCTTTTTTCCTTTAACGAAAATGAAGGGAAAGACGAGAAGATTCGGCTGGGAGTTGTAGCTGATGCTGTTGGCTTGGGCTTCGTCTTCTCACGTTTTTTTTTTTTCCTCGGCTGGACTTGTTTCGTCGAGACATTTTCCCCAATATGAAAGGGGGGCTTGAAGTAGGATAAAAGTCAAGGAAGGTTCGGGAACGGAAAAGGTGTGAGAAGGCTGTTTGCGATCTTGAAGTTGGAGAACTTGAGTTGGTTCAACGATAGGGGCTGGTCATGGAATGGCGAGATACGGAAATCTGAGCTGCGTTTCTGACGAGTCTCCCGTATCGCGGGCGTCTACCCCCTTTTATCCTACCCAACAAGACTTCTCAAGGAAACATAAAGTAAGAAAAAAGGGGTATCATAAAGGATTCACTGCAAACGGATGGAACATCACTTAGCAACAAACCAAACCATTCATCCCATTCGAGAGGGTTCAGGGGCTGAATATCACCAAACCTCAGGTTCTTCCATCTCAAGACATACACAACACAATCTCCCTTCCCCCTGAACAGAACAGTGTAAAAAAGCAGCGGCACCAGCAGCAAAGTCTCTTGTGCAAAAACCAGCAAGGCAATTGCCTTTGTCTAGACGTAATCCTTTTTTTCTCTTCCCAATTTCCTACCTAATCAAGACAAAACTACAAATACACCCAGCACTCAAAAACAAAAATTACATGCCATCCTGGTTTTGTCCATCCCCGGGGGTATGAGAAGCGTCAACGCCGTGAAAGGCATCTCCAAACGCCGAGTCCTCCATGTCCATCTGCAGATCCAGACCGTCGCCGAGTCCGCCCGCCGAGCCGTCGAGCTCAGGGGCGTCGTATCCCGCCAGAGCATCGCCTGCCGTGTCCAGGTCGCCGAGGGAGCTAAAGTCGTTTTGGTCAAAGGACACAGAACCTCCCTCCGTGACCGCGGGAGTGGCTGCTGCTGAGGGCGCTTTCGTGGTCGCTGCCGGTGTTGATGCTTTAGCTTCGTCGCCCTCCGTAACGGTAGCGGGAGCGGAAGCAGCGGCAGGAGGCGCAGTAGCAGGAGAGGCAGAAGCAGGAGCAGCAGCAGGAGCAGCAGCAGTGACGGTGGAAGCATCATTAGGAGGTTGAGTCGTTGTCGCTGTCGTTGCCGTGGTCGTAGTCTGAGCCGCATCGTTAGCCGTTGCCTTGTCGTCATCCTTGGGCACCACAATCCAATCCCCGCTACCAGTGCCATGATCGGGCGTTGTTCGTACCTCGTTCTCGGCCGCACTATCGGTTCCGCCCATCTCGACGTCTCCCGACGGCTGCGGTGGAGCAGCGGGTGCGGGCACGGAGGCAGAAGTAGAAGCAGAAGTGGACGCAGGTACTGGCGCTGGCGAGGCGGCATTTGCAGTCTGTGATGGAGTGGCTGCGTTGGACGGACCAGCAGATGGATGGGCTTGGGGCGTCGGGAAGTTGTTCACCGGCGTCGATGCTGCGGAGAAGCCAGTGTGCATCTGGTCCAGCAGTCCGGATGCCGTGTCACCCATGTCCATGTCGGTTTCGCCCATCAGTGCGCCGCTTGCTTGAGAGCCCGCCCGCGACGGCTGCCGCGAGAGCTCCGCTGTTGAGCCCGGGGCGGGAGGCTCAGGGGCAGGGGCTTGGTAGCCGCCATCCTGGATGCGCTTGGAGAGCGGCAGGCTGACAATCTTTCGGCCCAGCGATGCCTCGACCTCTTGCACGATCTGATCGATGGAGTGCTTGGAAACATGATGACGGCCGGTGGGCTCCTCCTCGGACTGGTGTTTTGAGTGAGGCCCGTCCATGATGGACCTCAGCTCCCTCTCCTTTGTCTTGAGCAGCGAGTGTTCCCTCAGCGCAGCCATTGCCTTCTGATGCTCCTCTTCCATTTTCCGCATCTCGGCCTCGGTCGAGCTGACATAGTTGTCGACGCGCTTGCGGAACTCATCCGCTTGTCCAGGGTCCAGACGCCCGATATATGCCTTCTCAGGGGCCTGGCTGTATGCCTCGCCACCCTGAGCAGTGAAGATGCCCTCTGTCAGGGACGCCAGCTCGCCCTTGAGGCCCAGCCCCAGGTCTGCTGGCGTGATCTGGCCTATCCTGTACGCAGAAGAGAGAATCTCCTCCATCCACTCGTGGTTCTGCTGGTAACGGCTCATGGAAATCTCCCTCGGTGTCAAGTGATCAAACATGTCTCCCCTCGAAATGTCCTCGTCATCGTCAAAGGCAGCGTCGACGGGCGGCATCCCCGGCGGCAGCGCGGCTTGCTGAGCCTGGGCCTGGGCCTGAGCCTGGTTATGGCGAACCCTCTTTGGGGGGGGACCCGGTGCCGGCGGCTGAGCAGGGTATGCCATCTGCTGAGGCACGCCTCGAGGATTCATCTGGGGCCCCATCTGCTGACGAGTGAGCTCTGGCAGCGAGGGCCAGTTGACCCTGTCTGACAGCATGAACTCCTTGCGGCGGATCTGGCCTGCTCTTTGAAGGAAGTGGCGCTGTTGCATGATCTGGTTCACCCGATCGTCGTACGGGATCATGGCGACGGGGATACGATCGTTCATCTCCGCGGGGCCGTAGTGCACAATGAACAGGTTGGGATCTGGCTGCGGGGGGTTGGGGTGTCCGGGGACGGGAACGAGTCGGAACCGCCTTCGAGCGTGGAGGGCGAACTGCTCGCCGGGGATATATCCGGCCTTGAGGTAGTATATCTCGAGCATCTGCAATCAGTGTCAGCCAGTGTCCAAGGGCAATTCACCACGGCTCAATGCTCTCGAGGCAGGCAGAGAGAACGAGGGAGAAAAAGACCAACCAATCCATTGCCCAGGTCATGCTTGTAGATTTGCTCGGGCGGCGCCCAGACGAAGCCATCCGTGGCGAAGTTGGTCCCCAGCCGCGAGAGGGGCTGCCATGTCAACAGGATGGTGCCGTCAGCGGGCTTGTCGAGATACGTCCAGAAGAAAGGCGCCTGGTCTCTGGCGATCTGAGGGGCAGCCATGAGCCACTTGGCAACCTCGTTGAAGTCGAGCCGGGGGATCGCTGGGTATCGGTACGACGAGATGAGGTGGACGTGTGGCATCTGGTTTTCCGTTGTGTCAGCAGCAGAATCAGCGTGGCATAGCGACGGCTCGCAGAGTCGCATAACGAGGGGGACTCACAAGGTCCTGGGGGACGCTGTTGCTGGGATTGGGTTGCGCCATGCTTGCGGCTGTCGATTGCATTGGATTCCCTTGGTGGTTTTCTGAAAGTAGGAGGCGGAAGCTATTGATTCTGCGGCGGGGACAGCTACTCTATCGCAGCTCAAGACATCCAAGTCGTATTGAGAAGAGTAAGCAGAATAAAGGAAGAATGGTAATTATTAAAGCACCCGCGAGATGCTATCGCGAGCTGCAGTTTGGCAGTAGTTCGGCCGGTCAATCCGGGACAATGTCCAATGCGCACCGCGCGACACGTGATCGAGCGCCGCCTAAGAATTCCGGGGAAATGATGCCGACGACGCAGATGCAACGGCCGGGGACTGCGACGAAGCGAAGATGCAGAGCGTGAGGATGCGAGAGGGTGCGGCTGTCGTCTGGAGTCGCGCGAAACCCGAATTTGTCGCGACGAGGCTGGACAAAGGGCGAGGGCCAATGGGACGACAACATTGGGCGCAAGAGTGGGTCTGCCTCTCGCTGAGATTCCAAGGTACACGCAAGGCACCAAGTCCAGACACGGTACGATCATGTACTGCTACTACCTTACCCACTACCTACCAACAACAGACATCTCTTATAATCGAACTTCACAGCAATTTCGCATTATTCGGGTACTGCAGCGGCTGATATTCTACATCATTGAGGATTGAACATGCTTGCCTCGAGGTCTCGGCACGTCAACCACATGCCCCTCTAAAGCACCCTCGTTCTAGTACAATCTCCAACAAGAAAATACTAGACTTACTGACAACTGTTTACGGTGCCTTGGCACACACCAGCCGCAATTGATTCGGAACCCCTTGGTAATAACTTTTACTGCTTTTTGAATTCGCACTACGAACCTAATTATCCCTTTTTATGTAACATTATCATTGCTATTCATACCCAACTTTGACTGATTTCCCCCCAACCCGTTTCTAGCCAAGCAACTTTATGCCTGGTATGTTGAGGCAGAAACGTTGCCACCACGGCCGGTCCAGTTGACGTGGATGTCCTTGCCCTCGGGGTACTTGTCTGAGGCGTGCTCGGGCTTGATGTGGAAAGTGTGGGCGCCAAAGTAGTCACGCTGGGCCTGCAGCAGGTTGGCGGGGAGGTCCTTGGTGCGGTAGCCGTCGAACCACGACAGGGCGGTGCTGAAGGCGGGAGTGGGGATACCCAGCTCGGCGGCCTGGGCAACGACGGCTCTCCAGCCGGGCTGGGCCTTGTGGATGGCGTCGTTGAAGAAGTTGTCGAAGAGCAGGTTCTTCAGGTCAGGCTCGTTGCGGTAAGCAGAGGTGATGTCCTTGAGGAAGACGGATCGGATGATGCAGCCACCGCGCCACATGAGGGCGATGGAGGGCTTGTTGAGCTTCCAGTTGAACTCGCGGGCAGCCTGTCGGAAATCGCGGGATTAGCTCGGGTCTACGAGATCATGGCAAGGGGTACCGAGATATGCTTACCTCCTGCATGAGCATGAAGCCCTGGGCGTAGGAGATGATCTTGGAGGCGTACAGGGCCTGCTCGAGGTCCTCGAGGAACTGCTCCTTGTTGCCCTCGAACTTGCCGCTGCCACGGGCGACGTATCGGAGCTTGGTGGAGGCCAGGGTACGCTCGTCCTTGATGCCGGACAGGCATCGGGCCAGGACAGCCTCGGCGATGAGGGTGACGGGCATGCCGAGGTCGAGGGCGTTGATGGCGGTCCACTTGCCGGTTCCCTTCTGGCCAGCCTTGTCCAGAATCTTGTCAACCAGAGGGGTGCCATCGTCGTCGTTGAAGTACAGGATGTCGCGGGTGATTTCAATCAGGAACGAGTCCAAAACGCCCTTGTTCCACTTGGCGAAGACGTCACCAATCTCCTTGCTGGAGAGACCAAGACCGCGCTTCATGATGTCATAAGCCTATGAGAAAAGCTCATGTTAGCCCACGAACCAACAGCCGTAATCCATATGCCAGCCAGCCAGCCTGGCATGTGTCTCTAGTGGAATCGAAATACTATTCAGCCAAGCGCTTACCTCGCAGATGAGCTGCATGTCACCGTACTCGATACCGTTGTGAACCATCTTGACGTAGTGACCAGCACCCTCGTCGCCGACCCACTCGCAGCAGGCCTCGCCGTCGCTCTTGGCAGCGATGGCCTGGAAGATGTCCTTGATGTAGGGCCAGGCCTCCTCGTTACCACCGGGCATGAGAGAGGGGCCGTATCGGGCACCCTCCTCGCCGCCGGAAACACCGGAGCCGACGAATCGGATCTTCTTGGCGGCCAGCTCCTTGGTGCGGCGGTTGGAGTCGGGGAAGTGGGAGTTGCCACCGTCGATGATGATGTCGCCCTCGTCGAGGAGGGGCAGCAGGCGCTGGATCCACTCGTCAACGGGCTTGCCGGCCTGGACGAGGAGCATGATGCGGCGGGGCGACTTGAGCTTGCTGATGAACTCCTTGTCGTCGTGGGCGCCGACAATGGACTTGCCCTTGGCCTCGTTGGCCAGGAAGTTGTCGACCTTGGAAACGGTTCGGTTGTAGGCGCAGATGGTGAAGCCGTTGTCAGCCATGTTGAGGATCAGGTTCTGTCCCCTGGAGAGCGTGTGTGTCAGCGGTTACGGCGGCCAACGAAGACCGGAATCGGGGGAGGATTTCCAGATTGGATTGGTTTGCAACTTACATGACAGCAAGGCCGATGAGGCCCAGATCCGCGCTTGGAACATTGTCAGCATTTCTTGAAGCTTGGCCGGCAGAGGAGGAGTCAGGTTCCGAGGCGCCGCCAAGCACGATGTTGGCGAGGCGAGCGCTGCCTCAGGACTATGAGCAGGGTACATGAAAGTGAAGGAAACGGAGCTCTAAGAGTGATACAGCTCGGGAAAGGATGCAGAAACAGGGAGAACAGAGGAGGGGAGAGTCGACTGAGGGAGGCTGAACAGCAGCAAGCAGCAAGCACGGAGCACGGAGCTTGGAGCAAGCCAACAGCGCGCAGCAGTACCACCAGTACCAGCAGCAGCAGCAGCAGCAGCAGCAGCAACAGCAGCAACAGCAGCAAACAGCCTCCAGTCGCGTCACCGCCTCTCCCGTCGTCCCAAGCTCAAGAGCTCTCAACACCAGCCAAGAGGCCACGATGCCGTCGCCTCTGTGCGGGAATTGAGGTCATCCAGAGGTAATGAGCTGGGCTTTTTCGGGGCGGGGTGGTGGGGTAACAGCTGAGGGAGTGAGGGGTGAAGCAAGAGAGCGAGGCTGACTTACACAGGGCCAGACATGGTGAGAGGATTTGGCGGGAGAGCAAAAAGGGTACTGGTATTGATTTGATATTTCAAAAAAGAAGCACGTCAGCAAGGACAAGCAAAGTTGGGGATGATGAGGAAGAAAGAGAAGAGAGAAGGGAAGAGGGAGCAGCAGTCCAGGGCGGATAGGGAGGGACGGCGTAAGTAAATATAGTGGGATAGTGGGATGCACGTAGTGGCACATAGTGGGAACACGGGGGGCCGGAACGGGGATCCATCGCTCAACCATCCAACCATGCCGTCAACCTGGGCTGGCAGCGCCGCCCAGCAGCGCCCAGGAGACGCTTTTGGTTTTGGTTCTTCAGGCCTCGTCTCGTCTCCCGGCAGGTGAGGAAAAGCGGGCGGGGCGGCGGCTGATTGGGCGAGGGCGCTGCATCGTCATCGCTGCTCTTTTACCTCGCGCAAACTTCTAACCATTCTCCAACGCTAGCTGTGTTTTACTTGTACCTCAGCCTCGACAACGGGCGAGGGTTATTGCTGTACCTTGCTACTACCCAGGTATGGTCATCAATACACAATACAACTTTTTGATCCAGGTTCCTTGATATCCAGGAGACCATAAAACCATAGGCATAACCTGGGGGGCTGACCTTTCCATTGCAAAAGTCTCACGCCTGGCTTAGCAAGCATCGTGGAACGGTACTCTCCGAAGCCGCAAGCCATGAGGGATGATACACATCCTAGCAAAGAACCATTCATCAAGGCCCTCACGCAAGGCAAAGACACCAATAACTGCTTCGGGACAATCATCTGAGCGCAGTGCCAGGCCCATCGTATCTGCCCGCCCCACCCCCCGCGGCAAGCATGATACATTCATACATATATCGCCTCTCCCATGGCCGGCTGCTTCGGGTTTGGGTGCCAGCTTAGCATACAGGAACTTGTCGTAGTCATCAATTACATACCTGCGTGTAATAAGCCATGGCGTGGCTACAGGGGCTTTGGGTAGTATTTTAAGCTTGAGTCAATCCAGCTACTATAACATACCGTTAGGTACGAGCACTGCTTACAGTGCTGCTTGTCTTGCCTTAGTGAGCAGCTTCATCAGTAACAAGGATACCAGAGCAACAAGACGGGCGAAGGAGTTTCAGACGAAGAGAGAGCATTGAGCAACAAGCATGTCTATATGCTACAAACACTACAAGCCTCAGATGACCCCAGCGGCCATCTCGACTCTTACAAGACAAGGTAGTCCAGCTTGGTGAGACGCCGTGCCCTTTCAAAGGAGTCGCCATCCGGCACCCCGACTCTCGAAAGCACTCGCTTGTCGCGAATACGGAGTCATAGCACGGGTAATGCCGCGCATGAACCAAGGAGAACAGAGAGGCAAAATCAGAAAAAAATAGGGAAAGTTCCATGCATTCCTCTTCTTCATCATTATTAACGCGGCCACCTGCAAGTCAGTCAGTCAGGCCAGTTCTTCCCGTCCCACCTTTGGAGCAATGAGGTAATTTGACATGGGGAATCGCTAGCCAGAGGCCATCGTGCTCCGTCCAGTGCCGGTTGTGGTGACGGGCCGAAACAAACCAACAGCCCAAGCCACCGAGCAAGCAAGCTGTTTGGTGTACCTACTGTAAAGGGGAGAAGGGGGCAAAGGAGGAGGGGACTGCGTGTTTGATACAGTGGGATTATTTGATCTTTCCATGTGTTCAACGAGGCTACTGTACCTGTATGTATGTACATACGTGTAATCAGACCCCTCGTACATACAAAAGAGAGGGGCCACTCGCCCGATTGATTGCCTTTTGAAATCTTTCACTTGGAGGCACCTCATGCATGCAACATTGATTGATCGAATAGAAGCAGCATCACCAGCTTCAACTCAACGCCACGGCGGACCGGACAAATTCCTTTCTTCTTCTCCCTTTAGTCACCACCTAGTCGTGATGAACGCAACTACACGCTCGTCTGGAACTTCAAGCCACGAATAAAACAGCCCAGCCGCTCCGGGTAGCCTCCGCCGTGGACGACGCTCCAGTTTTCGCCGCCGGCCAATCACAGGCCGCCCTGAAGTGCCTCACGACGAGGCCCAGCAAGGTTCCCGATCCCAGCCAGCACGAGTAAGGACTTGCTACTGATTCCCTAAGCACAAACGATGGCCCCTCTCTCGAAGCCTCGAAAAGGGCCGTGCAAGTGCACACTGCTCTGTAGGGTATTATTACGTGGGGGACATTCATTGACAGAACGCAGATACATAGGTTGCTATGTAGGGATCGTGAGTGACTGCGCATCGTGAGGATTGGCATCAGCAGCGGCATCGAGACGCCCTTCATCCATGGGCAGCTATCTACTACTACTACTATAAAGCTCCTTGTGCCAACATTCCAACTTGAATCACAACGCTGTTCTGTTCGACTTTGCATCCTCACAGACCAGCAACACCAGGCTTGTCCGTCATCTAGTGAGGCCTGTTCTATTCCCATCTTTCTTCTTCTGCCGTCACCTCCATCGAAAAAGTGGGTGAGCTGGGGCCGCTTATAAACCATACTCGTAGACGCAACGCAAAGCAAGACGTCGGTCGGGCTTTGCGGGATTGCGGAATTATTCCTCCTTTGTCCTACTCAGCCAAGTCAGTTGATGCTCTCGATGCTACGGAGCGCCGGCTCCCCTTGTTTGTTGAGGAGCACTGCCGTCCCTGACGAATCGTAGTGCCGGCTGGCGGCTCATGGCCTGATGCGCGCAACTGCAGTTATGTGAGGCACCGCCCGACGGCCGCCGTAACACCAAATCGTCCAGCCAGTCCCAGGCCCAGTCCCAATTTTCCACAGCGTCATTCAGCCTCTTGCATCCGATCCGTGTGCCTTTTTTGCCTGCGCCCGAGCGTGCGGGTCTTTTCCAGCCGATCCCCGTTTATCGGACCACAGACGGTGAGCCGGCGCCGTTGGGCCTCTGCAAGAGGTGCTGCTGTTGGGCACACAAGGGCCAATCATTGGCCGTTCTTCTAGTATGCTCGGACGAAGTAGTCGGTATTGTAGAGCCCGGGCAGAGTTGTGAGGTCATCGTGAAGAGATCACGGCTGTCACGAATCCATCCCGTCGTGTTTGCTCTGGCTGCGGCCACTGTAATTGACGATGCTGCCAACTTGTTAGAATCTGATGCCTTCCAGCTCCTGTTCCATACGAATGAGCTTCCAGGTCCCTCCCCAGGTGTCGAGTTCTGGCAATTGCAACTGTGCTGTTGACGTCACATGACTGCCAGCAGAGTCGCAGCCGGCGATTGCTCGTCACGTGACCCCATCCGTTGCCTCGCCGATTTTCGTGAAGCCTGGATATCAACAACCAGCTGCCAAACCGCCGCACGGCTCTTGAAGTCATCTGGAAGCGTCCAGAAACGCAACAAGACTTTTCGACCTCGAATTACCGCCGCAATACGCAGCAGAATCGATCTGCCAACAGTGGGATAACTTTGAGCTTGGGACCGCTCAAAGGTACGTTTTTACTTTGCACAGCTTGCGAGAACTTCCCATACCTACGCCCAAAAAAAGAAAAAAAAAAGACAAAAGAAAAGACGACGGGGTGTTCATCATGTCACATCCACCACCTCCAGGCACGAATCTTCCTGCGAGACCCCCCGCCGCTGCCAACTCGAGGCCGGGCTTCAGATCGAGCTTCAACCCGTCGAACCAGCCCGTCGCCACCGCCGCCTCGCCGTCGCCTTCGTACTCGACCGCCGGCTCCGCGCGAGCAAACGTCCCGGGCTACTCAACAGCCAATGCAGCCGCCCAGTATGGCTCGTCGTACCCCGGCTATGGCGCCCACGCTGCGGCGATGGGCATGAACCAACCTGCCACGGCATACTCGTATCCTCATCAGCAACTCCCGAACCAGCACCAGCAGCACTACTCCCAGCAACCGCAGGGCTATGTCCCTAATGCATACTCCCAGCCGCAGCCTCACCAGGCCGCTCAGTCGTACCAGGGCCAGTCATACCAGGCACAGCCGTACCAGGCACCCGGGCAGTACCAGGCGCAGTCGTACCAGGCAGCACCGCGCATCCAGAACCCGTTCCCCACGCCGGTTGCTGCTGCTGCTGCTGCTGCCACCACCACCGCTGCCGTCGCCGGTCCCGACTACGACCCGGACATGGCCGCCCAGATAGCCCAGTGGCAGAGCGCCTACGGGCCGCGCGAGACGGACAAGGACGGCAAGCCTGTGCCCGTGCCCGAGTACCCGAAGCCGGAGGTCGTCGACCCGGCCGCGCAGACGGACAAGAAGAAGACGGTGGTCCGAGAGGGCGGTGGCAAGAAGTGGACCGACGATACACTGCTGGAATGGGACCCCTCTCATCTCCGCCTGTTTGTGGGAAACCTGGCGGGAGAGACGACGGACGAGTCGCTGCTCAAGGCCTTTAGCCGCTGGAAGTCGGTGCAAAAGGCGAGGGTCATCCGCGACAAGCGCACCACCAAGTCCAAGGGATACGGCTTTGTCAGCTTCAGCGATGCGGACGACTTCTTCCAGGCCGCCAAGGAGATGCACGGCAAGTACATCCAGAGCCACCCGGTCGTCGTCAAGAAGGCCAACACCGAGATCAAGGCCACCACCATCAAGAAGAAGCCCAACAACAACAACAAGAAGGGCGGCCACCAGAGCGGCAATCCCGGCAGCGGCCCTGGCGCCGGAGGCCACGAGCCGAATCTCGGGCCAAAGTCCGGTGGCGGCGTGACCAAGAGCGGGCAGAAGACGAAGAATGGCTTGCGACTTTTGGGTTAAGACCGGAAATTAGGATATGCGGGTTATTGAATTTTGGCGTCTTGTAAACCGCAAAAAGCTCGACATGTCTCTCATGATTTGATCATTGCCTTTTATTGCATTCGCATCTACCGTACGGCGTTTAGGGGGGTTAGAAGGGCTTAATTCAGGACATACCCGCTCATGGCACATACACATAAAGAAGAGGGGATATCTTTCAAGGCCTTCAAGTGACCATAGATATTACTGTTTTACGACGAGAATATGCACGAATGGCCTCTTCTTTTCCTCTATATTTATCAATACCAAAAAGCCAATCAGAAATCGTCTCCTCATCCAGTCCAGCATACACCTTTCATATTTCACATGGGGTATCTGTTTTTTTGCTCTTGCTGTGTTCTGGCCGTCTTTGTCTATACCTCTCTCCCGTCGTGCAACGCAATGCTGATTTGATCTGCGTCGAGAATCGCCATCTCTATCCCCCTTGTCTCCCTCTCTCACTTCCCGTTTCTGCCTCTTCTCTAGCTTTTCTCTGCATTCTTTCTGCCTCTTTCTCTATCTTCTGCATTCTTTCTTCTCACCGACTGCTCCCCTGAAGGACGGAAGAAAACGAAATAGTACTTTGTTTGAAATAGAAAATTTGACCCACCAACATAGAGACAATGAGAAGGAATAAAAAAAATAATAACAGAAAGTGTAAGGCTGTTTTATGTGGCTTCCAGTGCATCCCGGCCGAAAAATTCTTTCCCTTTTGATGTTTGACAAACGATAACAGATGCAAGGTCTCTTTTGCCAGTAGATGAAGAAAAGAACAAGGGCAGACAACGTATAGAATCAACATGATGAAACGAGGGTAACTTGCGTAGAGCCCCCTATTCAGCGTATGTATACATCATTCAGCTGTCCCTTCTTAGCAGACGGTCCCTCGACGCATCTCTCTTGTGATGAGAGGTCGACGACCGCAGGCCGTTGGGCTGGATATCGCCGTCGGACGTGACCAGCGCGTCGCCCCTTTCCATGTCCTGCTGGAGCAGGCCGGCAGTCTCCTCGGCGCTGTCGTCGTTCTCAAAGTCGCTGGCGCTGGTGCTCATGCCGGCGTCGACGTCGGTGACGCGGACGTGGACCTGCACCTGGGCCTCCTCGCGCATCTTGCTGATTTTGACGTAATTGTAGGCGATGATGGCCAGCATAGTGGTGACGAGGCCGATGAAGTTGACGAGGGTGAGCTTGTCCTTGAAGACGACGGAGGCGGCCGAGATGGTGACGACCTCCTTGAAGATGCCGGCAATGGAGAGGGTGACAACGGAGGTACGCTGCAGCAGGGCGAACTCGGATGCCGTCATCAAAAAGGCGATGCATCCGGGGAACAGGAGAAACAGGGGCGTCATAAAGGTGCCCCATTCGGCGGCGATGGTCTTGAGCCCTTCCCAAAGCGGTCCAAAGCCTTCCACCGGGATGGCAATGCAGATCAATGTCAGGAACATGACGGGCGTAAGGAAGAAGATGCTGGAGAAGGGGTTCGACGTCGCGGGGTTGCGGAGAAGCAGAATCTGGGTAAGACCCCAGCGAAAGCCGGAGAAGAAAGCTGCTGAAATGACGAGGAGGAAGCCGCCGAGCTTGAACTCGACTTCGCCAAACACCATGAGAATGACGCCCATTGTCATAGTTGCAATGATGGCAACGAGGCGCCAGGTGGGCTTCTCGAGACCGAAAGCGAATGCGAAAAGGAGAACGAATGCGAGAGAGGAGGACTTGCACATGGCTTGAGGGGTGGTTTGTCAGTCAATGGGTGTACATGTCTCAACATACAAGGAGAAACTCACTATAAAACGTCAGGCTAATGAACTTGAGCGATGTGTTTCCGAGCCCAATGTCCAGACCGGTCGCAGCGCCGCAAGGCCCAACCCTTGTGAGGTAGAAGAATTTGGACATGGTCGAGCTGGCTTCGTTCTCGTGCCGAGATCTGCCCATGTCGGAAGTGTGGGATCGCTGTGGTCGCAAGGAGGGAATGAAGAAGAGGACGAGGGCTGAGAGGATGAACTGCACCAGCATGTGCATGGAGGTTGTAAAGAGGGGGAACGCAAAGTTGAGGCGATCTCTATCAAACATCCACTTGTTATACTGCAAGCATATCTGTCAGAAACAACACTCCTTACATATCAGGGGGGATTCGCAGATCATCACACTCACCAGTGAAATTGAAAGAGAGAAAAAGTACCATAGCAGGATCAGGACGACGTTGATAATCAGCTTCTTGACAACGTCCTTGTCTGCCTCATGGCGCTCTTCTGCTGACAAGCTCTTGTCGCGCGCAATGCGCTGGCCCAGCTGGGTGACCTTCCGGCGCTTCTTCTGCCTCCGGGCGCGTTCCTTGTTGCTCAATCCCGTTTCTTCGTCGTCGTGGAGGTCGTCGTCGCTGAAGCTGGACCTCCCTCTCGCATCTTCGTCGTGTCCAGAGCCGGCCGATGTGCTGCTGCTCCCGCCATTTTCCTCTAGCAAGTCTGAGCGGTCGGAGAGGCCGGCGGAAAGATGCTTCCTCCCTCCAACACCGGCGGCCATTGGCCTTGCCGGGGCGGCTGTGGGCGTGTTGAGAGCGCTGCTCTTGCGCCTCCTGTGTCCTACAATGGGCTCCATCTCAATGTCCGCGCTCTGGCCCGGCCGTCCGCCGATGCGCGAGGAAGCCACCGGTGAGGACGTGATTTCCGCAAGGGCATATGCCGAGGGCTGTATGGATGCGCGCGTGGAGGCGCCTTCTTGGCCGAACTCGGCTGAGGTGACGATGGACGGAGAGAAGTCGGGGAAGGGCTCGGTCAGGGCGGTGTCGGAGGCGATGGAGGAGGAGCGGCGTCGGGGGCGCGGATTGGGACTGGGACGAGATTGAGATTGAGACTGAGGTTGAGAAGACTGAGACTCGGAAGACGAAGATTGAGGATGAGGCTGAGGGACAGATTGGAGATGGGGGTTGGTGGACATAGTCCTCGTGCGAGCAGTAGATGCTACTTGTAGCAGCAGTAATACCGCCAGCAGCAGTGCAAGTATGTGCAAGTAATACTAATGAAGGGGCGTCTGGACGGGGTTCAGTTCAGTTCACGGCGTGTCTGCTATGGGCTCGTGCTCGTGCCGTGCCCTTGTCAGACGCCCATGTCCGGGATCTGGTTGGCTGCCGTCCTGCTTCTTTTGGCTCGACCGGGGGTTGGCCATGGACGCTCTCCGCTCCAGCGATGCAGCTAGAATGGAGATTGGGTCACCATTACTGTTGGCGCGGATGATCAGGTGGAGGTGGGCGTACGATTGACACTGTCTTGACTGTGGAGAGTCGCGGTTGCTGAGCTGGTGGACGGGCTCATCGACGGATGGAGAGTCTGCAGAGAGAGAGAGATGGAAGATGGAAGAGAATACATATCTACGTGCAAATGTCGAAGTCGTTACCTCTGTTTCGCAGCACCTCCTGCCCATTGGACGAGATGGACAATGGATGGAATGGATGTCAATGCTAACAGAATGCACTGGCTGGCACAAGTACCTGCAAGGGGGCAACGACGGTCTGGAGTGTCGGGCGTTAGTCTCAGGGTCATCAGGCGCCTCTCGGGGAAGCCTCCAGCAGGGGTCCGGGCCCTGGAAGCCCAAGCATTTCAGGGGGAGTGTGGTGGATGTTGAGAGGGGGTACTCGTGTGCCCAAGTGCAGGTACGAGTACTTGTACATACTAGGTACATACATGCACGCTGACACACAGCATGAGCCTCCCGAGAGATATCGCGACTCACGCTTTCTGAGATATACATTATCCGTCTGCTGCTACTTTTTTGATCGCTTGTTGAGAAACACTAGAGAGAGTATCTTCTTAGCATACAAATTGGTTATTGATTCATCTTGCTGCTGCCTCCCTTCCCCTCTGGGAGGCAGCCGGAAGCCCAAATGCAAAGATTGGGTAATATCGAAATTTGAGAGCGTCGGCTGGTCCCGATTGCTTGGCGGCATCTCTGCCTTGCCTTGTCCTCCGAGGGTTCCCTGTAGCTGCCAAGGCCCCTCACTTCCATACCAGTGCCGAGTACGAAGCCCTGACCTCTACAATCCCGAAGCATCTCTTCGCCATCGGACTGTCGCGTGCCCTGTGCACAGCGGATACACATACATAGGAGTCGCTATGTAGACTACATGCAGGCCCTTTTCGTGGAGACACAAGAGGAGAAGGCGCATCAAGACCCTTCAACGAGGCTAAATGGGAGATGGACCGTGTGGATACACACGGCAGAAGTTCATGTAGCGCAGCGGGAAAAGCAGAGGCCATGCAGATTTGTTCCGGACATCCGCCTCATCATGATTGAAACTTGACACATGCCTGTCTTTGAAATCTTCCTACTGGAGGCTTCAATGTTGTGTGAGCCAGAAGTTGTGGTACTACTTGCTCATAAGGTACCTTACCTGACTGGAAGCTGCGTGTAAGTGAGACCAATCTCCAGCATTCCCTCCCGGCTAAAGAATGTCGCCGCGTGCCAGCGGGCAGCAACATGAACTGTTCCTGACAGAACCTGAGGTTTCAACACTTTCTGTTGTCCATATACTAACACTACCCAATATGGCTGCCAAGTCGACAATCCGCAGCACTGCCTGGTCCCCTAAGATGAACAATGGTCCCTGTCGATGCTATCAAGGACATGCCAAACGTTCGAGTCAACGGCCTCCCCGCTTCAACAAGCCGAAGACCTTATGAGATCCATATTACTAATCCGTTGATTCCATCTTCACTGCAAGAAATATAACATGCAGTCCGCGTGGAACCAATGTTGTGCTTCTTTAGCTCCATGTCGCTTTCAGTTATGACGCCGTTCAATTTAGAGAGACGACGGGGAACAAACTGTCGGTTATTTGAACCACACCCGTTCCCCCACAAAAGGATCGTATTCTCGAATTCCCGTCATGGAATGTTAGACATGCCAAGGAGTAAGGTACTTCATACATCCTTGCGAGTCTGCAAATCGACCATGGTACTATTCTCTTCTAGAAACTAATTTGCTAGTACGAGCATCTCTGCTACACATCACTCTCAAGCTCATGATTTCATCGCCGGGGAAAAGATTACATAATCCAACTTGAACATCCGTCCAACGCGCAGTCACATGCCCACGGTAGGTACCTCTACAGTACCTGCGCTCACCGGATCGTGTCTACAAAATCGGATCCACTCTCAGCATCGCACCTCGGTCAACCCAAGGCAAGGCCTCCAAAAAGCAACCGGCTCTCTTACAATTGATCTAAATCCACTGAATATTTCAAAATGCGCTTGACGCTCTGCCAGGTCGCTAACATCTTGCTACCTCTGTGATTATTGAGTGCCAGACTCGGAGTTCGAAGAAGCGTACATAGGTACCTAAGGAGGACATTCTACAAACGAGTACGGAGTACCTCTGGGTATCCGATCCGGATCCGCCACCCCCGGTTTCGCCGAGGCTATTGCCAGCACGGCCCCTCTATAACTTGCCCATACATACAACTGCTGTGACGCCTTCATCTCAGACATACCAACTACACTCTCAGCTCATCGCCTTTAGTCCCAGAGAAAGAGACGGTGTATCGGCATATATTAGTTCATCACATATACAGCAAAAATCATGGAAGACGCCTCGTGCAGCGGCTCTACGCCCTTCAAGCGCCTCGTCGACCACCAGTCTCGCGATCTCAGCCTCCACCAAGACAGACATGTGAGCCGAGGGGCTTTCGGCCAGAGCGTGAGCACTTCCTCCCCGTCCTTCATACCCAGCTATTCATGATGTTATGTCACGGTCTTTTACGCTAATACTAACCCTCTACTGTCAGTCGTTCCGCTCGTCACCGCTGCATCCCGCCCAGGGCCAGCAAGATGCCTTTGGCGCGTTCATGGGCAGCGCATCTGCCCTGCCCGGCTTCGAGAGCGACGCCACGGCCAGACTGACGCCCTCGCTGCCTTTTGCACAAGTCGGGCCGCCACATGGAGCACCAGCCCACCCCAGCTTCTCCAGCAGCCCGATGCAGATGCAGACGCCGGCGCCTGCATCGAGCGCAAGCAACTGGGCCGCCGACTTCAACCGCTTCGCAGCCCAGCAGCAGCAGCAGCAGCAGCAGCAGCGGGCACCGGCACCAGCCCTGACGCCAGCAGCCCGCCAGATGAGCCATTCGCCAGCCGCCCAGACGAGCTTCCAGCCTGCCTTTGCGCAGCAGCCAAACTTTGCCTCTGCGTTCGGCCAGTCCGTCTTCAGCCCTCCGGCTGGCGCGGTGGCGGCGCCCGACTTTGACCAGGAAATGTCCCGGTGGATGTCGGCTCATGGGGCCGGCAACATGCAGGATGTGGATGCCGCCATGGACCAGATCGCCCGTGAGCTGGAAGAGAGCGAGGCGGTGGCCGCTGCCATTGAGGCGTCGCGCCAGACGCATGACGAGACGCTCGAGATCGGCACCCTGTCGATCGAAACCGGAGAGATGCAGCATGAGCTGGCAACCATCGTAGGGACAAAAGAGGACTTCCAGCAGCAGCTGGAACCTGAACAGCTTCACGAGCCGGAGCCGGAGCTCGAAAAGGAGGAGCCGGCAGACACCCTGAACAACAACAAGTCCGCCGTCGCCGAAGCGGCCGAAAAGCTGCTCGATGCGGTCAAGCACGAGAGCGGCGAGAAGTGGCAAAACTCCATCTTCCTATCTCTGATGCGGGACTTCCGCGACGGCAGGAAGGACATTGTGGGCGACGAGATACGCTCCACGAGCGGTGGTACCGGGGAGACGACGCCGGCGGTGCAGCCTGTGGCGACCTGACTCCTCGGGACTTCATCTGCCGCGGTGGTGTCTGCGTCACTGGCCGCGGACGACCCTTCTGGGAGCTTGTTTAGGTCGTGTGTCGGGTATCTTGGTCAGACTTCGTTCTGACGTATTCCTCGTCTCGGTTCTCCGTTTTACCCCCTTTCATATCCTGTCCTTGCGGGTTGAAGGGTGAACGGCGGTGTGTTTTCCTTTGCAATCGGGAGCATGGCGTTTCTGGATGGAGCGATTGGTGGACTTTGGGTGAATTATCCTACTGATGTACTGGAATGTCGTCCTTATTGATCATGTCATGTACAATTCTGCAGTTTGCCCCTTCTCATATGAAGAATTGGAGAAACTGGCAAACAAGGGGACATGTAGAGTAAGTTTGTAGCATAAGGGTGTTGGGTCATAGAATACATTCTCATATTACCGCCACGAAGTCGTATATACATGCACGTTCATCACAAAGGAAGAACATCAAGACGCCAAATTACAAGATCATATTCACATCTTCGCTCTCATTCGCTTCTTCCCCCCCAAGCTCGTATATTCCAGCCGGTCCATAACCCAGCCCCATACATCGGCACCGTGAATTTTGAAATCAAGCCGCAGAGAAAGATGTCCCCTTCTTGGCTCGAACCACGCTTTCAGACCGCCAGCAAAAAAAGGATAATTCTATATACATGCATAAAACAAGCTGCCACACAAAACCCGCACGCTGGGATCAACACGCCGCTCTGCCAGAAGATGAGTAAGGACAAGGTGATGAAAAAGGAACCAAAAGCTTAGCCGGCAGTCATCACAAAGGATGAAAGGCCTCCACCCCGCTCAACGCCGTAAAAAAAGAGGAATAATGTTCGCCAGAAATAAACGCCAGTACCGTGATAAATGTCCCCCTCATCCTTGTAAGCAAAGGATGCCGAGGAGAGTAGAGGGAAATAGGAAATTGAAAAGCCAAGCGACATCTACTACGGGTTACTGGGGGCAGGAGACCACCACACGCAGCCACAGGGCGTCAGGTCAACAGCCTGCCGCGAGACCCAATGGTCGCTCCAGCTCCTGCGCACCGAACGTCGGTCCCGCTTCACCGGATAGGCCTTTTGCGGATCCGAATCCGGGTCGTAGTCCACGTCAATGTCGACAATGATGGGGTTCCCAAAGCTGTCGGTCAAGTTCTTCATGCTGCGTCCTTGGTTGTAGATCTGGACTTGGCGGCAGTACGCCTTGGGAGCGCCGTCGACGACCCGGCGCTCGATAAACTTCATCGACTTCGGATATGGGTGGAAGCCGTCCGTAGGGTACGGATTGGGCGCGGAGCTTGTTGTCGCGGTCGGGGAGGCTTGTGAGCTGGTGCTGTTCTGAATGGGATAGATGAACACCTCGAGTGTGGTGTCGGGCCATGTGCATATCCAGGGCTTGTCGCCGTCTTTGGCCCCGACGCTTGCGCTGCTCTTGGTCCGAATCACGTCGTTGTCGGCGACAGTCGGGCGGCCTAGATTGCTCCAGCGCTTGGTCTTTGCAGGAAAGTCATCCTCTTCGACGACGACCACCTTGTCGTAGGTGACCTGCAGCCACCACGCCGGGCCACGCCGAGGTTCTTGGGTGTCATTGACAAGTATCATTTCCTTGCTATACACGTTTGGAGGCTGCGTTCCCCAGAGGAACTCAGCATCCACAGGGTTGATGGCCTTGAGACTGAGGTTATAGCACGCCGTGTCCCTCTGCGTCGTAGATACGTCGACGTTGACTTGATAGTAGCTGTAAGGCAAGCTGCAGCTCCAAGCAGCAAGCTGAGTGTGGTCGCTGAGGCACGCGTTGGGCGACTGGTTGGTAGTGAGTGGCGGCATCGCATAGTTACCGACAGGCAGCCGAGGCAGAGTTATAGGGACGAGGGGCAAAGGAATCACGTCGGGTGCCGGCGTGGGGGTAGGCCCCGGGTAGTTCCCGCTCGGCGAGCTGTTTGACATGTTAGCGAAACGTCCATGCGCATAAGGGTAATAAGTGAGGAAAGGAAAGGAGAGGAGAGGGGGCCATACCCAGATGGATGAGGCTTATGCCGTGACAGAACACTCCCTATGACGGCACCCAAGATGATGCCAATGAGAAGAACGCCGATGAACAGCATACAAATGGCCCAGTAGGGCACGATGCCCCAGAGCTTCCGCTTTGCCACTTGCTGCCACTTGTTCGCCGGGGCCTTCTCTGCTGAGCTCTGTGCGGCAGTGTTAATGTCGTGCCGACTGTGGGTAGAGGGCCTGGACTGTGAAGGCTGAAGGTCTTCCTCGGTGGAAGAGAACTCAGGATTGCGCGTCGCGACTCCGATGCCCCCGGCGCCGGCAATCGCCTCAGTTGTTGGAGTCCCAGTCTCCGCCATACCATCTTCCGCTGCTGCTGCTGCTGTTGCAACTGCTACTGGAGTTTTAGAGACAACACCATGATCGGGGTATCTCGTGTAAGGAGGTAACTCTTCAGTGTGTCCCAGAGGTCCAACCAGAGCGCCTGCTTCTTCTCCATCAGGGCCAAGCTGCCTCTGGTATCCATGGCCAGATGTCGTAAAGCCGACAGGTATCTGATGAGGGGTCTCGTCTCCCGTGGTGACAATGTTCTGCGGATAGAGAGCATATGGATGAGCTGGACCGCGAGGACCGTCGTATGAATTGCGGCTCGCAGGTTGGTCTGTGGAGGCCGTGGCGTCGCTTAATGTCCTTTGCAGATACATCTGATACGGATGCGAAGCGCTGGTGGGACCTTGATAAGGGCCCTGAGGTGGTATCTGAGGCATACCCGCGGACGACGATAGTGACGGGCCTGTTTGCAGAGTGTATGAACCATCGTTGCGCAGCGTGAGGGAGTCGTGGGGTCGTGGTGGTTTGATTGCGCTTGAGGGGCGGCCAGGCGTGGGTGGAGGGGGTTTAGAAGCGGCGTAAGTCGACGGCTGTTGGTGAGATGGTTCGAGAGACAGCAATCGAGCCTGCGAGGAGTTGGGTGAGGCGATGGTGGGATCATTCGGCGTCGAAGATGACGATGAACCATCGGTTGGTAGATCCGCGGGTCGGAAGCCGTCAGCTACGGTGGCCGCGGCCAGATCGTAGGCGTACTGGTCTTCGGTGTCGTCGACAGATTGCCTCGGCGGCCGTCCCTGGACTGGCTTCCTATTGAACTCGGAGGGGTTTCCCTTGAAGGGATCCATCGCGACAGCGGCAAGATTGGCGTCGGATGGATGGAACTGCAGCGACGGCGACGACGGCCCAGTCAGGGCGAGGCCAGGAGAAGATCAAGATCAGCGGCCCTGAGAGGCCGCAGACGGCACCTGGCGGCGTCCTCGCAAAATTGAGCGCGTAAGGCGTCGAGTCGGCGTGTAGAGAAGAAGAAGACGGCGACGGCGACGACAACACGACGATACCAAGATGGGAATGCTGGATTCGCTTTGCCCGGAACGATGCAAGTCGGGCGGTGGTGTTGTGGAATGCGTGTAGTTGGTACCAGATAACTTGTTGTCGACAGACGAAAACTCGCGCTGTCGTAGATCTCGTGAATGTAGCGAACGTCGTATCAATACCGTATTTGCCCGCTGGTGATGGCAGTCAGTATTACAAGGCGAGCGCTCAATTGGCATCGAGCCAGCTCAAAGTTGTGGCGGATCGCGAGATTCGAAACAGAATTGGATCGAGTTCCAGTGCAGGTCGGGCCAAGATCAGGCCAGAGCCAGTGCCGGAGCCAGAGCCACAGAAGCCAGAGCGGCTGGGATGGGGCCCGGCGCCCTGAGCGGCCACTGAAATGCAGCGCTCATGCAGCGCTAGCAGCCTGAATCCGGGCGCCAAAGGGCAAAAATCCTGCTGGAACGGCAGTTCGGTGACACGGTAGGTTTCGAATCTCGTGGGCGAGAGGGGCCGGGCTAGCCCGAGCGGGACTAGTGGATCCAGAAAAAGAGGAACCGGCGCTGTGCCATTGGCCGGCACTTCTTCGCGTGGTCAGCGGCGGATCTAAGCCGCACTCGTACATGTACAAGCTCAACTCGGCAAGCCTCAGCACAGGCACAGAGAAACAAGCAGCACTAACAGCGGGAGGCTTGCGTGCATTGGCCCCTGAGGCGTGGAGGACGGCCGTGATCGCTGTCTTCTTGGAGTCTGTCGTGTTCATGAAATGTTGAGGTGATGCGGTCTTGATATTTGGTTCTTTCATCACATGTCAGACAAGCCTGAATCATCACGTGAAGACAGAAATGGAAAAGGTTGAACTTCATGTTGTCTGCTTCTCTGTGTCGTGTGAGGCATGTAAGTATCTCGTTTCTAAGCCGACTTATACGAGGTAGCAGTACAACCAACTCCAGGGGCCCCTTCGGCAGGTATCCTCGGACTTACCTAAGGGTACATGTAGCGAGGAGAGAGACCTGCTGGAGGCAAGCGAGCAAGATGAGAAGAGTTAAAGAGGCTGCAGCCGATAGCCGGTTGCCGCTGTCCCGGACACGATGGCAAGGGCTCTGTTTTACAGCCTGAATCTATATCGATCTGCCCACATCTCTCAGGAGGATCGATGTGGAATACGAAGGCTTGGGGGTGACAGGCATTGGCGTTGTGACAGGTGCCAACCTCGACCGGATTCTCGTCCTACTTGTCTTGGAGCCATCAACAGCCTCCCTTGCAGTAATACAGTACCTTGCACGAACCCATAAGATTACCGAGCTGCCATTCCTGGGAGATAGTTGATGCTTAACAGCATAACCATCTAATAATGGCATCAGCTAGCCCTAGTGCGACTGGTGCTGACAACATGAAGATTGCTCACCACGCTCCTCAGGTATAACTCCTCTGGACTTGCACTTGACGAGAGCATATTGCTACCAAGTGCTTGTACGCCTGGAGGGCAAGCTGAACACATAGCTTGATAGTTGGAGGCGGAGATATTCACAGCAATATTGCGGGTGATTATCTGCCTTGTCCAGCTCGAGAGATTTCGAGGGTCTATATACAGTATGCTTGGTGTGCTTGGCACTTGATGCATTCGATATGAAAGAAGCTGATGCCGCATAGGTCCTGGACCGTATCATTACTCCCATTGGAAGCAGTGGCTCCAGGATGATGGATTGCCAGCTGGTCCAATATCTGTGGGCGCTTCTGGTTTGCCCAGTACACACATATAGCATGGATGTCAGACTGTGTGACGACTGGAAGAAGGGTATAAGACTCGGCACCGCAGCAGCCTGTCATGTTCAAGATTCGACCGCAATGCATGCTTTTGGGCTCGCATACATCTATCTGCCTTATGTACTACACTCCAGAGTGCTGCGATTTGCGTCCTCGATGATTGAGGCCAATGGTCGTCAACCTCTCCGGCAAAGGAGTGTATCATAGGTCGGCAAATCTTCCCCTTTTCGCCAACCAGAAAGGTCCTATTCCTGGATATCACAGCGAGAGCTCCAGTGCTCTACCTTATGATGGCCAGATACTCTCTGTAAAATAAATCAAGGGGACTTTCTGTACAGCGCGGCATCAAGACAGCCCTCCGCGTTACAAGTACCAAGGTACCACCGTTGACATCAGGTGGTCCGCAGCCTGCAAGCCTTGGACGGCATCTCGTCATCTTCCACCTTCATCCTCAACGGCCACTCGCCCAAGTATCGACACAATGATTTGCCTGTGCCCCCCTCAGGCTGCTACATGGAATGCTTGCTTCCACGCAGGTGCGGGAGGCCAGCGGTGATGCGTGCGGCTGCATTCACTTCCAGTTGTAGGCCTCCCGCCTCAACCATGCATCCTATGAGCCGCCAGCTGCATGTGCCGCACTTGTGCCTATCTGCCCGTTGTTGGCTGGACCTTTGGGCTTCTTTTCTCTTCCTTCTCACTTTCTTTTCTCCTCATCATCAGCAGCCTCGTCCTTTTCCCCTCACTTCAGGTTCTCAAGGTCCCCCTCCGGAACAATTCCTTCTACAACCCGCTGCCTGCACGTAACTCCAGTCTCTTTCAGTGCTCGCAAAGAACTACAGAAATCTCTTCAGCTCCGAAGCACTGACAACGTCTTCAATCGTCGAATGCCCCTACGCTGTGACAATGTCGAGGTATCAGTAAGTCATCTCCACTACTTCCGTATATCGCTTTTGTACTTATATGTCCTTGCTTTCCAAGCTCCGCCTATCCTACTCCTCCCACCACCCCATCCGAAAGCTCTCTCAAGCCATGCTTCTTCTATCTACGAAACAATACCTGCAAATTTGGAGCGCGGTGCAAGTTTTCGCATAGTGCAAGCAGCACACAACCAACCCGGCAGCCGAATGGGAGGCATGCCGGCGCCCCTTCAGGCCTGCCCGGCAACAGACATGATCGCCCCTCGGAAGGCAAGCTATGGAAATGGAAGCGAATACTCAAGAGCGGGCAAGACACAGCCCGGCCCTCACAGGCCATAGTCAGTCAGTTCCTTAACCTGGCTGTTGAGCTCATGGATGGGGACGTCGGTGGCGCCCAGGAGACGATCAGGCTCCTCGTCACCGAAGCCGGTCTGTCTTTCATCAAGGACGTAATTGACCGGCACATCCCAATGGACAATATAGCCATAACAGGCAACCGCCTCTGGGAAGCGGAGATCAAGCCACTATTCCAGCTTGTCACCCATCCTCGTGTTGTTGACTCTGCTGTCTTGGAGCAAGAAGTCGCAGCCATCTTCAACTACCTCGTCGGAGTGGGAGGTGCTAGGATGAACAAGCTATTCCACTATGTTATCTCGCTCTTTAAACAATGGCCAGTCGCCTCGACGCAGGAATCCCTCATAGAGGCAGTCGAGCTATCCCTTGCAGTACTGGCCAAGATGCTGGACTGCAACACTACAAACATCGTCAACGAAGCTTTCTCGGCATTTGCCAACAGCTTGGCCAGTCCCTTGGAGAAGCCGGAAGAGCCAGAAGAGATGATTCATCGTCTTCAAGCAAAGAAGCATCTTCATTACATCCGTCAGCGTCTCCAGATTGGAGATCAGCTGCCAGATCTAGAGACGCGACCTCAAGCTTCTGTGACGCGAGAGACCTTTATGCTGATCCGAGACCTCCCTGGCCGCTTATCTCGGGGAGGGCCAAGGCACAACAACGATCACGCAAACATCGCTCATATCAAAATATTGCCAACATACGAGGAAATCATGTCGCCGCGAGAGGAATATCTACCAACCAATGATTCCACACAGTGGCACATCCCTGGCATTCGTGGTCGTCTAGACAGAGAGTTTCGTCTCATACGAGAAGATACGGTTGGGCAGCTACGAGATGCAGTCCGCGATGCTTTTGGACATATTCGCGCCACGGGCGGGATCGATCGGCAAACGAACTCTACCAACTTACGGACGTATACGTACGGCTCCGCCACTCTCGTCGACATTCAGTTCGACACAAACACTGGCCTGGATCTGGTCGTCCGCTGTGAGCAGCCTCCTGCAGTGCGGCAGCTGACCGCTCGACAAAGAAGGGACTGGTGGGAGAAGTCAAAGCGGCTCCAGGCCGGCGCACTCGTATGCGTCTTGGATGGAACCGATTCCGTCATGTTCTGTACCGTGTCTGATTCCACGATGAGGAACAAGGACGACAAAAAAGACCGCTTTAAAAAACCAGCGGATGAGAATCTCGAGCCTCCGGAACTCCGCGAGCCTTTGACCCTCTCGGATCACGAGAGCTACTTGCACGTCAACCTACAGCTCATCGATGCAAATCGAGACGACGTTACTCAGGCTCTTGACTGGTACAAGAGCATGGGACCATCACGCCATCGATATCTCGTTGAGTTTCCCGGCATTCTGCTGGCGTCTTTCAAGCATACTCTCGATGCTCTGAAGCAAATGTCTCAGAGACCCAAGATGCCATTTGTTGATCTCTTGGCTCCTACAAACGTGACCGGTACAGAAGTCGACCTGCAACCCCCTTTGTACGCAAGGACGGGTGGCTTTGCCTTCGACATCAGTTGTATAACGAATGATAAGGCCGAGTTGCTTGTTTTGCCGCAGCGGCCCCTGAATGCAAGGCTAATTGAATCACGAACAACCCTGGATCGTACACAGTCTTCTGCCCTCTTGAACACCTTGTCACGGGAACTGTCGCTCATACAAGGCCCGCCCGGCACCGGCAAAAGTTATAGCGGCGAAAAGATTGTCAAAGTCTTGTTGGCAAACAAGGAGATGACTCGTATTGGGCCGATATTGTGCGTCTGCTACACGAATCATGCATTGGATCAGCTTCTTGAGCACCTTCTCGACGATGGGACCGACAGGATTATCCGCATTGGCTCCCAATCAAAGTCAGAGAGGCTTCAATCTCTCAATCTACGAGTGGTAGCCCAGAACAGCGACCGCACACGATCCGAAAAGGGCAGCCTCTGGGATATACAACAGCAATTGAATGAACTCAAAGAGAGCATGCAGGACTCGCTCCATAGACTTTCGACATCGGACTCGCCACAGGCTATCAAAGCGTTTCTCGCACAAGAGTGCCCCAGTCACCATGACGCGCTATTTGGCGTGGAAGAAGACGGGTGGCAGACGGTTGGCAACACGGCTGACAAGGCCCTGCGGCGATGGCTGAGGGGTGGCTCGCGTAACAACATCCGGTGTCGAAGCCTTGGGATCCTCAGGTTGACGAGACTGTCCGCCATGAATCACGCTGAGCGCCAGATTTTGTATCGAGACTGGCTGGACAGCATCGTGGCTCCCATCGTTCGGACCATCACTGGACTCCAAGACGAGTACGCCGAGCTGATGGAGCGGCGTGGTCGTGTGCGCAGCGATGTGGATTTGCGCTGCCTGAACCAGGCCAATGTCATTGGAGTGACAACAACAGGCCTGGCCAAAAACTTGGAACTTCTCCGAAAACTACGATGCAAGGTCATGCTATGCGAGGAAGCTGGAGAGGTGCTGGAAGCCCACATCCTGACGGCACTGCTGCCTTCTATCGAGCATGCCATCTTGATCGGTGACCATCTCCAGCTGCGTCCGCAGATACAAAACTACGAGCTTCAGAGCACAAATCCCCGAGGCAGACAGTATTCCCTGGACACATCCTTGTTCGAAAGGCTTGTTGAGCCGCCACACCTGACAGACTTGCGGCTCCCATTCAGTACACTGGAAACCCAGAGAAGAATGCACCCGTCGATATCTGAGCTCATTCGGTCCACGCTATATCCGTCCTTGCAAGATGGCGAGAATGTGTTGGGTTATCCAAAGGTAGTCGGAATGAAAGATCGGCTCTTCTGGCTTCACCATGAGCATCTGGAAGCCGGTGCGGCTAGTCACGACCCCCTGAGTACCTCGCACTCGAACGATTTCGAAGTCGAGATGACCGTGTCTCTCATCTCTCACCTCGTCAAGCAAGGAGCGTACGCTCAGGACGACATTGCAGTGATTACGCCGTATCTCGGTCAGCTACACAAGCTGCGGCGGCGAATGCAATCCATGTTCGAGATTTGTCTCAACGACCGCGATCTCGCCGAACTGGAAGATTTTGAAGACAAAGGCGGAGAAGCCCCAACAACGGCGACGTGGAAACCGTCTGGCAAAACAACTCTCTTGAAGAGTGTCAGAGTCGCAACTGTTGACAACTTTCAGGGCGAGGAAGCCAAGGTCATCATCATCTCACTTGTCCGGAGTAACTTGCAAAAGAGGTGCGGCTTTCTCAGCACTTCCAACCGAATCAATGTTCTGTTATCGCGAGCAAAGCACGGCATGTACATCATAGGCAACTCCAGCACATACTACAACGTTCCCATGTGGGAGCAAGTCATTGACATGCTGACGGCAAGCGGCCGCCTCGGCACGAGCTTGGAGCTCCAGTGCAGCCGGCATCCGGACACGCCAATCCGCGTCTCAGAGCCTGACCATTTTCTGCAATTCTCTCCTGAGAGCGGATGCAATCTGCCGTGCGACAAGAGACTGCATTGCGGCCATTCTTGCACCGGACGATGCCACTCGGACGTTCTGCACAACGTCGTCGAATGCCTTGAGCCCTGTCCCAGGCCACGAAGGGGCTGCGATCACGCCTGTCCTCGGCGATGCGGTCAGCCGTGCCCAGCCAAGTGCCCCGTCGAGCTGAAGCATATCAACCTCGTGCTCCCGTGTGGCCACCGGCTGTCTTCGGCAAAGTGCTGGGAGAATCAGGATCCCTCTGCTGTTCGCTGCAGAGTCCTCGTTAGACGAACGGTGCCAGGCTGCAGCCATAAGGTCGACGTGGAATGCCACGAAGATGTGACCACTGCGAGGTATCAGTGCACTGCCATGTGTGGCCATGACCGTAATTGTGGCCACACCTGCAAGAGTCCTTGTTTCCAATGCAATCAGAGAAAGGACGGTGAGATCATACGGCAGAATCACGGCATCTGCACACAGATATGCGGTCGGGGCTATTCGACATGCCAGCACAGCTGCTCTGAGCGCTGCCACGGCGATGTCAAATGTCCTCCTTGTAAAGAGCCCTGTGTGGTGCGCTGCGGGCATTCGAGATGCCCAAAGGCATGCCACGAGCCTTGTGCCCCCTGTGCGGAGAACACTTGCCATTCGAGTTGCCCCCATACGAGGTGCACGATGCCATGTGCTGCGCCATGCGACTGGGTTCCGTGCTCTAGGCGTTGCGACAAACTGTTGGAATGTGGCCATCAGTGTAAGTTCTCGTCTGAATAGGTTCATGTTCTTATCCTCCACAATCAAAAGCTAACAAAGCGTCTAGGTCCCTCGCTCTGCGGAGAAGCATGCCCAGACAAGGCTTTCTGTCAGCAGTGTGCGAGCGACGCTGTGAGATCCATGTGCGTCGACTTCCTCGAGATGAAGGAATATCATGAGATCAACCTGGACGAGGAGCCTTGCATTTTCCCAGACTGCGGCCATTTCCTGACCGTCTCGTCAATGGATGGCCAGATGGGCATGGGGGCGTATTACGATATGGATGAGGGGGGCCATCCAACGCGGCTTTGCAAGAATTCCGAGCCTTTCTCGCTGGACAAGTCGGGCATCCCGGTTTGCGCGACTTGTCGGGGCTCGCTTCGAAACATTGCCAGATACGGCCGAATCGTGCGGCGGGCCATCCTGGACGAGGCGACAAAGAAGTTTCTGGCCTGGTCGCACGAGCAGTACCTCTCCCTAGCAAATCGATTGGTCAAGGAAGAGGAGAAACTTGCGGAAGCAACCCCTGGGCAAGCCGTTCAGGGTGATGCAGCCTCCTCAGCGCTCCAAGCTGGTCAGCTGGCCAGCTCTGCTTCGAGGCTGGAGCAGCTTCGAGAGCTGCAGAGACTCGTCGGAAAGGGACGATACAACTCCATCATCAATCTCTGGAGGCAGATTGGGACGCATGCCAAGAAAGTCCGGCGGGAAGAGCAGCCGTTCCAGCGAGTGGCGGACCTTGTGCAGTTTGCCAACCGCGAAAACAAGGAGAGCCGGGGCGAGTTTCGGTACGACGAATCCGTCATCCAGGTCAAGGGATCGCTTCTTGCAGACGCTCTGTTGCTCAAGTGTGAGATTGCGATCCTCTTCGACTTTCATCGCTGGATGACGCAGGGAGGCCTGGCGCAGGCAGAGACAGAAGTCAAGCTGGACTTGTCAGTCCATTGGTCTGATTCTGCCAAGCTCATCGAACAGTCTCGTCTGCTCATGTACGTGAGAGAGGAAGTCCAGGGCCACATTTTCGCCGCGCAGCTCTGCGGACTGTGCCTATCGTTTGGCGAGCGCGCCAGTATGTGGTCTGCTAAGAAGGGCGTCACGAAGGAGCAGACGCCAGACAATCTGAAAGAAGAGGCCATGAGCCATATTCAGCAAGCTCGAGCGGTAATGTCCCAGTATCCTTCCACAGCCTCGTTCCAGGGAGAGGTCGATAACGTTGAGGTGTTGATCAACGACGGCATGTACCATCCGGTCACGCCAGAAGAAATGCGAGCAGTGTATAATGCAATGATGAGAGAGTTCTCGGGCACGGGACACTGGTACGTGTGCGAGAACAACCATCCGTTCACCATTGGCGAGTGCGGAATGCCGATGCAGGAAGCACGGTGTCCGGAGTGCGGAGCCAGAATAGGGGGGCGGAACCATCAGACGGTACAAGGGGTGAGGCATGCGACAGAGATTGAGAATATTGCGAGAGGCATGAATGGATTGGGCCTGTGAGGAGGAATTTGATGTCGGTTTCTTTGATTTCAAGGCCTCTCTTTCTTTTTTCGCTTGTTACTTGTTATTGTTGCTTCTGTCACATACCTTTGTGTACCTTGTATTAGCTTATATGGACATGGATGACAGTTTAATGCTATCGAATTGCACACCACACTCTTGTTTGAAATGAAACCAGACACAGCTCATGATGGAACGCTCAATGGCTGCTCACAAGTGACTCTCTCGGTACGCCAAAGGTTGAGGTTGAGAAGCCATCTTCGAGGCCAAGCAACAGGAATAGCTGACAAACTACTACTAATCCCGATAACCCTTGCTGAGACATTTGTATCCCCCCTTCGGCTGAAACGGCTGCTTCCCCATTGTGATCGTATTAATTAAAAAGGCAAGTTTTGTCAGCAGATGCGTACACTTTGTCTTGATCTTGATGGCAACGCTTTTATTGATTACTCAACGTGGTGGTGTCCCCTCGCGGCCGCTTATAGACGGTTGGCCTGGTTGGACAATCACAGAAAAGAATGCCGAGTAATGATAAATATGAGCTTTGTTCTCAGTGGCAGTCCTCGATTCCCGCAGATATATTTACATGTGTGGATAGGTACTGACTGGGTTTGTGTTGAGAATCTTTGCTCAGTTACCCGTCGTTCTTCACCATGGGCGAACATCTGTTGTTGACGCTTCCCTTTCCGAAGCCTGAACCTCTCCTAAAGGCCCTCCATGAAGCCTTTCCCGACATGAAGATCACGTACGTGCGTCATGAGGTGACGCCAGCCGAAGCCTTTTTCAAGCAAGACGTGGACGTCCCACCCGGTATAGTTGCCATGGCCTCATCTCTCCTGATCCTCATTTCCCTTGCTCTGTTTCTCTAACATGTGATGTATACAGGAATCCTGCGTGAAGTCACCTGTCTAGCGACATTCGGCTTCGTCCCGGAGCCTTCGGACGCGCCCAGCCTGCGCTACATCCACTTCGCCGTCGCGGGGACGGACCACGTCTCCCACAAGGCGGCCTTCAGGGACCCAGGCGTGACCATTACGACGTCGGCGGGGGCGTCGAGCATCGCGGCGGCCGAGTGGGTGGTTGGGTCGGTGCTGGCGCTGACGCGGCGGCTGTTTGCGTTCCGGGAGATGCAGGGGGACAAGGTCTGGGGGAATGGGGTGCCGGAGGGGACGCCGTTTACGCTGGATGGGAAGAGGATGGGGATTGTTGGATATGGATCGATAGGGCGTCAAGGTGAGGGCTGACCACAATGCTAGAGAATGTTCTTTGTCTTTGGAAGTCATGACTTACACGGAAATCGGGGCATCGATGGTCAAGTGGCGCGTCTGGCTCAAGCTCTGGGCATGGACATTATCGTCTACAACTCCCGCCCGCGCGTCACGGCAGAGGATCGCAAGGACCGGAACTGGTTCCAGCCCGGCTCGGGAGACCCCGATGGCTCCATCCCGAGCGCGTACTTGCACGGCCAGTCCAAGGAGCAGCTGGCCGCGTTTCTCGCGCAGGGGATAGACGTCCTGGTCCTTGCCCTGCCGCTGACGCCGGCGACGAAGCACCTCATCGGCGAGGAGGAGCTCGCTGTGCTCAACGCCAGCGGCGGCGGCCCGGCCATCCTGGTGAATGTCGCGCGGGGGGCGATTGTCGACCAGGACGCGCTGGTTGCGTCGCTGAAGAAGGAGGGAGGAGAAGGAGGGCTTTGGGGCGCGGCGCTGGACGTGACGGATCCGGAGCCGTTGCCTGCGGAGAGCGAGCTCTGGGGGATGCGGAACGTGTTTGTGACGCCGCATGTGAGTTCCGTTGCGCGGGGGACTGTCGTGCGGGCGTTGAGGATCTTGAGGGAGAATCTGGGGAGGAGGCAGAGGGGGGGGGAGATGGTGAATGTGGTGAAGACGGGGGGCGGGAGGGTGTGAGTGAGTTATTGCTATAAGATGTAGCAAACACTGTCCGTTTCACTGTAAAGAAACCACCACCCGTGGCGGTTGAGGCAAACATTGGCTTCTTTGACAGCAGGTATGAAAGCCCTCGCTTACATCCGTCTTGTTTGGCTGTCCCGTGGCACAAGGGAGACATCCGCGGTTCCGAGGCCAAGGGGTACAAGCAATGGCAGTTGGAGGTTTATGGACCTCTGAACGAGTGGGAAGAAACGGATAGGACAGTGAAGGAACGCTCGCATGATGTCGACTGTCGAAGGCAAGTTACCACCGCTGTACTCGAGTATAAAAAGGGGGGGACGACGTACAAGATTCGAGCAGCTTCCGCGTTGTGTTCAGTCCTTGAGACAAGTCGGTAGGTGCAACGAAGGCCTCTTGAAGGATATCTCTCCGCCTGTTATTGCGAAAAGCGCGGCTTTGTCCAGACCATCAGCATCAAGGCATCCATCAACAACAACACTAAACAACAGTTTCTTCTTTGTTCTGCTTCAGGCTCAAGCTCAGCGTCGAGATGCGGATCACGACTATTGTCGCGGCGGCCATTGCGGTCTCGGGCGCTTTCGCAAAGCCTCGGTTTGTCATGTATTTCGACCAGTAAGTACCTGAGGCCTCTCTCTCTCCTCTCGGAAAGACGCTTCGCATCATGTTAGCTAACCTCCAGCCTGTCAGATGGCACAAGGACAACTTGCCTGATCACTCCGTAACGGCGGGCGTCACCCACGTCACGACGGCTTTTGCCGACTCCATCGTCTTCAACTCGGGCACCTGGTACGAGCCATTCATGGCGCCGGACCAGGTCCGCCTCCTCTTCGACAACGGCACCAAGCTCTGCCTGGCCGTCGGCGGCTGGGGACTGTCGGCCGGCTTCAGTGCGGCTGCAAAGACCAACGAGACGCGGCGGACATACGCCCAGAACGTTGCTGCTACTGTTAAGAGACTGGGCTACAACTGTGTTGGTGAGTCTGACGGGGAACAGCGTTACATGTGTCTTCAGGGAACAATACATATGACTGATCCATATGGAAAGACATTGACTGGGAGTACCCCGGTGGGAATGGCGAGGACTACAAGCAAATTCCCAACTCGGAGAAGGTCTGGGAGATTGAAGCCTATCCGCTGTTTCTCGAGGAGATGAGGAAGGCCCTTCCAGAGAACATTGAGCTGTCCATTGCTGTGCCGGCGAGGGTTGAGGATATGATTGCCTTTACGGCCGAGAACGTGGCCAGGATTAACGGCATTGTCGACTATGTCAATGTGAGTTGAGGAAGGGTCATCAGGCTGGTGTCGACGGGAGTCACTGACAGCGGAAACGCCCAGATCATGACCTACGACCTCATGAACCGCCGCATGAACGAAACCACTCACCACACGAGCGTCAACGGCTCTCTCGACTCGGTCAACACGTACGTCGAGCGCGGCCTGTCGCCCGAAAACATCAACCTCGGCTTTGCCTTTTACGCCAAGTGGTTCAGCACCCAGTCCGGCTACCAGTGCACGACGCCCACCGGCTGCCCAACCGCGCTGCTCGAGAACGCCGACGGCAGCGACCCGCTCGTGTCCGGGGCCATCACCTTTGAAGCGTCGACGTATGCCGGCAAGCTCGAGCACGCCGTGGCCAATGGCGTCGCGGACCAGGAACTGGGCGGGCAGTGGTGGTGGGACGCCAACCAGGAGGTGTTCTGGACCTGGGACACGGCCCTGTTCGTTGCTCGCAAGTTCTCGGAGATTGTGGTGCCGAAGAAGCTGGGCGGCGTCTTTGCGTGGTCTCTGGCGCAGGACAGCTATGATTGGAGCCGGTTCAAGGCTCTGCAGGCGGGAGTGAGGGCGATGGAGCAGCAGCGGGAAGAGTGATGTGATGGAGAGTTGGTGATGGAGACGGGAGTGGCATTAGTGGTATGGTAGCTACAAGCGGCCGAACTGTTGAACCGAGTTGCTGTTGTGAGCTGATTATCTGAGAAGGGTGTTATTGATGATGATTCTTGTCTTTATCGAGGAGGTCTATGTGAAGCCCATCATCACGCAGGCGCTCTGGGAAATTAAGAGACACAAATGAGGTAGAAGAATCACAGATACATGCAGATTTTGGTATGATTATCCATGTCAGAAGCCATTCTGGGTATGCTAGTGTGCCATTCAATATCAAGATGCATGTAGTTGCAGCCGAGAAGCGCCATGATGCAGCCACTGCTCGGGAAGAGGGTTCGTCAACTGCTATTTTTAGAGCCGGATTCATCTCCGACGCATGGAAGAGATGGAGATGGATTGCGTAAACATGCAACTTTCCTGTACAAGGATAGTGATGGTGTAGTAGTACTAGTATATGGATAATTGGGGAGGTGGTGATGAAGATGCATGTGGAAGCATCGAGGGGCCATGTGCCATCCATGTCTCTTGTCTTGGCAAGTAGAATCCCGGATGGGGAGTCAAGGGAGGAGATGTGTGAGCTACTTCTCTGATCAAAGATGGTTTAGATAGGTATATCTCTAGGCCCAACTGCTTAGGTTTGATGTTGCATCTTTGTCCGAGTTTGATGCTGTCTTGACCATGGTCTCGTGCTGAGTTCGGGCGGTATATGGAAGGTTGATTACATGTAGGTTAGATATCAAGCCCATCATACTACAAGAAGATTTACATGTGAGGAGCAGTAATCGAGGATTTGCCCAAGTGCCTTGTCCCTTCAATGGGCTCCTTGCCAGGCGTCGATGTGAGAGCAGGAGATGCACCTTGTAGTAACCTGAAGGCATCGAATCTGAGTGGACGCGTCGCTACCAGGGCCCGAAGCATCCCCGGCGTCACTTGTACCTGGCCAGCCGGCTGCTTGGCGCCGGGGCTAAGAGGTTGGCAGTACCTAGCGGGCAGTTCGGCCGAGTTAGCGCTTGGTCCTTTGATGCCCGTCCAGTCGTTTGTTGATGCGGAGAGTCGAGCCTCATTTTCCTAGGTACTACTATGTACTATGTACTATTGCTATGTGCTTTAGCACGAAGTGTTAGGACGAAGTTTATGAGGTCCGTCATCACTAGAAGAGGGAAGGGCCGTTTATTCCCTCAATTAGTTGCAACACAATTGGACGATTCTTTCGTGATAGCCTTAAGACAAACAGACAGAAGAGCCAAGACAAGAGTTTTCTGATAACAACACCATGCCATCAGGAATCAAACAAGGTCAAGAACCAATATTCCGCTCCAAGAGGCGAGAAAACGCAGGGATTCCGGAGCTAATGCATCTGGGTTCCTATTAATAGCCCCTCGCGTCGCATCGCACCCCAAGACCACTTAAGCGCCAAAGGCGAGGCCCCCTGCCTGGGCGGAATCCACTGGCCTGGGACTTCTGTCTCTGCCATTGGGCCGTCTGATGCATGCTCTTGGGGCTGCTGATCCCCTGGGCTGGCGAATCTTTAGATGATGGACAAATGGGCGGGTTTCTTTGGCTTTTTAGGCGGCTATTGTATGTAGAATATGTAGAGGCGAGGCGAGTTGGAAGGAATCTTTGCTGGGCGGATGGACGTGGACGGGGGTTAGTCTAGAGACGGGACTTAGTAATGGTGGTGAGCCGAGTTCTGCATACATACATAACATGCCTCAGTAGGCGCTCGTCCTTCCAGGTGAGATTCTCTCCATGTCATCTCTCTCTCTCTCTCCCATCTGTGTCTGTTTATTTTCCCTCTCTCCGGCAAACCTCTCAACCATTCCGTCCCTCGTCCTGCTTTCTTTGTCTCTACTCATCCATCGCCCCCCGTCATGATATCATTCGAGAGCGCACGTCTGTAGAGCCCAGCGACCCTCTGACGAAACGCCGTTACATTGACTGCAACACTAAAATCTTCCGAATCGACGCGACCAACAGCATCTTGTGCATTCAGCTTTCAAACACTCCACAGTATCGCTGGAAGACGATTTGCTGCTTCGACACCTCTCTCAAAAACCGACTTGAGCTGAATTGTTCATCGGGCACCATGGCTGCGACAGGCTTCCTTGCGGCATTCTGCCTCCTTGCCCTCCCGCTCCTCTCGTGGGCGCATACCGTCATCGTCTATCCCGGCTGGCGCGGCGACAACCTCATTACAAACGAGACGTTTCCCTACGGCATGCAGTGGATGTATCCCTGTAAGCAAACCCCAGCTGTTCTCGGATACTATTTCTGAGGATCTCTTCTTTCTCACGTTCAACCACTAATAACTAAACATGGCGATTCAAGGCGGCGGCATCCCCCTCACCACAAACCGCACATACTGGCCCACGACCGGCGGCCCCATCTCCTTCCAGCCCGGCTGGTTCGTCGGCCACGCGACGGCCATGCTGCAGGTCAACCTGGGCCTCGGCACCGACGGCCCCGACGGCGGCCCGCTCGAGATGAAGCACCAGATCGTCCCGCCCTTTTCCATCGTCGGGCCCAGCAACAACCCCTTTCCCGGCACCGTCTGCCTCGACAAGGTGCAGATCCCGAACCCGGCCGACCTGGGCATCAAGGCGGGCGTCAACGCGACGATTCAAGTGCTCATGAATGCGCAGCACGGGGCTGCCCTGTTTTCGGTGCGTTTTTTTGAAGCAAAAGATGGTCTAGTCGTGGAGTGATGGGATAGATAGATCAGGAATGTAAGGGGCTGACACAACAGAAATAGTGCGTCGACATTACCTTTGTCGAGCCGGGTGACAAGCGGATTCCCCCCCATAACGACACCAACTGCTTCAACTCGTCCGATATTGGCTTTGCCGACATTGGCACAATCACCATCTCCAAGGGCGTCTTCATCGACGATCTATAATCTGTTGATCTTGGACGACTCGGAGAGCGCAAAGAAGACAAAAGACGTCAAGAAAGGGGAGCGAGAGCAAACAGAGCTCCTACAAACAACCAGCCGAAAGAGATGATGATACGATACCCAAAAGAAACACATGAGAGGGATGGCACCATCAACAGAGGAAGAAGCACAAGAGAATGTTCGAATACTTGTATATTAGAAAAGCCACATGGTTGCTGGATTTACCGACCTTTTTCTGCTTCTTACTGTATATACTACTACTACTACTACTACCGATCTCAACGAATGGATGACGGCATCTTGCTACTTTGCACAAGATCCTGATATATACCCTTGTTCCCAAGCCCCAGTTCCACCCGGGTGTCTGCATCCCGTCCTCTTCCACATCGTGCCCCCCTCCCTTGTCCTTCTCGCATCACCAGAGGAAACCAAGGACGAACGAACCAGAGATGCAGGCCAGCTTGTTTGTCTCGGCTGCCTGTGCCGCCCACAATCTGCAGCCATCATCGGCATTTCACATGCAGTGTCCCCCATATCCACGTCTGGGCTTTTCAGTCGCACATCTGCAGCCCCAAGTGTGTTTCCCCCTCCATCGGCATCCCGTATGCAGTAAATCATGCAGACGGCAAAGCGAACAATATGCAGTGGCGTTGCTGGATTATTGACTGTTGTGAATACGTCTCACAAGCAAGATCTTGATGACTGTGAAGCTCTGCATGTATCGGGCCGTGATAACATGTCCAGTATGTCTTCATCTTTTTGCAACACCTCACGTTTGTGTAAGCCACGTTCCGGCTTACAGTTGATCACGGATTGTTTTTGGTTTTCTTCTTTTTGTTTAAGCTTACTTGTGTCTTTGTACGCTGGCATGACGCAGGATGAATGCCGCGTCAGAGCCGGCTGCCGGGATCGTACGGAGCGTTTCTTTTTGCGGCTGTTCGCTTGGGAGAGTGGCAGCACTGCGCGGCATCACGCATACATTCACTGCTTTTACAGCAAACGAGCGGCGTGTAGACAGAGAGACGGGCAGAATGAAAGACAGACAGTCGTGTGACGGCTACCTGGGCCTGATAAAGGACAGGTGGAATCCACCTCTCTCTTCCTTTGTCGAAGGTCTTCTGTGAGAGTCGCCAAAGGTGTATAAGATTAGCTTTCATACCTGCTCTGTAAGTCCATCGTCTGATCCTTGGCCATGGCGACAACAAGAGCTCACATCCATCACGGGAACGAGTGCAAAACACCCATCAAGCCTGGATCCGTTTCAACTGGCCTTGCGTCCCCCAACTCGCCAACATGCCCTCCTCGTTGCGCTCCTCTTCGTCCACTTCGACCTCATCCTCGTCAACCAACGGCCAACGGCCCTCCTCAACGGCCGGGGGCTCCTCCCATCGGAGCTCCAAAAGCAGCAGCAGCAGCAGCTGGAAGTCCGAGTACTTGCCCCTATCCCGAGACAAAGGCCTGCCGCTGAGGTTCATCGCCTACGCCGCGGGCGCCTCGCTGCCGACGACGGTGAAGAAGATGACGAGGACGGAGACCAAGGACAACGACAAGCAGGCAAGTGGTGGCCCCAGGTGGGACTTTTTCGGGCGCGACACGCAGCTGTTCTGGGTCGTTGTGCCAGAGGACCGGCAGAACAAGAAGAAGCGCGGCCGGAGCAGGACGTCGAGGGAGAGAAGCACCACCGCCACCCAGCAGAGGAGTCAATCTGCGGCTTCGTCCCAGGCGGCGCCGCCGGAGCTCAACTTTCCCCCTGAGGCGGCGGCATCGTCTTCTCGCGCACCACCATGGACAGGGGGGTCAATGACGGGCATGGTGCCTCCTCAAGCTTCTGGTCTTCCGGGGTATGGTCAGCCAAAACCTGCTGCTGGCTTTCCGTTTGGCATTCCTCCGGTGGTGAATCTGCCTGGAGGGAGTTCGATGCCGTCTTTTCGAAGGAAACAGACTTGTTGATTCGTCTCCATGTTGACGTCCTGTTATCAAGATGTGACGTCTCTGGCTTCAGTCGCTACTACCTTACCCTAATGATGCGGCTGCATGGGAACAAAGAATAATCAACTGATTCAGACTGTGATTCATGATGATCCACCTTTTCATTTCATTTGCTCACTCGTCGTACATGTAGGTTTCGTCATTCTCTCGGTGTGAGGTAAAGAGATTGAAGGTTCATGTTGATGCCTTCCCGGGTTGGCCGCTGTAAGTGAGCGACACTAGCCACACTTGGTTCGCCGGGACAGTGAGGTGGCTGTGCATACGGTAGCTGAACCTGAATTCACCAACAGGCGGCCGCCGCTGCCCTCCACTTTTCGTTCTTCAACTTTCACCGGAATGATGAACCGTTGCATCTGTGCTGCTTGAGCGATGGACGTGCACTTGGCCCGACCTGGCTTCGCGCTTGTTTGGACCCTGTCAACCCGAATCCTCCTTTCCCATGTGATGATTGATCGATCATAGATGGATGGAGATGGAACCAGGGAACCTCCAGGCAGCCTTACGAGGCATCCAGCGGATCGAGGCTTAGCTGGCGGTTACGGTTGATTGGAGCACCAACAACGGTTCCTCTCCGGCTCTTGAGTGACTCAGTCGGGCAATCAATCGGGCATCTTCCCTGGCATTGATGTTCCTCTTCCTACGGTAGATCCTCTACATATGTACTGCCGGTACAACGAACAGAAGGCAAACAGGCAGCCAAGCACAGCGGCCAGTCCCACCTCGGCGAGAGTCACCAGCCGCCATCTGCCAACCTGCCTCTCCACAGCCTCCGGCTGGCCAACCAGGGGTCTCGCTAGCCTTCTAGGCCGCAGCACCACAGGTTGAAAATTGCAACTCGATTTTGGTCGGAAGGGTTCACTGGTTCTTGCACGTATAAAAGGGCGTCTGGATCTCGGCCATCTCGACGACACACAGTTCATACACAAAACATCCATCTCTACTCCTTTCCGTCCTGCTTTGGTGGGCTGGTGAGACAGACGCCGCACTTACAACTCGGCTTTGCTGACCTGGTCGCTGTCGCCTTACCACATACTACCTTACATACAGCCGGTAGAGGGTGATTGAGCTTGGGCAAAAGGCTTTGCCAGCCGGGTTGGGTCAGCGGTTGGGCAATCATATTCAATCATTGCCGTACATACGCAGCACAGCATGGATCCCCTCATCAACATGTCGGCGCAGTTTGCAGAGGGCATTGTCCCCAACCCCCAGTTTGCCCTGCTCAACTACTTCTTCCCCGGCTTCTCCATGCTCACCACCGCCCTGCAAACCTACCTGGGCATCGACCTCAACTTCTACATCCCTCTGCTCGTCGCCGTCTTCGGCCTCAACTTCCTCTGGGGCTACTTCAGCAACTCTGTGTGGGCCTGGATCGACGCCTACCTCATGTCGTCCTTCAGGGTCCGCACCGACGATGAGACTTACAACATGCTGATGCTCTGGATCTCGCGCCAGGCCTTTTCGCAAAACTCGCGCCGCTTCTTGGTCAACACCGACCTGTATTCCCGCAACAGCTACATCTGGGGAGCCGGGCAGGACGACAGCGATGATGAGGATGGCGAGGAGGATGCGGCCGTCGACATGATTGGACCCAAACAGGCTCTTCACTACACCCCTTCCTTTGGCTCTCACCTGTTCTGGTACAAGGGCTGGCCTATGCTCTTTGAGCGCATCCAAAACAACCAGCAGCTCAACTTCCAGTCCGCCAGCGAGCGGGAGGAGCTCTCCATCTCATGCTTCGGACGCAACCCGAGCCTCCTCAAGGACCTCCTCATCGAGGCCCGTCAGCTCTACCTCAAGAAGGACGAGCGCAAGACTCTCATCTACCGCAGCGCCAGCCCCAGCTACGGCGGGGAGCCCTACTGGCAGCGCAGCATGTCCCGTCCTAACCGACCCTTCTCGACCGTCATCCTGAGCGAGAAGATGAAGCAAGACCTGATCGACGATGTTGCCGACTACCTCAACCCTGCCACTCGCCGGTGGTATGCGAACCGTGGCATCCCTTACCGACGCGGCTACCTTCTCTACGGACCTCCTGGCACCGGAAAGAGCTCGCTCAGCCTGGCCCTGGCAGGATACTTCCGGATGAAGATCTACATCGTCAGCCTGAGCTCCATCGCTGCCACCGAGGAGGGCCTCTCTTCTCTCTTCAGCAACCTGCCCAATCGCTGCCTTGTCCTCCTCGAGGACATTGACACTGCTGGTTTGACGCACACCCGAGAAGAGCCGAATCTCACCCCCTCCCGCCCTCCCACCCCGAGTCCCTCTGGAGTCGACGGGTCGACGGGCCCAGCCACAGCATCCGGCGGCGGTCGCCTCTCGCTTTCTGGCCTGCTCAACATCCTGGACGGAGTTGCCTCACAGGAAGGTCGCCTTCTCATCATGACGACCAACCACATCGAGAAACTGGACAAGGCACTGATCCGCCCCGGCCGGGTGGACATGATGGTCCCCTTCAGCCTCGCCGACAGGACCATGACCGAGGCCATCTTCCGAGCCATCTATGCCCCCTTTGAGAGCGAGATCCCTTCAGATGAGGTCGCCTCCAAGCCCAAGAAGCGTGTCACCGGGTCGAGGCCTGCCACGCCTGATGCTGCTGCAAAGGAACGGTGGGCCAAGCAGCACGCGGAGATTTCTCAGCGCATCGAGGCCCTGTCCCTGGAATTCTCTGCCAGGATCCCCGAGTTCGAGTTCAGTCCTGCCGAGATCCAGGGACTGCTGCTCAGGCACAAGCGCTCTCCTGAGGATGCCATTGCCGCTGCGGACGCTTGGGTAACCCAGACTCGCAAGGACAAGAAGGAGAAGGAGGTGCGGGAGGCTGAGAAACGGCGCAAGGAGCAAGAGGAGGAAGAGAAGAAGCGCAAGGCCGAAGAGGAGGAAAAGAAGAAGCAGGAGAGCGAGGACGGCAAGGCAAAGACTGAAGGCTCGGACCGGAAGGAGGAGGATACCGAAGCCAAGAGTGCCAATGACACAGTCGAGGCATCTCCATCCGCAGTAGAGGGGAACGATGCTGGCAAGGGAGACGAGGTGAAGGCGGAGGCGTCCAAGGACGACAAGAAGAATACCGCGTCGGATTCAGAGTATGAGCGGGTGTGACGAGCCTTGTACAGAAGGATGGTCAGACGTTGGATCGCATAGCACGGCGTTTTCTGGGATTGGGAGGATTTCGGGGCTTGGGGTGAAATGACACCATTTCTTGGATATCATCTAGAACATAGAATGAGAATAAGGACACGAATTAGAGAATACTCTTCGGATGACAGGCATGTGCATATCAAAAGAACTTGACATTGGTCGGCGCTTTCAAAAGACAACTCGATGTCATCACAACGCTTTCAAGAGCCAGGACACGTTTCCATGATAACGGCCATGTAGATAGAGCGAGTCGGCGACTTTCCCAACTTGGAGATTATCGATAACCGTCGGGCAAACCCCATCCATAATCCGAGTACGCCATCAGAAACAACAGACCAGATCTGCCATTTGCTGGCCAATCGCGGCAACAGATGCAAATGGTGTTGTGGGTTTTGGAGCTTTCAATCTTTGTTGGGAACAAAAGGTGTTATCTAATTACCGCACAAATCTGGCATCTCGGGACGCGTATTCGTATCGGTACATGCCGTGGGCTTTTTTTGCTTGGGGGTCGCAGTCGCAGTGGGTGGGCTGGCACAACAAGCACGTTGCGGCGTGCCTGACTAAGTGCTGCCGTATTCGTATTTACAGTTTGTTCCAATCTTGAAATGTTTCAACGCGCATTTGGGAGCTGCGGTGGGAAATGATTCCCAATACGTATCCCACGGTTTAATAAATTGTAGATGCTAGTACTAGTAGTAGTACTAGTACCTGCCCTGCCGTGTGTGATAGATTGCATCTTCATCAGAAATTGACAGAATCCTCAGCCGTAGCGACGCGTGTCTGGTTGCTTTGTCTCGTACTCAACGCAAATTGGCTTGTGAAACTTCAATGTTAGACTACCTGATGTATTTTTTTTTTCTAACCTTCTGGTTCATCCGAACCTTTGGCGCGGCATCCGGGAGTGGGGCCGGGCAGGCGGCCGGAATCCGAGCGGCATGCGATGGAAGGAAAATGCCAAATCAGGTAGGCACAATGTCTTGCATCTTCGCTGGACTTTTGCTGGTTTGGGGTCACGGCAGTTGTTTGGACTTTGGACTCGTGGGCATGATGCGAGCGATTTTACGGTGGTGGGCAAATATATCTCATCAGATAATTCTTCTAGCCTGAGCGGGATATCATTAGGCAGCGCCGTCTCATACATAGCTGAACGTTTAGCAAGAGACGGGAATCAAGTCATTCTTGGTCATGCAAACGGCCGCTGCACGTCCCGAGAGCACGGCCAATGATGCATCTGGAAACACCGAGCTGACGATGAGAGAAAATGAGTAGTATTACGACGCCGGTAATGATCAGCCAGCCAGTTAGCCAGCCTTGTATCACGAACACAGAGCCCGCCTGGTCTTGGCCACAAAGGATCAATGTGTGATGTGTATATAGTGAGCCATTGATGGATCTCTGAGTCCACCGTGGCTCTAATGAGGCTTTGTCTGGCATCATCGTCGTGCCGAGGACTGTAGTAGTACTGTCAAGTACATGCGCGGGTTTTCCCGCTTTATAAACCAGATGCTCCTTGTCCCCAAGATACTATGTACATACTCGTACATACGACCTACGTCCTTATCAGATGGATAGATAAAATTGTGTGGAGGGGCAAAAGGTGGGATTTGACCCTCTGGCCGGCTCAAGAGCCTCCGGTCGGCTGGCTAGTCTCTTGTCTTCCTTCGATGGCGGTGGAGCCCAAGCTGGAGGAGGAGGAAATGGCGTGTTTGAAGAAGCAATCTGTACACAGGCAGAACAGGTAGTACTACTAGCACGAACAAGTATTATCGTGGGAAATGCGGGAGACGACGAAAAGGTGGTGGTGGGGCGGTTGACAACGCATGGGAGCGTGAGATTCTGCATCTCGAGGATGAGATGGGAATAGAGGCAGAGATGGTCGAGCTGGCACCCAAGGCCCCGATTTTGGGAGGTAGAAGGAGGACCCGTCCGGAGGGTATAATCACTCGATCTAGACTAGAAGCGAAATATGGAGCAGATGATGCCTACATAGATGGTGACGGAGACGAGGCAGACGAAGGGGCAGTGAGAAAGGGGACACGGTGGTAGCAAGAGGTCGTGCGGCCACTGATAAGAAGAAGCAGACGATTGATAGACTAGCAGACACGGCAATTGAAACCAATGGTAGGGATGCGAGTTGCCGTGGCGAGAAAGAGGGAAAAGGATTGGGAAAACAACCAGGGACTTGGGCAAGATCAAGGCAAACAACAGGAGAAGCAGTCGTGTCATCTGCGTGCTCAGGCACAAAGCACAACTTGGAAGTAGTATTCGCTCTCCCGTACTCGTAGTCGCGATTTGCGCGTTGGCTGGCTGGCTGGCTGGCTGACTGACTGCGTGTGCGTGTGCCATTTCCCACAGGGATCAAATCACAGCGCTGCCGCACCGTCGTAGTGGTTGCCAAACCCCACCACAGCCCACCAGAGCCCACTAACGCCCACTAGGCCCGACCCCTGGCAGAAGCGCTGCAAGTCCCCTGCGGTCCCCTGTTGCTGCTGCAGCTCAGGCGCTACAAGTAGTACCAGACAGCGATTGCGCACCGCACCGCCTGCCACAAAGGGCGGTGAAAACCTTTAAATGGACAACCAGGGCCGCCACAATTGACACGGTCGACATTTCCTCAAGAGCTTCACTCTTTTTCTCCTTTCCCCCAGTTTCTCTCCATTCCTCTCTCTCTCTCTTGTGTCCTTTCTCCTCCAATTCTCTTCTCTCTTCAAGCTCAATTGCATTCTTTTCCCACTCCCACAATGGCCGCACGACCTCAGAACATTGGCATCAAGGCCATTGAGATTTACTTCCCCAGCCAGGTTCGCTCATTTGCCCCTCCATGCACTCTGCTTCTTCTGCCTCTTCTTCACCAAAGACAAAGCCATTGACTGACTTGAACCACCGCAAAACAGTATGTCGAGCAGTCCGAGCTCGAAAAGTTCGACGGTGTTGCCGCCGGCAAGTACACCATTGGTCTAGGCCAGACCAAGATGGCCTTCTGCGACGACCGCGAGGGTAAGTGGACAAGTCTCGACATTCTGCCGTGTCGAGCCCCTCTCTCGCTCGCTCTCTCTCTCTTCTCGCCTGATCCCCCTGAAATTTGAATTGAAGCATCAGGCTGACCGGCTCTGCCCCAGACATCTACTCAATGGCCCTTACCGTCACCTCCAGACTCATCAAGAACTACAACATCGACGTCAACTCGATTGGCCGCCTCGAGGTCGGCACCGAGACCATCCTGGACAAGTCCAAGTCGGTCAAGACGGTGCTGATGCAGCTGTTTGGCGACAACACCAACATTGAGGGCGTCGACACCCTCAACGCCTGCTACGGCGGCACCAATGCCTTCCTCAACAGCGTCAACTGGATCGAGTCGTCCGCCTGGGACGGCCGCGATGCCATTGTCGTCGCTGGCGACATTGCCCTCTACGCAAAGGGTGCTGCCCGCCCCACTGGTGGCGCCGGTGCCGTGGCCATTCTTGTTGGCCCCAATGCCCCCATTGTTGTCGAGCCCGGCCTGCGCGGCACCTACATGCAGCACGCCTACGACTTCTACAAGCCCGACCTGACCAGCGAGTACCCCGTCGTCGACGGCCACTTCTCGCTGACCTGCTACACCCGCGCCCTCGACGCCGCCTACCGCGACTACAACAAGAAGGAGGCCAGGCTCACCAACGGCAACGCCAACGGTGTCGACTCCTCCAAGACGCCCCTCGACCGCTTCGACTACCTTGCCTTCCACGCTCCCACCTGCAAGCTGGTCCAGAAGTCGTACGCCCGACTGCTGTACCATGACTTCCTCAGCAACGCTGACCTCCCTGCCTTTGCCGAGGTGGCCCCTGAGCTGCGCGACATGGACTACGAAAAGTCCCTGACCGACAAGGCTCTCGAGAAGGTCTTCATGACGCTCACCAAGAAGCGCTACCAGGAGCGCGTCAACCCCGCCATCCAGGTCGCCACCCTGTGCGGCAACATGTACTGCGCCAGCGTCTGGGGTGGCCTGGCCAGCCTGCTGTCCTTTGCCGACAGCAAGGCCCTCGAGAACAAGCGAATTGGTCTCTTCAGCTACGGCTCCGGTCTCGCCGCCACCTTCCTGTCCCTGCGCGTCGTTGGCAGCGTCGAGACCATTGGCAAGACTCTGGACATTGCCACCCGCCTCGAGGCCCGCCAGGCCGTGCCCCCAGAGACTTATGACGAGGTCAGTATCTCATCTTCCACCCACCCGTCTCCGCAGTTGAACAATGGACGATTGCTAACTTTGATTCCCTTTAGATGTGCAACCTCCGAAAGCAGGCCCATCTCCAGAAGAACTACACTCCCAAGGGCGATGTCTCCACCATCGCCCCCGGCACCTACTACCTGGAGAAGGTCGACGACATGTTCAAGCGAGAGTACGCCGTCAAGGCCTAAACGTCTTCTCTCTCCTTTCCAGCCTCGTCGGCTGCGGGGGGGAAAAATACCCTTTTTTGTTCTGTTTGAATAAAATATTGTGCGGCATCGGAGCACACGGCGTCTTATATTTTTGACCACCAATGGGCGAAAATTCTTTTTGCTTTTTAACGACGGGAAAACGTGCAGTGCGGCACGGCACGATCACAGCGATAGACTCATCTGTTGAGGATATGCAGGTGAAGACTTTTGGAATTTGTTTTGACGACATTTTGTCTTGTTTTCTGGATAGACATAATGAGGTCGCTAGGGGTATATAGGCGACGACGCACTCCGTCTGGCCGGGCACTAATGGTGTTTGTTCATAGAATAAGCTAAGCCTCTGAATCGAGCGGATGGAATGAATGATGTATACAATAGACACGATGTGCCAGAAGTTTGATCCGTTTGTCTTGTCTTCTCATTGCTCAGGGTATTCATTTTTCATGCTCTCCATTCTATGTCCACGCCCATAATCTCCATTTTCCCGTCCGTGTTGTCTCCTTCTTTTGCCCGCTATCATGCTGGTGTGTAATTTGTGTCCGTCTCAACTCCTATGGTCTATCCGCACCCCTTTTATTCTATTCTTGTTCGCTTTGATATCCTACAGTTCTTGTCATCTTTTCCTTTCTTCCATAGTACCTAAGCATCACTCATCCCCCTTGTACTTCCACTCGGCGTGTCTATGCAGATTATAGTCCCCGCTGAGAATGCTCTTCCAGATGCCGTACAGCCCGCCGACGGGCCACCTGCTCTTGAGCGACTTTTTCCACTGCTGGCGCTCGCGCCTGCTGGCCTCGACGTCGATGCGGACCTTGTCGTAGACCGAGGGCAGCGTGGTGGCGGCGTACTTTTCGCGCAGGGCCGTGTACCAGGGCTTGTCGTAGACGCGCCAGAACTCGTCCTCGGAGTAGTACGTGTGGGCGTAGAGCCACTTGCGGCCGCCGAGCCGGACGAGCTTGTCCTCGAGGGCGCGGTTCTTGGCGATGAAGTCGTCGTGGTCCTCGGGGCCCCAGCCCCAGACGCCAATGTTGAGCATGGGCTGGGGCACGAGGTCGGCGCCGACGGCCTCGGTCTGGCACGTCGGGTGGAAGGTCGGGTTGGGCGTCTCCTTGAGGGGGCACAGCCAGAGGGGCCAGATGCCGAACTCGTCGGCGGTGTAGTCGACGAACTCGGCGGCGCGGTCGTAGGGGATGGCTAGGTCCTGGACGACGAAGCGGGCGGACTCGCCGCTGGCGTGCAGGGCGCGGTAGAGCATGCGCGTGTGCATGAAGTCGTCGAGGAACCAGCGCCAGAAGTCGGAGAAGGGCACGTACTTGAAGTAGGTGAAGCCCTGGGCGCCGACCCAGAAGCCGGCGCGGTCGTAGCGGAACAGGTACTCGGCCAGCGGGATGTAGTCGGTGACGGGAGGCTCGTTGTTGCTGGGAGAGACCTGGCGCGTCTTGTCCTGGACGTGCAGGTAGAACCAGGGGTCGCGGGCGTGGCTGAAGGTCTGGGCCTGCTGGCCGGCGGGCTTGTCGTCCGTCATCTGGCCGGTGATGACGACGCCGTGGTCGGGCGAGAAGAGGATGCCGTCGACGTAGTCGTTGCGCGGGTCCTGCGTCTCGGCCTTGACGCGCGCCACGGCCTCGGCCACGCTGTGGGTGCGGTGGTACGCGGTGCGCACGTACTTGCGCGCCTCGACGAGGTTGAGCTCCATGAGCGTCGTGATGCCGAGGGTGCCCACGGCTCCGGCGGCGCCGCGGAAGAGGTCGGCGCGCTCGTGGGGCGAGGCCCGGACGACGTCGCCGTTGCCCAGCACCATCTCGACGTAGTTGACCGTGTCGTTGAAGAAGCCGTGGCGGAACGAGCTGCTCTCGCCGGCGGTGCCCGCGAAGCCGCCGCCGGCCGTGATGCCGGGGAACTCCATGACGACGGGCGGCACCAGGCCGTGGCGCAGCGTCGCCTCGACCAGCCGGTCCATGGGCACGTTGGGCTCGACCAGGGCGGTGCGCGCGCCGCGGTCCACGGCCAGCACGTTGCCCAGGCTGCTGATGTCGACGGCGCGGTGGCCGGGCCGCGGCCGCGTGCTGTTGGTCGACCCGTGGAAGATGCGGTACGGCTCGCCGCGCTCAAAGTAGCCGCGCACCGCGCCGGCGATCTTGCTCACGGCCTGCTTGTGGCGCTCCATGACGGTTGATGTGTGTGCGAGAGAGAGACGAAGCTTGGTGTTGAGAGAGAGCTGCGGGAGCTACTCCGTATAAAGGTTGAAATTCGATGTCGCTAATCGCGGGCCAGCCAATGGGGAGGCATGGCGGGGTCGGGAAAGGCTTCAGGGCCCAACGGCAGAACTACCAAGGTGTGTACATGTATGTAGATGCCCAGTGGGGGAACTGGAGCTCTCCAGCTATTGAAGCGGCCGATATAGCCCTGAGGGCATTGACTGTGACTGTCCAGCAGCTGCAGTGTCCATCAAACACATCCGTGTATGCTACTGACTTGTTCCTTGCCAGTGGTCGAAGGTGTATCATATCACATATCGCCTATAGGTAGGTAGGTATATACACTCATCCCAGTCATCACAGCCTTGCCGTCCATTCCGTCTTCAAACTAGCCTTGATTGCCACAGACGCCTGTACGTCCTCTAGACTATCCTCGAGAAGCTCGTCGAATTTCAGGCTCCTCTCCTCGAGTGTCCCAGCCTTGATGCTCGTTGCGCTCGCCTCAATCGACCTCGGATCTTGCACTGAGCGGCGGATGAAGCTGGCCCAGCTGTCAAAACAGCGCCGAGAACCAGGGGCATGGGACAAGAACAGAGCAAAGCAGTGCGGCATCGCCTCGTACTCCTCAAACACCAGGGGCACGCCGTCGGCGAAGAGCTTCATTGCCAGCGCCTTGTCCTCGTAGGCGAGTATCTCCCAGCCCGTGCACATCCATATGGGCGGTGATCCTTCCCAGCCGGGACTCATGAGGAGCGTCACCAGCGGATGCGCAACCAGATCGTCGTCGACGTAAATGTGCTTCCGCGGGGGATTTGCCGGCCATATATCGCACGGCGGGATCTTAGCCATGACATCAGGCCGTGGTTTGGGTAGGTAGTCGAACGGATGAGGGTCTTCCCCCTGCCACGATGGCGAGCTGTGGGTGATGTCGAGCCAGGGGGACACGCAAGAGACGCCGGCCGGCAGAGGAACTGTGCGTGACTCGCCGTACCACTGGATGCGAGTGTCGTGACGGCGCAGCTGTAAGATGAGCTGCAGGAGGGCGAGGGCTAGATTTCCACCAGCGCTGTATCACACGAAACAGGAACAATGAGAGCCAATCCGGTCAGTGACACGTCCACTCTGACAACCACGGTGCCGGTGAAATAGCAAGAGTAGTCTGACACATAGAAGCGTTGCACAGCATGATGCTACTAGGTAGTGGTCATACCAGTAACAGCACGCTCTGTACACCAGGCCTTATACGCTGGACTTATAGATGGAAAATCAAACATACCTGTCTCCCGCGAAAACAACATGGTAAGGCTTCACAGCCTCGTGGTAGGCATCCGGCGGCGGATACAGCAGCGTAAAGTACGAGACGAGCGCATCCAGCAGCGCACTCGGAAACGGATCCTGCGGCGCCAGGCGATACCGCACGGAGTAGCATCGCCCGCCCGTCAGCTTGGCCAGCCTCTTGACGACATGGCGGTGCGTGGCGGGATCGCAGAGATAGTACGCGCCGCCGTGGAAGTAGAGCACCGTCGTGGGCTCTCGGCACTCCTTCATCATGGCGCGGTACTTTGCGGCCTCGGACATGACGGGCTGGGGCTCCCTTTTCGAGGCCGCCGCTCTGTATCCCGTCCATTCCGCTTGTACGGGGACGAGCTGGGGGACTCTGACGCTGTTTCCGTCGCCGCTGCTTGGGTCTCTCATGCTCTCGACGACATGAAGCAGCGCGTCCCTGAGGTCCGTTTCGGGAGGCGGCGGCGAGGCGTACAAGCTGATCCATATCCTGCCCTTGATTTCGGTGTTGCGCGTGCTGAGTTTCTGAGCGTAAGAGATGGGTCGTGGAGTGGACGGTGTCAGCAGAGCGCGGATGAACGAAACCACCAGGTTGGACCGCAGATCGACATATTTGGCCGGTTCCGAGAGCCTCAAGGCGTGCAGAACGGCAACCCGGGTCAGGAGAGGGAGCTTGGATAGTATGAGGAAGAGCAGTCTGAAGTTGGTGGTGAGTTTGGAGACGGTAGAGGGCGATGCGGGAGCGGCAGCAGGAGCAGCAGGAGCCAAGTTTGAAGGAGGTTCGTCCATGATGATGCCGAAGAGGTGAGGACTTGTTGAAGGGAGGAGATGTATAGAAACGAAGCAAACAAAAGAGGTGTATCTAGGATAAATAGGAGGTTAAATTGTTGTCAAAACGAGCGAGTGTGATGAGAGACAGTCGGGCGATTACATACTTAGTATGTACATGTATATATACGTGGAAATCGAGGCGAGATTGACATTGAATGGCCAACATGGGGTGGTATCAGAGAGGTAGACACGTGAGCTGATGAGGAGAAGACATCCCTACCAATGCATACACAAACGACAAACTATTAATTTCCAAGAAAACGGGAGCATCATGAGGACAAGTAGCCTGTTTTTGAGACTGACATATTAATGCCTGCGATTGTATGTGCGCGTAAGGTATTAGTATTGGATGTCCTCAGACGTCCATGATGTCAGCAACTCTCAGAAATCCGAGCAATTAGTAGATGGCTTAACATGAAGATTAATAGCGTGCGTCTTTAGTGAGCATCAGCGGGAACAATAAGCCCGAGCCTCGGCCCGCGTCTCACTGCTCCCCAGCCTAATACAACTACAGCTCGTCACTTGCGACTCGTCTGTCTGCTCTCTGAAGAATCGCAATTTTGATCTGATAGATCCCTTCCTTCTATACATGTGCCATGGAAATGCGTACAGACTCCAGCAAGTCGAAAAAACAAGAAACGAGATCCATTTGATATTAAATTACATAAAGAAAGTGCAACGCTCCCGGGCCGTTATCCAATTGATGCTGCATGGCGGAATTCAAGCAAGGCAAGCAAAGATGCTTTACGAGCTGCCGGCAGCCGCCTCGGCCGGTGCCTTTTCGGCCTCCTTACCCGACGAGGAAGCCGACGACGCAGCTGCTCCGGCAGTCTGGTTAGCCATGGCCATCTGCCACGCTGGGATCGACGCCTTGCCAGAGCCAATCGACAGCCCGGACGCTCGGCCAAACTTGTTCTGGGCAGGGCCCTTGCCGGTGTCAGCCTTTGGCGTGGTGCTCGTTTCCGCCGCGCTCTCATTGGGTGACTGGGCGGCTGCTGCTGTGGGCGATGCCGTTCCACTGTTGACACCGTTCGTCCCGTTGGTGCCGTTGATGCCGTTGGCGCCCCGGAAGTAGCCGCTCGAAGCGGTGGGATTTGAGTTGGCATTCATCCTCTGTGACACCAGCGTCTTGAGACTCGTCAACTCCGTGTTGATTTCGGCAAGTCGGTTGTCGGTAAGCTCCTTCTGGTTGTTCATGGCCCTCGGAATGGCGTCCTTGAGGCCCTGCACCTCATCGCGAATGCGCTGCGCGTCGTCCTCGCGGCGCTTGTTGGCCGTCTTCAGCTCCGCCATGATCGTCTCCAGGTCCGCCAGCGTCACGTCTAGCCGTTCTGTCCGCTGCTTCTCGGCGTCTTTCAGCGCCTCCGTGTCCTTGGATAGCTGCTCAACCAGAGCAAAGGCCTTGTCAAACTGCTCCTCGATCGACTTCTTGTCCTGCTCCAGCTTTTCAGGGGTAGGCGGCGCTACCAGGGGGTATACATATCGCTGTCGTCACTCAGTCAGTACGGGTGTGGCCACAGACGCGCGCATCGCTGAATTTGTACCTTGCCCAGTGAGAAGAGACCATAGCTGACTCCGCCCACGACGGTTGCCATGATGAACCAATCCCTCCAATCCCTCTTAGGGGTCGCGGCAGGCGGCTGCCATGCGTATTGGGGGTAAGGCTGGTAGTACTGCTGCGGAGGGCCCTGAGGAGGACCTTGAGGCGCGGGCGCGTAGGGGGCTCTAGGCGCTACCGCGCCGGCTCTGGCGAGAGCGGCATCGATCTCCTCTTGTGTTAGGTTCTTGGTTCGAAGGAAGGATATTTTGTTTTCGATGGACGACGCTGCAACGCTGGGGTCTTGCAGGACTGCTTCATGGTTAGCATCGCGTGCGGGAAGGCGCTGCGAGATCGGATGATGGGGTGCTGAGTCGAAACTGACATTGCGCCTAGACAAGCTGGATATCAGCAAAGGGATGAGCCCGCGAGGTGTCTGGCGCGAAGACATGGAGCGAGTGACTTACTGCTGACGCCACAATCTCCTCGCGTATCGCCATGGCGGCGGATCAAGAGCAAGATGAGTCGGACAGAGCCTGAAGAGGCCCAGGGAGATCAAGTCACCAGAATGGACGGAATGACGCTGGTTCAGGGCGCTGGCGATGGATGCTGACAGTAGGCAGGGACTCGGCGACAGCGTAGGTAGAGATGAAGCTCGGTAATATGTATGTGGTGGAACCCCCGGGATGGCTGAGCGCGGCCGCAAGAGGTAACAAAAAGACATGCTGGGCCGAGGCAACGGTACGTACCTACCGAAGTACCTTCAGCTGAACCACCGCGACTTTCAATTGCTGCTTCCAGCGCTTGGTCTGTCACGTGCTTCCACGTCTCAGTTTCCAACTCCACGCCTCAACCGCGCTAGTCCGCTCTCGGCCAATCAGGCCTTTGTTTACTTTCTCACCGAGCAACCTGCCTTATCATTCCCCCCAATTCTCACGGCCCCACGCAAGAACTTCCAAGCCTTGTACATGTGTGCCCAATTCCGCCTCGTCGCCGCGGCCAAAACTCCGTCTTGTGCTGTCGAACTCGATCGCCAAACGCGCCAGGAAGCACTCCCCAGCTCCTCGATCATTGTCGCGCAGGCTCAGCCGTCGACATAATGTCTCAAGACACGAACCTGTGGAGCGTCCGCAGGAAAAGAGAGGTAGGCTAAGGCTCCCCTTCGCCTCTGTCGCAAGAGCGCCGGCATCTGGGGCATGGTCGCCTGTGGCGCGCAGGCATCGTCGGCTGACAGACGGCACAGACGCTGGGCGGCCTCAGTACAAACAGCGGAATACCCGCGCCAGGGTCGACGATGAAGCGATCGAATCCGAACCCAGGCCACTCCGGCTACGGCACCGGCCACGGCCGCTCGATGTCGGGATCTAGGCACTCCCTGGCCTTGACGCGTCCGAACCAGCCCATGTTCCAGCGCGCCTCCTCCGGCGCAAGCCTCGCCGACCTTGGCCTGTCGTCGGTCAAGCGAACCTCGTTCCAGCAGCCCCGGGCGACGTATACGCCGTCTGCTTTCACACCAGCGGCCGCGAGGCCGTCGATGGACGTCGACAGGCGCAGCAGCGTATATCGCCCACGGCAGTCGACGGTCGGCCCCATCAGCCATCAGAGCTTCTTCCAGACCACGCCCCAGGCAGCGGGCGTGCCACGCGATCCGCGGCCGCTGAGGGACCGAGCCTTCCAGGCGCGAATCGCCCAGGAGCTGATGGACTACATGGTTCAGCACAACTTTGAGATGGAGATGAAGCACTCGCTGTCGCAAAACATTCTAAAGTCGCCGACCCAGAAAGACTTCAACTTCATGTTCCAGTGGCTATACCATCGGATTGACCCCAGCCACAGGTTCCAGAAGAATATCGATCAGGAGGTGCCGCCTATTCTCAAGCAGCTTCGATACCCGTTTGAGCGCAGCATCACGAAAAGTCAGATTGCCGCCGTGGGTGGGCAGAATTGGAGCACTTTTCTTGGCCTCCTGCATTGGATGATGCAACTGGCCAAGATGTTGGAGGGCTATGCGAACAACCAGTATATGGATGCCTGTCTCGAAGCTGGCGTCGATGTGACGGGCGATCACATCATCTTTGCCTTTCTCAGCAACGCGTACCGCGACTGGCTCGCCATGGACGACGACATGGGCGATGAAGATGCAGAACGGCTACTGGCCCCGCACGTCGAGGCCATGGCCAGGGCGTTTGAACAATCCAACTCAAGATATACTGCGGAACTCGAGGCGCTGGAGGCTGAGAATGAGAGGCTGCTAAAGGAAATCGAGGATCTCGAAAAGTCTACTCCGGATCCCGCCGTCTTGGACAACCACTTCAGAATCATGGAAGAGGACCGCGTCAAGTTTGAGGACTACAACGAGCTTGCCATCCAGCGGTCGGAAAAATACGAAGCTCGGATACAGGTTCTCCAAGCGGAGTTGGACAAGCTGATGGAGGAGCTGAGGGAAGCCGACGAAGAGCGACGAGGGCTCCAAAAGGCAGTCGACGACCAGGGCATTAGCATGCAGGATATCGACCGCATGACTTCCGAACGGGAACGTCTGCAACGGGGCATCGAGTCGGCAGGGCAGCGCCTGGAAGAAGTTAAGAAGAAGGTGATGGAAAAGGAGGCCGAGGCCAGTCGAAGGCTCGACGAGTTGGAGCGCATGGTTGACAGATACAACACCATCGCCTACCAGATAGCGCTCATACCAGCCACGGCGGCCAACGCCAAGGGCAGGGAATATGAGCTGCAGGTGACTCTCAACGGGAGCGAGCCGGGGTCGTCCAACTGGAAGAGCTCCAGCACGACGCACACGCCGGCAACAGACAGACTGCTGATTGATGCTACGACGGGTTATCAGCCAGGACACGTCCTTAACCTGGACCTGAGGGGCTCCATCCGAAGCAGCTTCATAGCGTTGCGAAAGGAGATTGCGGAGCGGCGGAGCGCCGTCATGGACGACATGATGAAGGACCACGACCTCTTGGACGGCATTAAGGAGGCCATTGAGGACAAGCGGAACGAGGTCGAGGCACTGAACCACCGAGTGAGGGCGGCGGAAGAGGAATACGAAAAGACCAAGGAGGTTGCCACGGCGCAGAAGATGGGGTCTGACGCGCAGATTGAAAAAATGGAAAAGGAGCTGTCGAGGATGCGCGCCGGCTTGACAGAGTCTGTGCAGCTGCTTGAGCAGCGCGAGATCAACACTACCATTGAGTAAGTTTCTATTGTCCTGGCCGACAACGAAAAGCAGAAGCCCCCGTTGAACATGTCACAAGAAGCTAACCACTTGTGCCAACTCTAGATACGAACAGCTTGTATTACGAGCCAACTCGCTACGAGAAGAGCTGCACACGGAGATTGACCGTATGCTGAACGACGTCATCAAGTTCAAGATTCATGTGCAAAAGAGCCTGGACGACTACGAGGGCTTTGTGGCGGACGAGCTGGAGAAGGAGCTGGGCGGCGACGAGATGATGCAGGACGAGACGCGGACACTGCCGGATCTCTGAACGGACGGACGGAGCTGTACTCGACGGTCTTTGTTGTGTTTTCCTGAAACGGCCTTTGTGTGATGACGAACCAGCGCTTGTGCTGATGGATGGAGTTTGCTGGCGTTGGCTGGTGGAATGGGCTCCTTTGTGTGGGCTTATTTTCTGTGCATGCTTGCTTGTTGTTTGATATTGTTCTGGGAAGATACCACTGGCAGTTGTTCTTTTCTCGCTGAATGAATAATGACTTGGGAATATCGAATGAATACTGGATAGATATCTCAGTTGTCGTGTAAGACTGATGATGGGACATAGGTGAGGTATGGTGACACTGCTGTGGCTTTAGCATTGCAACGGATCGGGGCGTGCCTGGTTCTGCAGCACCAGAGGAGCTGCTCGATTCATCATTCAGGTGAAAACCGAAGAGACTCCCGTTCTGTCATGTATTACTCATGTCGTTGTCATGAAGACTGCCTTACGGAGCTCGTCAAGGCACACCAGGATGAGGATACCAGGGATTACGGCGGATGCAACAAGTAGCTCAGTGCGGTATTTACGCTGGCGGAACTACTTCCATGTCCAAGCTCGGAGCTCTGATCCGGTTTTTTCCCTCGCCGTTCCCCCGGGCTGCCGGCATTTGTTGAGCCTCTGCATCCCTGCACCCATTTTTTTCTTCCGGCGCTTCTACAGTATTCCATCCTCCGGCCGGTGATGCATTTTGTCTCCTTCTTTTTTCCCTCTGCTGCTTGTTCATACTAATAAGTACCTCCCGCCGTTGCAATTGGATACCCAGAGAGCATCCAATTGATCTACCCTTGATCTATTCCCTTTTTATTTCCTTTCTAATACATCTTCTGTTACTCACCTACAAAATGCTTCGGCGAGCGTCGGCAAGAGCTGCCTCGGGCGCAACCGGCCAGCTGCTGCTCAAAAGCGCCTCCCCTCTCTGCCGCCGCACCCCGCAGGCCAACCTCAACTCCAACTCCAACTCCTCCTCGTCCTCCTCCAGCTTTCTCTGCAAGACCACCGTCCCCGCCGGCCTCCGGAGCTTCCACGCGACCAGACTCAGCATGGCCGACAAGCGCATCGAGAGCGACGCCTTTGGCGAGATCGAGGTGCCCGCCGACAAGTACTGGGGCGCCCAGACGCAGCGCTCGCTCGGCAACTTCAAGATCAAC